GGCAGCACACTGCAGAACACAGAAAATAGGTTATAAAGCGAGGAGAATAATGCATGTGAATCCCAATCATCGAAATTCAAATGATTTGGATGCATCCCCAACCAGCCCTCCTCTCCTTGTCTGCCTTCTGTCGAGGCCTCAGAACTCACCAATCGGATGGGAGGGAAACAGGCTGCAGATTCAGAGGGTTTGCATTAGGAATGGCCCGTTATTAATTAAGCTTGTGGGGAAGAGTTTTTTGACAGCGGCTCCCGAGGCGGCGAGCAGTGTGGATCTTGGCGCTGACCTGGCCCAGCAGGGGTAGGAGCAGTGTCTTTGAGGTGGAGGTGGTGGTGGGGGTAGAATGGGTGGTGGGCGGGAGAGAAAGAGGAGGAAGGGGGGGGCAGGGGGGGGCTGGCTTCATGCCGACAGCCAGGCCTGCCACGTCTGCGTGCCCGCTTTGAAGTGTCACCTTGAGGGAAGAGCCGATGGCCGGGAAGCCGGGAGGGCGGGAGCCGCGGAGAGGAGTGGCACGGTTGGCATTGCCAGACATGGCGCTTTAATATTGCATGGGCTCCCGTCCATCTCTGTACACACTCAGGACATTCCTTCTGCTTGATTTAGTTTGAAAGTAGATCTTTGTTTTTTTCCCTCTCGTCATGCTGTGGCTCAACACCTGTGCTGGTTTTGTGCTCGTTCTTGGCTGAGCAAATGTCAAGCAGTCAGAGGAACTTCAACAACTTGCTGTATTATCAAACTTGACAGTGCTAAGTTTGTCCAGCTAAGAGACACACATAGAGTTTTTATAAACACGGCCTCTTATAAATATGCTGATTATTCAAACACAAAATACCACTTCCACTTTATCAAACCACTTCTCTCAAACTTTGATTTTAGATTGAAATATAAAAAATCTTTAAATTTTTAAAATTCAAGTCAAAAACGTTGTCAGTATAACTGGATGTGTTTTTTGTTTACAAGCAACCCATTTCAGACAGTTTTCTAATTTATTTATTCACAAAAAGCTACCCTCCTATGATAGACACAGACTCTGAAATGTACCGTCTAATTTAAAGGCTGTTTTTCTTTAAACTGTTCATTGAAACAAAGATGTTAACAATCTGCTTCTTTAGAGGCACTACGAATTATATCTAGTTAAAGCAAATGCATGATACAGGATGATCTGATCATGGACATAACACACTGTCTTTTTTATTTGGAAAATAAGAGATTACAGGCTCAGTTATGGACAAAAATGAACTGGTAGGAAGCACTTTTTGATCATCTTTAGCCGTTCACTGAAAACACACAGACTAGTAAATCAATAATGATGTTTCTTTCCGGCCGACTTTCTGCTAAATCTAAGAAATATTCACTCTGGTGTAGCTAATTGCTAATGTTACTTTCATCACTCCCTCAAAAAAAAGAAACTATATCACTGGGGACTCAACTTACACTTTAACTATTTTTCTCCAGTCGCGCCGTGTTTGCCTGACCTGCTGCCAGTGCAGTTACAGAGCGCGGCAGCGGAGAATCAAACATGGCGTTAGTTTGAGAATGCATAAGAGGGAGTTTATCAACAGAGGCTGCAGGAAGGAGGTGTTTTGAAGTGAGGAAAAATGTATTTAAAAAAACACTCACACTGCGTGCACTTTCTACCCACTTTAACAACCGTCCCAGTTCACAAATAGCAGTTTTAACTCCCCTGATTAGCACTGACATCTGCAGCCTTTCATCTCTCCCTCCATCTTGTTTTTTTAATCAGATTAACCCAAACGGGCATCCTTTAATGGCCTCTTTTTTAGGAAAGCTGAAAGAGGAGAGATAATTAAAATAATTAAACCGCTGGGACCCGCCTGTGCGCGCTCATCTCCCGCTCTTTTCTTTTCTTCTCGCCTTTAAGTTTTGATTCTGCCTTGCTTACTGATTCAAGCAGCACAGAGAGGGAAAGACTCATCATCCTCGCTTAATTGCATTAAGTTGACTCTCGGAGGTCCAATTTTTCCCTCCAAAACCAGCAGCCAATGTACGACATGAACTTTAGGTGCATGTCAGCGATCTAAATGTGGAAGTAGAGGGGGGAGGGCAAGTTTCTAAACAGCCTTTATGGAGCATATTTATTTAGCCAGTGAGTGTATTTTGCATAAGGCCAAAGATAAAAAAAAGGGGGGAAAAAAGTATCCTCTTTAATGATTATTTATTCATGGACTTTTAAGCTTTTAATGAGGACAAATGAAGCCGTTTTCCAGAGTGTCAGTATGTAGTATGCTTACCAAAAACATTCTTGTTTAGCATTTTCTTTTGCACTGTGTCCGTGAGGAATAAACAGTAACATTTGAATAAAACTAGGAGTTTGGAGGGAGACTTTTTAAGCAATCAGTTTATCTTGATCTTGCATGAATATAAAATTTCCCATAAGTTTTGATCAGATTCAGCAATAATGATTTATTAATTTTCAGTCATTTTGTAATTACATTTTAACTGGTTTAATGTAATTGATGAGCACTATATTGGAAAACTTTTAAAAAAAATAATGGTTTCAAGGAATACTTTTAAACAAATATATTTTCTTCTTGAACATCTTCAACTTTATCAATCAACAACCTCCTGAACTTTATCTCATATTGAATATGGTAATGTCTATCAATTATTCACTCATGTGTGATAAATTCTCATTCATACTTACACATGAGGGAAACCTTTGTTCCCTCTAAACTTCTACAAAGATGAGCCAAGAAAAAAAGAAGTAGGCTATACCACACCGTCTGAGCTATATTTTGCATTATAGGTGTATATATCTTGAATATTATAATAACACGTCTTCAGATGAATTCAAACTTTTCTTCCTGTCAAAAAGAATCTAATGAATTCTTGCATGAGAGTTTTACAGAAAGCAAGAGACCCGACATCCTCCTCGGAGTGCAGCCCCAACTTTACATAAGCTCCCATGTCTTTTTCCCCCCTCATACACTTTCACTTCATTCAGATCATTTTCACAGGGCTTCATTTCAAGTTGGCACAAAAAGAGAAAGAATCCCTTTGCTGGAAATACTTAAGATTTATGTTTAAATTTTTCATGGAATCTTTGAGAACATTGAGGAGCAATTTCACATTTGCACTGACATCTAATTTCTCAAGTACGGTCTGAAAGCACAAATTGCCAAGGATTCCCTATGTGCCCAATTATCCTGCATCAATTTCCTTGACCCTACGGAGTGCTGGTAAATTAATCATACCACTTTTTTTTTTCCTTTTTTTTGGACTCTCTCTGAAATACATATGCACACGTTTGATAAACTAATCATATTTGGTCGGTTATACTCACAAAACTGATTCAGTCCTGGATGCAGGATGAGAGTTAACATCGAGGCCCGGGGAATTGGGACCTGATAAAACACACACAGAGCCACGTATGTTCACATGTACACCCCCCACACAAAATACAAACATAAAATATTTTTAATAATAATATTATAGAATTACAGAAAATGTGAGTGAATAAGGCCTTTTAGTTTTGAAATTCATTTTTTTCCCCACCATGTATAGTGTAGAAAAATGTAATCATGAATTATTACATCAAATTCAGTGGAATAACTAATCCTGGAGTGCTATTGTTGGAGACAGTAATGTTGCTGTTAAACTGTGAGCTGTCTTTGCTGCAGGTTTTGTTTTACCAGAATTCACGATGCGCATATTTCTTCCAAAAGTAATTGAAATATAACAAAATATCAACGTTACCAAAATATTAAACAACTCATTGAAGCACCAGTGTTGATTCAGTCAGTCCTGCTGCCAAACACTAACCTTAACAGCGATTTAACAGCCCAAATATCTGAATCATCCTCATTTATGTGCTGTGCAACACCATACAAGCTCTTACCTGTTGATCCAAACATGGCTGCTGGAACTGATAGTTTTTGGGACAACAGTGTCCTCTGGTGGAGAGCAAACAGCAGAAAACCTGAATAACCTGGAGGAACACAATAGAACTTGGGTTAAAAACTGAAGTTAAGATAAAATATTTGATTAAAACACAAACAGTTTTCTTGCCCTTCTTTCAGTAATAAAGTCAATATTTTAACCTACCTTTGGATGGTATAATGCCACTGAATCTATCAAGATAATATGGTAAAATGCATTCAAAAGGAATAAAAAGCAGAAAAGAATCGAGTAGAAAATCAGAATTTTAAGCTAGCAAGTACAGAAAAAGTACGTTGCAAGCTTATCCACGAAGATCCGAAGGTGAACTTTGAGACTTACTTTTTTCATTGAAGGAACAAGTCGACTTTTAAAGATGTTAGGATATTGTGCTTAGCTTGTAAAACAGACCGATTTTGTATTTTTTAAGCTAATCTAACGTGCCAAGCTAGGAGACAGTTGGCTATGGGATGCTAGCCGTCAAAACATTATGCTAACTAAATTAAAAATGCTCTCAAAGGTGGCACTTAAGCCAAGTTCCGGCGACGAAAACGTCTTTTTTTGGATTAATTTAGTGAATTTGTAGCTTTTCCACAACAAATTCATCAGTATCAAAAAACGTAATAAAGACTGAAAAAAATAGCCACACAACCATCTTTGGAGAGCTACTAAGTGACAAAGACATCATAATCATGCTACCTTCAGACTTATCTCAACATTAGCTTAATTAAACTTAATGAATAGTGTAATTATGTCCCTATTATTACCACCAATAAAAGATCCAGTTAATTTCTCAGCTCAAGGGCCCACACTTCTGCTTCTGTGCCAAGTGAGCTTAATATCACAGAGCTGACCGACAAAGAAAATCATCTCAGACACCATCAGACAATTTTCTGTTTTCTATTAAGCTGTAAACCAACAGCACAGTTTAGAAGAACGGACTGGCTTTTCAATCTGCAAACATCTGAAAGTGTCCGGTCCCAAAAACAAACTCAATCTTCACTGAACATAATGACAAAAACACCTTGATGCTTCATTTCCACAGAGGCACAAACCAAACAGGTGGAGGTAACATTCAGCAGGAAGAAAAGCCAAACTCGGGATTGTAGTGCAAAACATTGAAGACGATCTTTATTGTTCACAGTTAAACACAAGCCACTGCTTTAAGAACTTCCTTTTTTGCCATATTGTCCCAGATTCTCCAGCTCCGGTCAGAGTCCTGGTTTCTTCAGTTTGTGCTGATTGTACCTTCTGTCTTGGTTTGCTGTAGTTACTACTGTTGGCATTTAAAGTGGATTGTTGAACATGCTTTAGATAGCGAGGCAAAGGAAGTGACAGCAGGAGTTCCCAGTGGACAACAGGATTTAAACCACTTCCAATACCGAGTGTGGAGTGACAACTTTTAATACTAAGACATTATAAAGAAACTCCTTATTAGACCTGCAGGATGGGAGCCTAATTGAAAAAAGGGGTGTTTTTGGTTTTGTTCCTCATGTTGTACCTGCTGAAAATAACCATATCTGTATGTGAAACAGCAGAACACAAATGTTAAACTTGGCACTTTGGCTGGTCCTCACTTGTAACGTTTGATCAAAATTTTTGATATGCGCTTTTTAAGTGCCCTTCATGGCCTTATAATAAATAAAAAGTAAAAATGATCAACAGAATATGGGATTTATGAAAATGCATATTTTGTGTTTCCTAATTTTACACGCTTTCCTTCTCGCATCTTCTCCTTATTGAGAACCATCAAGCGCATCACCAATTTGCTCCCAAACTAAACACATTCTCCTCCTGACTTAATCCCAACAAGAAGTCAATGCTGTCTTCAATAGAAATCTCAGTCAAGTCCAGCAACACTAAATTTAACCTCTAAGGTTCCCACAGAAACCAACAGTCTCTACGTACCACTTCATCTCTCTTTCACTGCTCTGGTATAACCCTTGTTACACATGTACTCTGATGTCAAAACCAGATTTCAGTCCACGTTCAAAGCTTGCCTTACAGTTTGTTGTGATGACAAAAGTAACTTTACTTGATCTCTTGTTGGTTTTAAATACCTGTTTTGATTGAAAGTGGTAACTTTCAAATTCTAAAGGGCCAGTTCACTGAAATGTTGAAAATTGACCTATACTGGTATTAACTAGACCATGTTTTGAGATATCTCTGAGATTCCTGCTGATAAGGCCAGTCCAATGTAGAAACAAGTAACTTCTTTGTGGAGCTTACAGCATTTAAAATTGACCTGTGAAATTTATCAGCAGTTTTCCTTTCCTGACACCCAGTCCTAATAACTCCAGCAAACTTCTGCAAAGTCGTTAAGTTATCAGGAAGAGGGGATTCACTTTTAGGGGACAGGTTGCTGATGAGTTTTTTTAATGCTGTGAGCATCAGTAACAAAATCCTTTTTTTTTTTTTTTGCACAAGCTGTTAAGGCGAAAGTATCAGAGGCAGTACTCAAAATTTGGACTAATTGCAGCTAAACCAAGCGTTTTTAGAGGAACTGACCCTTTGGAAGTCAAATTCACAGTGTCCAATGTAAGTAATTGATAACTTCAATTACATTCTGTCAGCTTATCTTTGTCTCTGACTCGTAACTAAATTCATCAGTCTAGCATATTCACTGGTAACAACACATCCAATTTGTTTCCCTCTAACCTTGTTGAAATTCTTCAGGGGAATGAATCAGTTTAAAAAAAAACAAAAAACAAAACAAAAAAGTATTGATGAACAACACTGGGGGAAATCCTGTTGTCCACTCAGAGGAATGGAACATATAACACTGAATCCAAAGAGTTGTTGACATGTTACTCTTTCTCATTTGTAGCTCTTCTCCATCGTTGAACTTCAGTCTCTCAGTCTCAGCTCTGCCTCCCGGCTCAGTCCCGTGTCTCTAACTGTGCTCGTGATGTGTTTCATTATAGTCCATGATTTTTAGCTGCTGTTGCCGGGGACGACCTGACCCAGCGTGACCCCGCCCTACACCTTGCCCCGCCATGGCCTTCCTTCTTGGGCTTTCCTGGCTGGATGCCCGCTGCTTAGGCTCAGAGGGGGGCTGCTTGGTGGCCACAGTGAGAGGGGTAGCTGGGGTGGGTACAGGGGCAGGAGCTTGAGAGGGAGGCAGGATAGGGGTGGGGGAAGGTGCAGGGATCACAGGGGTGATATAACCCTGGCAGGGCGGCTCCACGCAGAGCTCAGTTTTCAGGCCGTGGGCGAGGCCTGCCAGGCGTGGAGACGGTTGCTCTTCATCACATTGGCTCTCGCTCTTGTTGCGAAACAGCTCTCGTGCCCTCATGCCCAGGAAGCTCTTGGCACTGGGGTAAGAGCCCACGGTGAGCGGGGCATCAGAGGGGGGCTGGGGTGTGAGCGAGTTGGTGTGGGGACAGGACGGGGAAGGCTCCACCAGCAGGGGTGGGGCTAAGTCCTGGCTGCCATTGATGGAGTAAGCTGTTGCCGTGGAAGAGTTGCTCGCCTTTGGTTGCCCTGGCGATAAAGTGCTGCCATTGCCCCGAGGAGAGTCACGTGGTGGTCTGGAGTCCACATCCTCGATGGTATGAGTTTTACTTGGTCTGTCTGGCACCATGACACTGTGGAGGAGACAACAAGTCACGAAAAAACACACAAGTCCAACATATGTAATGCTAACTACACGAGTATGTGAGAAATAGTTTAGATACCATTAACCATTTAACATACCATATTTTTCAGACTATAAGGCGCACTTAAAATCCTTAAGTCCTGCTATCAGTACAGAAGTTAAGCTATGCCCATGGTAGCATTGGTTAATAAGTTACAGACCCACTGTCTGTGATCAGTTGGTTGAGGCTTACCTCAAATCGCTCCTAGTGGCATAATTAACTCTTCCTGAATGCATTTGAATGACAAGTTAATAAGAGGTCTGAGAGTCTGACCTGGAGTCAGCACTAGTGTGTGGGTCAGTTCTGCCCCCTGGTGGTGAACTCATGACGGTGCTGGCTGGAGCCTCCATCTCCACTCGGCTGTAGAGCTGCAGAAGTTCAGTTTGCAGCAGCTGAGTGATTCTCCTCTGAGCCTGGTACCTGCTTTCTGAAGCCTGCAGCTCCGCCCTACAAACAAGGACACAAAACAGGGACAAGGAGAAAGAGAAAGTTGAAGAAGCTCTGTATGCATTCTTTAAAAACTGCAAAACGGCGTAATTAAAGAACTCACCTCGCTTGACATTTTACATCCTCGAGGAACTTCTTCTGCTCCACGATGAGGTGTTCTTTTTTGGAGAGATGTGTCTCCAGCTCTGCCACTCTCTGCTGTGCTGCCTCCAGTTTTTGACCCTGAACCAACAAACTCTGCCTCAGTGTCTCCACCTCTTTCCCATACGACATCTTAAGCATCTGGGCCTCCTGCACAGTGGAGAAAGACAGGTAAGAAAGAGGGAGGGATGAAGACAGGAACGGCAGGGGAAAGCCTCTTTAAGACCATTACAAACACCATCAGCAGTTCTAATCAACAAGGAGCAGCTCAAAAAGTTACTTATTTTTGATATGGATGAGCAATAAAAACATATAGTGGTAAAGCACAGCTCAACAGTAGAACAAATGAACAAATGGAAATGTCAAAAATGGTCATTAACATGCAGAATTTTCAAGAAAAAGGATTCTTTTTCACCAAAACTTGCAATTTCAAAAATGATCAAAGTAGGTGCTATTTTCAACGATAAACACCTGACTCTACATCAGATCACTTTAACTACTATCTTATTATAATCTAAATTACCACCAGAAAATGCGCATACTATAACCGTATGGCCATAAGGTTTACTTTTCATATAAAGTAACCGTTTTTATTTTGAAACTTATGGCAGATTTTTAACACTTCTGTTAGACAGTTAGACTCCACACCCAACAAACCCAATTAGTATCCCTTTTACACCTCAGTACGTTGCCTCTGTGGTTCTCCCCACCTGTCAAGTACACACATACACACACACACACTCTCTCTCTCTTGCTTTCACTGTACCTTCGTATTGTCGGCGCCTGCGTGCTGTAGCTCCTGCATGGACAGCTTATGAGCCTCCCCGAGGAGCAGCAGCTGCTTGTTCAGGAAGCTCATCTGCTGCTGGGTGCTCTCACTGTTGCTCAGCTGAAGGACACACGAGACAAACAATGACAATGGAGGGCGAAACAGCCATTACACTACAAATCAAAACTTGACTTCTGAAAATACATCAACAACAACCCCCCCTTAGATTTAGTCTGGAGTGATCCTCTTGCTTTTATCACACATATCTTTTTAAAGGGCAGCTTTTGTCCTCCTCTAACTAGACTGTGTGGAAGAGGTTCGCTTGGTGTCAACCTGAGCGGAAATCATTTGCTATGAAGCCAAGAAAACACCATCAGAAAATTTCTCTCGGTCCCTGATTTTATATTTAGTCACTTTCACATCCATTGATTGGGATTTTTAAAAGACTGTATAGATTTAAAACCCCTGTTCTCTGAACCAAAAGCTCCTTGTTTATCAGGATTTTGGTTCTGTCTGGGTCAGAGGAGGGAAACAGACCTCAGACAAACCCCAGGAGGCAGAAAAACACCCAGACCCCCTGTGTCCATGACCCAAAAATAGAGAGGGAGAGCCATCATCTCCAAGGCAACCGAGCTCTGGGACAGTCTGCGGAGAGATGGCAGGGAAAGGACGGGGGTGTGGGCTGTCGTTTACTCCCCAAGTCTGACCCAACTGTCCCCAAGCCTGCCCGCTGCTCTGAAACAGCACCCCCATTAGTCCAAATTTTGATTTGAATTGAGCACTAAACAAGCCTGAGGGCTGAAAACAAACAATCCTGCTGATTTAAAATGTAGCAGTCAGCTGCCAGCGACAAAATGTTGTGTTAACAGAGCCCATATGTGTTTGTTAGAGGCTTGTTTATCTCCTCATCAGGAACTGAACACCTGCCCAGACATGTAAGATAAAAAGGAAGAAGGTTTTAATCCCTCCTTTTGGCAGAACTTGCTGACTAAAAGTCACACTGCAAAGAAAATATCAGATCCAAGTTTCACTGATTACTGTTAATAGAGAGGACACACAAAAACTCAGTTTTCCTGAAGAGCTTTAAGAGAGAAGAGCTGCTGATGAACTGAACATTTCTAGTTTCTTAAATGTTTTTGTTTTAATTCTTGTTTAATTTTATACATCACATATCTGAACTATCACGCACATTGTATTTAAAATTTTGGTCTATCGTAGTCGGTTTTTCCCCTCATTTATTCACCTTAATAGTCATCTGGTTGAGAAGGTGACCAGTGTGGCAGACTTTGTTGTTGGCCCTCTGAAGCTCCGCCTCCATTTCGTCCATCTTTTTCTGACACTCCTGAAGCTTACTCTGCAGACAAGAAAAAACCAATACGTTTCAAAAAGGTGAAATTACATCTCAGAAAGCTAAGTACAGTCAGACAAACTTTCACTCTCAATGAAAGAGACAACATATTGATATGGCATTATATGATTGTCTTTGCTGGTAAGAGATGAATCTAATATCACTTGTATCTTCAGTTACCATGAGTTACCCTCCTTTACTTTGACAGTGTGACTGTATAGTTGTCACAATGCACTTTTCTAAGGCCCCACTGACTTATGATTAGCGTTACTTACCCATGTAAATAGCGCTATTGGCCTAATTAGGGGTGTCCCGATACAACTTTTTGACTTCCGATATGATACCGACATTGTAGCCTTCAATATTGAGCGATACTGATATTACTGATATATTGGCACAAAATTGTGCATGACAAGTTTTGTACTCAGCTGCAATGTCTTTTTCAGACTTAAACAAATAATACTGACACAGGGCCGACATCACTCTTATTCCTCTCTACTTTGTTAGTACCTTAGTACACACAGTTGTTGTGATTTTGTGGGCTCAGCTTGCTGGATCCAGGCGCTGCTAGATAGAGGTGCCGGAGTGGAGTCTGGAATGGACTGTTTGTATTGGATTGCTGATATCAGAGATTTTAGATGTAGGCCGTTACTGATATCGGACCAATATCCAATATCAATATCGTATCGGGACAGCCCTAATCTTGTTGCAACAGTGTCAGTGTTCGTGACTTTATGTGTGCGTGTGTACCTGGAGCTCCTGGTTCTTAGTGTAGTAGTCGTCTCGTCCCTGCTGCAGCTGTCTGATCTGACTGTGCAGCCGGGTCACCACCGTCTCCCGGTCATCCCACAGCTGCCTGTACCGCTGCTGCTCCACCTGCAGACTCTCCCTCAGAGACAGGATGTCCACACTCTGCAGGTTCAGCTGATCCTTCTGCACACATCAACACGTACACACACACACAGTGTTAGTAGAAAATGTGCTGTGCTCCGAAACATTATCAAGAAAAATGTTTTGACACAGTTTGTGCCATTTTCGCTCTTGGTGCTGTGAAGAAAGCAGGGAGGCAAACACATATTTCTCCACTCACTCTATTTGTAAACAACATTTTACAAAGATCTGCAGGAATTTGAAACTCTTTCAGCTGATTTCTGCATGATTGTCTTCGTGTTTAGCCTCTTTGTTTACATTTCATTTCAGGAGACAGACAGGAGCCTTTTTGACTTCTTTCCAAGCACCATGTGTTTGAAGACTTCATCAATCTCACAATTACCCTGGGCTACAAACAAAACTTAACACTCACTTTCTCTACTTAATGCTGCAAATCTTTGAATAATTGGATAAGGCAAGGCTCAGACCTGGGGGTTTCCAGGCTGAATGGCGGCATCTCTTTAACAAATTTAAAACTGTTAGTCTCATAAAGTCTTTGGGAAAAATCTCACGTTGCTTTCCTTTAACAGTCAAACATTTTACTCACCGCAGATTTGTAAACGAAGGCATTTAGAGGCAGCATGTTATTATTGACCTGGTCTAACACCAGCCTGCTGGCAGTGATGACAGACCTCTCAGTATAAATAGTCATAATCGTATTTGTTTCTGTTTTTCCTCATACAGAGACAACAACCTTTTTTATACAAGATCAAACCTACAGCAGCTCTTAAAAGCTAAAACAGAGTCATAACCGTTTTTATAAGTATGCGCAAACTTGCCATAGCGTTGTTCTGCTCCTCCAGCGCTGTGGCATTGATGATGCGTCGGAGGAGGCGTCGGTTGCGGACGGCGTGCTGCTCCCTCTTGTAGCGCTCGTACAGCAGCTGGTTGTGCAGCAGGAGCAGCTGGCTGCGCAGCGTGTGGAGCTCGTCCATCGGAGCAGAGCCTGGGGAGGCCGTGGTAATAATAATGTAATTAACACGGTCACACACCTGACACACTTACACACCATTAATTATTATTAAAGAGTGAGACACTGCAAGGCAAAAGTAATTAAATGACAATGTAATAGATAAATGCTGAGTTTAAGTTGATGAAAATATGACATTTCCCTGAGAAGGCTTTTTCAAAATCAAGAAATTTCAACAAAACAATGAAGGACTTTTATTGTGAAGAGTTTGCCACCAATGAAATGTATTTATCATTGATTTGATTGAGTGAGCTTTGGTGAAAGTTGTAATCACTATAATGATTGCAGGTAAAAGCCACAGGCCTCTTTTTCCAACTGTTTAGACTCAAGACAAATGACTTGTCAGTTGAAATAGACTCTTCAGCAGGAAGGAAGATCTGTTTAAAGTGAGATTTTAATCTCATGCGGACATCAAACCTACAGAGAAAAGGGCACTAGCTTATCTGATTCCTGTGCCCCGATGCACTTTCAGTGATAATACTGACATCTACGCTTTCACAAGTGGGAGGCAGCCGCTGTGGCTCTGCTTTGAACAGGATGCAGTACAGTTGTCGTCAGCCACAAATCACTCCATTAGAGCTGTCAAAATTGCTTCAAAATGGGGTTCGAATATTTGTCCTAAAAATAACACAGAGATTCAAACATATTTAAATATCTAGCTTACATAGCTTGCATATAACGCTATTTCGCTCAGCATTTTGTCTGCCCAAAATCTGAAAAATTTCCAAATGGAGCTTCTAAAGTTTTTTGGAGTCCAGACCACTCTCTCAGAGTATGTCTCCAAACATCCCACCATCTCTCTCTGCATGTGCCATGGACGGTATTTGTAGAATCTCACAGCATCAGGGATCACCTGTCCCTGATCCGTCGTTACAGTGCGCTCACCCGAAAACCAGCCGCTGTTTTTTTTCTTTTGTTTTTCATTTTTTTCCCCACTCCGTTTTTTCCAGCTGTTTATTTAATATTCAAATATAAATTTTTTACATTCGAATCTTGTTTTTTAAGAATATTCATTGACAACCCTACAATCCATTACACTATTTTTTTTTACCTGCTAACTTGGCTGCATCAGTGTTGGAGGCAAATCTGTTGCACTAAATTCAAAACAAAACGTATGAATGAAACATTGATGACGGTGCTGCAAAATCCACAAGTATGACACTGGTGAAAGCATAGAAACCAGCGCACTGCCCACCCATGCACTGACTGCTAGCTGTGGGATAATCCTTTAAACAGGTTGTATTCATAACACAAAACTTGTTTTTATTGCTGGATAATCTGGATTTGGATCATGACGCATATGGAAACTTGTGATACAATTTCTGAATATTTTCCTGTGGGATATTAGAGTAGGCTAACACATATTTCAAAACTTTTGACTTTTTTATGACCCTTTACACCAAACATCATTCAAACTGTTCTCGCTTTAGAAATTCCTGGTAGGATGTGAATGAGCAGACAAACAAGACTTGAAACATTCTCCTCTGACAAAGCAGCGAGCACATGAGATAGATATTTGAAAATATAAAAAAAATGGAGCTGACTTGGACTCTATTATTGGCCAGCAGAACTTTGGATACAGAGCTTCACTTGTCAACATGAACAAAGAGGGGAGCAGAGAGGGAACATCGAGAGGAAAATTTGATCCAACCCTTAAACAGTCTTCGGAGAGTTTACGTCAGTCAGCCACAGGCGCTGAGAAAAGTTCTGTTGTTGATGCAATCCAAACTACCTGACTCCTATCAGCCGGGCAGGGCGGATGATTCAATTCCAGAGTTGTAATTACAAGCTGGCAGAGAGTTTTTTAAAAACACACACACAGTGTTTGTATCTTGATGTGAGCTGCAGCTGCAGAAAATTAGATTCCTGCCATGGCAGACTGAGTTCATGCAGGAGGTAACAAAGGGTGAAAAAGTCTCTAAACGGATGATTTTGAATGTTTGAGCTGATCGAGTCCGGCGTGACTGTGGGAACTGTGTGCGTGTTTGATAAACCTCAGCTGAAAAAATTCCCTGTCTGGTCCGGTTTTAACATGATGTTCATGTCTCAGAGCTCGTGACGAATCACTAGTCATGCCTAAATAATGCTCCATCTGGAGTCTCAATAATAGCTTCTTTTATCAGTGAGTGTGTGTGTGTGTGTGAGTGCGTTACCTCCAAAGTGCGTCCAGTCAGCTGACTTACTTGGCAAAGGTAATCTGTGAAAGAGAAGGGAAAAACATTTCAGAGGAATGTGCATGTTTTCATCCCAAGCTATCTTACAGCAATTCATGTCAATCCAACAGTTGAATGATATTATATTAGAAAACTTGCACAGCACCAATAATCCAAGAAGAGGAATACTTCCAGAAGGAGTTGAGGAAATGCAAGAGTATCTGGTTATTGATTGGCTGATTTTTATGAACGAACCCAAACACACATTTTTGGTTTGATTCAATCAGGTAGAGATAAACAACATGTTACATTCATCAATCAGAGCGGTGTTTGAAGTTTAAAGCATGTTTCAATGCGAACTAACTGGTTAAGTGTGCTTCACAAAGCTGAGAGGCTGCAGCAGCGCGTGAGGTCTCCAAGAGCTTGTTTAGGGGAGCAATATACAACAACCAGTACTATAGAGACAGAGGGTGGGACTTTTTACCAGGACATTAATATTCTTCCTTTCTTGGGGCAGCTTTTGAGCCAGAGCAGCACCTTATAAATAATATCTACACCAATACAAATGCATAAAGAAGTGCATGGGCTGTCTTCCTACTAAAAAGGAGCAAAATAAGCTTTACCTCTATGAAGAATGTGATGATATAGCCAGTTCTTAGATCAAATGTGAACTTAAATCAAATCCAGCGACGTTATACCAACCACTGTACATCTCAAACTAGGACTTACTCTTTTATGACAGAGCTTGGCTAGCTTTCCCCTTTATTAAACCCTCCTCCAGTGTTAGGGTCTGCATCAACTCGTTTTTGTTTTTAAATGCTAAAAAGAACCACTTAAATTAGCTTTTTTTTTGCATCAAGACTCTTTGTCAGGAACCTCTATTTCAACAAAATAAATAAAAATATATATTTTTAATTGACTAAATTTTAAAATGCTCTTATAAAAATGATGGCACCTTGTCGTGTTAGGGTCGCTGTTGACCGGGTTAGAGTGATAATCAATAATTAGAGCAAAAATTAAAATCATAAGTGCACTGCCAGGAACTACACTGACAGTCAGATCCTCTTCCAATCATGTGAGATTTAAGGAATTCTTATTTTGCCTTGTTTTTGTCTCCACAAAAAACAACATCAGACATGTCCAGACATGTGAGATCAATTCAGTATAGATGTCTGTGTGAGCAGTATACTGACAAAGAAACACCAAGAGGCCCACAACAAAAAATATTACAAGCAATATTTTCATGGACAATGAAGCCTAACAAGGTCACTTAGAGATGAGAACCAAATAGGATGATAGAGAATTGTCATAACCGATCCTTAACATGGTGGGTGCGTAGTAAAAGCTAACACAGAAGGAAGGTTAAAGTGTTTGAAAATGATTTGTCTCAACTATGCTTCTTGTCTTTTTCTTTATTCTTTGCCGTGACATAGACGGTAAAACCTGCAGCTGAAGGCTTACTGAGTTGAGCAGAGCAAGACCGCTCTGTGTCCAATGCTGACTTTGCTGACACTGTTTTTGCTGTTGTGTTATTGGCTCTGAGAACCCGCTCACCATGTGTTTGTGTGTATTAGTGTGTGTTTGTGTGTGTTAATATGGGGAAAGTAAGGGGGTGGCAAAATCTGAACAATATCATACTTGTTCTCAAGTGGGTGTTTCCTTTGGCTGCAGTAACAGTCTGGAAACAACCCAGGCTAGCTCTGCACAGCAAACAGGACATCCAAACACTCCTGAGTTTCTTCAGTATGATAAACTGGAGGTTCGGACACACAGAGAGGACCAGCCAATACTCTGGGGGCAAATACCTCAACCCAACTTGAGGATCCTCTAAATCTGTTCATTTTATTAGTAGGACACATAAAAGTGTTTATCTACACCTGCTATAAAAATAAAACATTGGTTTGAAAACACCTAAACCACCTCCTGGCCTTGAGAGATGGTCAACTCATGATTTTATCACAGAAGTGCAGAGCTGGAAGAAATGCCTGTCATGCAAAGTTGTTAGTATAGGCCACAAAACTCAAAACGGTGGCAATGGTAGTGAAAGAAACACTTCCTAATAAAAGTAATACATCGGTCACTACGCATGTAAATCGCCAGTTCCTCACAAATGTTATCCCAAGACACTTGATATGAAGTCAAACATCTTAATCTGGAATTATTTCTGTGACAGTCTGCTGATGGATTTGGTCAAAGGAGCTGACTAGAGCCACCATGACAGAACAGCCGATGAGGTTTTGAAGCCAGTCTTGCTTCTGCAACTCCCTGATGCAAAGTAAAACCTGAGACACTAATACAACTTTGTTAAAGGTTAAGTGCAAGAGTATTAAGACAAGGTGTGGGAGAAAAAAATCAATACAGCATTGTATCACGATATTTTGTGATATATATTGTATTGTCTCATTTGCCAAGAATTGATTTTTCAAATTAATTGTGAATATAAAGTCAAATCTATGATAATGGAAAAAAAAAATCAACTGTTTTTCCAGTGAGGTTGGCAGAGGTGAAATCATAGATGTGCTACATACATAAAAATACAGCGTAAATAAGACAAACATAAAGGAAAGCCAAATGCTAAATATGCTTAACAGTTTAAAAAATTGTATTGTATTGTATTGCAATACTTACTGTAATGCAAAATGTTTAAAATCACAATAAAATTGTATCGTGGCCCAAGTATCGTGATAATTTAGTATTATGGCTCAAGTGTCATGATAGTTTAGTATTGTGTCCCAGGTATCAGGATAATTTAGTATTGTGGCCCAAGTATCATGATAACAAGGTCTCGTGGCCCAAGTATCGTGATAATATGGTATCGTGGCCAAAGTATCATGATAATTTAGTATTGTGGCCAAAGTATCATGATAACAACGTATCGTGGCCCAAGTATCGTGATAATATGGTATCGTGGCCAAAGTATCATGATAATTTAGTATTGTGGCCAAAGTATCATGATAACAACGTATCGTGGCCCAAGTATCGTGATAATATGGTATCGTGGCCAAAGTATCATGATAATTTAGTATTGTGGCCAAAGTATCATGATAACAAGGTATCGTGGCCCAAGTATCGTGATAATATGGTATCGTGGCCAAAGTATCATGATAATTTAGTATTGTGGCCAAAGTATCATGATAATTTAGTATTGTGGCCAAAGTATCATGATAACAAGGTATCGTGGCCCAAGTATCGTGATAAAATCGTACCGTGGCCCAAGTATTGTGATAATATGGTATTGTGGCCCAAATATCGTGATAATTTAGTATTGTGGCCCAAGTATCGTGATAATATTGTATCATGGGGCCACTAGTGATTCCCACCCCTAATTTCGATGCAGTGAATTGTATTTTGAGGCCATGCAGGGACCTCCACTACAGAGTCATGCCTGTATCATGGCCACCAAATCTGAAGCAGAGTGCTGATGTAAAAAGGTCTAGATATAAACTGAAGACAGAAATTGAAATTTGTTCATAAAGGCACCCTTGGAGAGAGTTTTTGCAGATTACCTCTTGAGCACTTTATCATGGGCGTCGCTCCCCTGCTGAACAAGGCGATCCAGCACCTCCAGTGGCGAAGCAGACACTACACCTTCCTCCTCCCCGTCCTCCAGCCCCTCCTCCCACTGTGACAGTCTCTCCATGGCCGCCTTGTGCACCGCCTCTGAAGTCTTCTGGCCCACAAAAAGCGAGGCTGCTCTAGGCAGGGCCAGGTCGAAAAAGGACTCATAGGGTACCGGGGCAGGGGTCTTACTGCACGGGCTTGGAGAGAACATCCCAAACTTGCCTACTTCATCTTCTGGGGCGGAGGGGCTCCTGTGCAGGTGGTGATCGATGGGGGTGAAACCTGACTGAAAGGACCAGGACTGCTCCAGGCCGAGCGCTGAACTCCTGCTGTCTCCTCCTGTTGGTCCACCTCCTCCCCTCTCACTCCCTACACCGCTGGAATTCACGGTGCTCTCTGCTTTGTCTGGAGTGGCTTCAGCATGGTGGGTGTTCTGGACAGGGCCTGCAGACTGGTTGTTGGAGAGGGTCTTGACCTGTGCCTGACAGCCAGTCAGAGTCTCAGTGGTGTGATAGAAAGGGGAGTCAAACCCCCTCAGCCCGGACAGCTCCTGCTTATCCTCGGTGATCTTCAGGAGTTCCTCTGTGATGGCAGCTGCAGCAGAGACAATATACGGAGGATAAAGTTAAACCTTCATGTTTGTTCTGAATGTCAGTGTCTGTCCTTAAATATCTCTGCATTCACGACAAGTACCAGGCACCTGCTATACCAGTTAGAAAACAAAAGTTTGGGGCTTGTGTTTTCCCTCAAGAGACGGAAAGTGTTTAAGAGAAAGCAGCGAGCGTCAGCAGCAGAGCTTGTGCCATTTGGCAGGTGCTTTCATCAGAGTGGGTTCACCATACTGTAGATGCATTTATTTTTAGCACAAGTGGCTTGAGTGGGATTTACACCAATAACGGAGCAGAGCTAGCAGAACACAGAGGGATCTAAAGAGGGATGTGTTAGCATCTTGAATAATTAGTCAAAGTGGGGGAGCTTGAGCTCACTTAGCTCAACAAGAGAATGAATTAAATCAATCAGAGGAGCAATCTACTCAAAACTCTCTGGTTTATGTTCAACATAGAACTGGAATGAATGAAAACACACAGCTTTAACGAGAAAATATATCACCTAGGGCTGGGCAATATGGCCTCAAATCAATATCACAATATATCGAGCAGTTCACCTCGATAATGATAAATGGATGATAACTACTCCACAAGCTGCTCACCCCCTCCCACATTAACTTCGTCTACTTCAGCCGCTACAACTTTAAAACCATCCTCCATGTCCTCACCTGTCTTTCCCTCTTTGTTACGGACTGTATGGGGTGGAGTCATGTAACTGATTTAGAAAGGGACATGAGACCATAGCCTACCGACACACATCCAAAACCAACTTTTACTTATTTTTTGACACAGAATATACCGATATGGGCAAAATGACGTTGGTTGTTGTTGTAAATTTTGGTATCTGTAAATTTTTGGTTTATTGCCCAGCCCTAATGTCATCCCAGTAAAACAGATCTGATGGATTCAAGTTTCTGGGCTTAATTGCTGCAAGCTTTTTTTAATGATAACAGCCAGTTCAACCCAGGTCATTCACACCCCTGTTACTCCTTGTCTGCAATGTGCAACCCACGGAGGGCTGAGCCACCCTCAGAGGGAGTAGGAGAGGCCAAACAGGAGGGATGGTGGCGATTAATAGCCTTGAAGCTGGCAGGGCAGAACAGCACAGTGTGTGTGTGCCCCAGTCTGTGTGTGTGGCACTCCTGCTTCTGCAGTGCTTCAACATAATATGAAATTTTACACTGAGAAATCTACACTACTGTAGAATGTGAATAAGAAAAAGCATGATGGCAATGCAACATGCATGTTTATGCAGTTTGGTCTGGATTTGTGTTCTTACAGGTTTTCGTGTGTGTGTGTGTGTGTGTGTGTGTGTGTGTGTGTGTGTGTGTGTGTGTGTGTGTGTGTGTGTGTGTGTGTGTGTTTCACAACACCTGCTGCTGCTAAAACGTTGGGACACTCTGTAAAAATGTTGCTGATGTTTCTCAATAGTATTTGCTGCATTAATGGCTTCCTCTTTGCATTACTGAGTTTTAACCTGAATTTGTGGATGGTGCAGAGAACATTGGACACAGATGATTGTTTTTGGGGAGTGGTTTTGAGCCCATGCAGTGATTTCCACTCCAGAGTCATGCATGTTTTTTACACAGTTCCCAAAGATCATGGCCATCCAATCTCAGTTTAGTTTAATTTAGCTGACTGGTTTACACTTACACAGGTAATACAAAGTAAAATACACAAAAACAATGAGGACTTGATGTGCGCATACTCTAGTACTTCAATAACGAGTCACTCACAGAAACCTTGTCTCTTCAATAGAAACATTTCTCCAGATTCTCTGAATCTTTTAACAAAATTATGCACTGCAGATGATGAAATCTCAAGTTCTTTGCAGTTTGGGACTGAAGAACCTAATTCTGAAATTGTAGAACCATTTTTTCCTCACAGTCTTTCACAGAGACATGAACCTCCTCCCGTATTTACTTTCAAAATGACTCAGCCTCTTTATGCCCCCTCATATTGTGAACCTGTTTCAAATGAATGCGGGACACTCACCTTCCTCCCTCTCTTTCTCAGTTCTCAGCTGAAGCTCCAGCTCCTGTTTCTTCATGAAGACCGACAGCTCAGTCAAAGTCATGGAGATGTTTTCTGCAGCGCCTGCATCTGAGGAGGACACGTCTGGTTTACAACAGTGGGTGTGACGTCTTAACGAGCGCTGCAAAATGCACCTCTGAGCTGCTTGTTTCCCTTTAAGACGACCTTTACTTTGACATTCATGTTGTTAACACACACTCAGACTCATCATGACTAACCTCTGTTTGTAGCCGCCTCTGCACTCCTCTCTGCCTCTTTCACCGGCTCCTGTCTCACTAGTGCAGGCTTGTTGGTCTCTCCGTGTCGGCGATCCTTGAAATACACAGAGGTAATAGTTGAATAAAGCAGAAAATGAATGAGTGGTTTGCTTGTGTTTATTCTATTTCAGAGAACCTTTACTTATATTTGAAGTCTGAGTGTGAGAAGGACGACATGTGGAGAAGGCTGAGAATAAATCTTTAACTATTTCAGCGTGCCAAGAAAACCAGAACTACTTAGTGTCACGTTTATTTACATTGATGACCCAAGTATGTGACAAGAACCCAAACAAACTCCTGCTGAGAACTGATCTTATCATAACCACTCCATCTCTCCTCTCCTGTTGCTTCCACCCTGCGTGCAAAATCACTGAGTAAACCCACTTTCACTAAATCAATGTGCCTCCTGTTGTCAGATAGATGAGATTTTCAAGTTTGAAGTAAATTGGTTAAATTGGTTGGTAGACTTGATTTTTTTTGTATGTTCCTGAGTTTGAAACATGGAAATAAAAACGTTGAAGGACTTTTTTGTTTCCAAGAAAGTGAGCAAAGAGTAGATGTAGTAAAAAACTAGTCATGAGAGAAGATGTACCTTTCTTGGTGGACTGGACTGGACTGTGTTGGCAGGTAAAGAGATGATGGGGAAGTCATCTGACAGGGTGGGAGGTGGGGATGAGGTGGCTGGAGTGCTGGAGGCAGGTGTTCCTTTCCCCCCTTTACATGAGGATAAAAAAAAAATCAGTCAAGGAAAAAACAGGATTTTTAGTCTATATGTTCTTGCCACGGCAAAACCTAAAACCTGCAAAAGCAGCATGATGTAAGTGTTGACCTGATGTGCAGTGGAAGCGGCTGGGAAGGTGTGAGGCACTGTGGGAGAGCTCCAAGTTGGGCGACATGCCCCTGGAGGAAGGGGGCGTGGCCATGCCACACAACGAGGAGGGGCTCCACAGAGGGTCCTTCCCCCCACAGGAAGAGTTGAGTTCACAGGTGGAGTTCTGCAAAGAAACAGAGACGGTTCCATAAAATTAGAGGATACATCCAAAAAAGCTGAAAATCTTTCATCTAAGTTACAGTTTGCCTCATTTCTATAATTTCTAAACTTTTTTTTTTTTTTTTTTGCAAAGAGGCTTCATCTGTCGACCAAAATTCAGCAGAGAGTATGAAAAGCGTTAAGGATACATAGGTGTGTTTTTGCGCACAACATGATACTAGGGTTGAACGCATGGCTAAATGTATGAATGTCAATATGCACATGATGGCTGAATCCTTGTATCTCTGCTATACCCAAAGTCAGCACACTGCTGAAACTCACAGGTCGGCAAATTCTGACGTTTGTCGAGTCCAATAAGTATTCAGTAAAGACACATGTCACGTCACGTCAGCCGAAGAGACGGAGAGCAGCAGTGGGGTCTGAAAGCAATGCCACCGGATTCTTTTATGTTTTCTGTGCCAGCTCTGTGAGCAGGATGGACCTCAAGAATACTGAGATTTACCATTTTGGGAACTGAAGAGTTTATATTTGGCCACCATGGTATCAGAGAGGGGTGTGAGTAAGGGTGAAATTATGACTTAAATACTTGATTTGTTTTTCTTTTTCATTTTTACTTCATGAATAAAACCTCTAAATGTATTACAATAGCTCAACGCTAAAATCAACCTTATACAAATAATAATTAATAATAATAATAATAATAATAATAATAATAATAATAATAATAATAATAATAATAATAATAATAATAATAATAATAATTCATCCAAATACGTCTGCGCCTCTTTGGTGCTTTTTTCACTGAACGGCTGATCTCCTGTGTGCTCTAGTTTTTGTCTGCCTGGGTCAAAGGAAGTGCTGCACATGGACAAATCCTCAGACAGACCCCAGGGAGCAGAAAAACACCCAAACCCCTCCCTTGGGTAGCTGGCCCAGTAACAGAGAGGAGGGGGAGATGGCATCTCCATAGCAACAAGCCCTCGGGATTGTCTAGAGAAAGAGGTGGCAGGATGGGGACAAAGGGCATGTCCTGTTATTTCGTGAGCTCGGGCCGACTATCTGCCAATCTGTGGACTCTACTGACCCAGAAACCATCTGTCCACTTGGATTGTGTGGATTTTGGGAGAAAGCAATTGAATTCCTGATATCTGACAGGTGATATATGGAGTGTAAACACGGGCACTTGTACAAGCGCTCACAGCAAACAGAAGCTTCAGGCTGAAGTGCTCTGATGACCCTCTGATCAGTCACCGCAGACCGATCCGAACCAAGACTCTGACTGCTTTGTGACGGTATTATTGATGGGGCTTACCTGCCGTCTGGAGGTCTGTGGGCTGCGGTGGGAGGACTGTGTCCCTGAGAAGGGGGGCAAGGACAGAGGTGGGGGAAGTGGCTGCCTTGGAGTCGAGAACGGGGTCGAAGAAGAGCTTCCTGTTGTCAAAAAGACAAATAGTCTGATCAATGTGTAGAGGAGGTTTTAAAATACCTGCAACCATTTGATACTAGTCATCCGACTCATGATATCTACACAATACTTGATATCAATGATTTGTGACTCCTAAAAAACACAACTGTGCAGAGCTCAAATTACTATGATTTGCTTTTTTTTGTAACTTTGAATTTGCTTAAAACTTCATTTCATTCATGTTCGGTTTGCTATTTCTTTTCTAAACTTTGCTTTAATAATATATTACAGTTAAAAAAGATGAATAGATGTATTACTAAACTACTGTAGACAAAGTGATGTCTTCAAGTGAGAGATAAACCGGTTTTAATTCGAATATTTGCTTTGGAAGATCTTGGCATCAGCAGTTTTCATTAATTCTTTGAAGCTGGTTTGAGCTTGTGTTTATAAGTTAAACAGGTCTGATTCATTTTTATAATATTCAAATTATACAACTAGGACAACAAATCTATCTTCAAAGCAACTGGATTTTTCCAGTTTGATGACTGAACGTCCATTTTCTTTTTCTCAGTGTGACAGGATGACATTTTATTAACCTTTGTCTGACGGCCATTTTTCTGACCCAACCTTGAACACACCACAATGTGATGTAACGTCACCATGTCTGCAGATTTTGTCCTGCTAGTTTTTCCAACAGATTACAATGTTGGAATATCAATTTAAATTTTCAGAAGTTCTAACAAAGTTCTGTTGTGGTTTAACCACCAGGAGGACAACGTTTTACGGTAAGGGTAGATAACTATCATTAACTCATGTTTGAATTACCTGATGGACTATCAGTATTAGTGGTGACTCTGTGATGATTTATTACATCAATTAATGCATTAACTAATGTGTGTGAGTCATCATGAGTTATGACATCTTCACAGGTACGTCTACAGTCATGCATGAATTCATGATAATTCCTGTACCCTTGGCGTGAAGCGTTACCACAGTGATATTGTTTTTTCTAACCAAAGTCAGCCGCATTGCATTAAGCCAAACTTTAGACTTTTGTTAACATCCGGCCTTCCTTAAAAGAGCTGTGCTTGCTCTTCTTTATGTAGTTTAATATGTTTTGGCTGTGAATCAGTTCTGTTCAAAAAACTTTGGACCATCAAAGTACGTTTGTGTACCGCTGATATTATTAATATGACTCAGCATATAATGTCACATCTCTTTGTTTTTAATTTCTTAATTCTTGGTTTTTAATTTCTTTATTGCACTACTCTTTCGTTTGTGATTTTTTTTCTTTTTTTTCTTTTCTTGATCTTTAATCTTGTTTAATTATAATTTCTTTTAAGGAAAGGATTCCAGATAAACCAGTATGGCTTCTTCCTTTCCTTGCACAGTATGCGCCATAAATGTATATGATATGTATGTTTTCATCAATGTGCTAAATAAACTAAACTAAACTAAACTAAACTAAACTAAACTAAACTAAAGGAACCTCCAGGCTCAATGGTTCGTTCATGAGCCCAAAGTTCTTGAATTTCAAGTTTAAAAAATGTGAACTAGATTGGATCTCCGTACGTACTGATCAGAATTATATTTTAAGTATTTTCTTTTTCCAACTGCAAGTTCTCAGAGACAAGAGCTGTTTATTCGGGGGAACATTTAACACAACAAACGTGACCAATAAGATGTCGGGTCAACACACTTGGTGTGTTTCTGTAGAAAACATAAAGCCAGTGTTTAGGAACTTTTAAAACAGGGTTTCCACAAGAGGTCCTTAAAATTCCTTCTGTTTTTCTTTTTTCTTATGATTTCATTAAAATTACCCTAAAAAAATTCTGAAATGTGAATGTTAAGAGGTTATTCCAGCCAAAAAAAAAAGCTGCCATATTTTAACAGGAAGCTATTAGAAGTTCTTGGTGTGTAAAGAGTTCTGACCGTAGCTGCTGTGGAGGTCTGTGTAAGGGCTGGAAGTGCAGTCTTGTGGTCGAAGGTGAATTTGGGGGTAAAAGTTCTCAGGCATGGTGGCATAGCCCTCCTCACAGGAGGCCTCCTTGGGGTCTAGAGACACTTTGGCACATTCGATGACGATGTCATGGATTTCATACTTTTTCCACCTTTAACAAAACAAAGCGACATCAGTTACAAAGAGATACAAGACATGGAGAAAGACTCGACATCAAACAGTCCCCTCCACAGCCAAAGCACAGCAGGACTAACCTGGTGGGGTCCAGCTCGTGGTCCTTTGTTCCTGTCACCAGTTCAGGGTGAATACGCACATGTTCAAGCATCGGCTGGAGGGGAAGGTTGAACACATCATTATATAAAGTTAGTAGACCACAAACCCTCTTCTGAGGAGGAGAAAGAAGACGAAGAAACACAGCAGGGAGAAGCTTCTCACCTTCACCACCTCCTCAAAAGTTTCCATGTTCTCCTTCATGCTGTAATGGGAGCGCAGGTAGGACACAAAGTTGCACGGGTACATGCCATAAAGGCGGTGGAAGAGAGAATAGACGCTGGCGTGGAGGTGGATTAGATAGACCTCGGAAACATGCCCTGAGTGAGGAGAAAATACCAAAGAAAAAAGCAGAACCTCGGGATTAGATCCAACACAAAGAGCTGACGCAGCAAGAAAGCTTCACAATCATCGAACAGAGTGTTGTTGTTTGTCTTGGCTGAGTTTATCCACCAAAACCTCCTCACCCTGTCCAAATTTTCACACACCAGTTAACTGCATAATCTGTTAGGAGTGCAAAATCCTATGGAGGGTTGAACAGAGATCTTTGTCATCTCAAAAGACCGTGTTTGTGGATCATTAGACAGCCAGTGAAAAAAAAGCAGCCCTTCTACTACTTCAGTATAAAACTCTGCCAGGACGGCCCGTGCAGAAATGTCCCTGTTACAAAGATGTGTTTGAAACATGACAGGAAGCTCCTACCAGGATTTTTCAGGTTCCAAGATGCCAGGCGGCCAAAGATGTCAAAATACTCCCACAGGTGTTGTTTTCCAGCTTGAGGGATCATGGGTAATAGAGTGATGAGCACCAGCACTCCCGTTATCAGCACCACTACGTCTGTATCTGTCTGCGAGGGGGACAAATCCGACAAATGTAAACAAGTTTAGGAAAAGTAAGTCGGAAACAGCTCTGTTGGGAGACCTTTTATGGGACTGCAAAAACTAGTCAAAACAAGTCGTTTTCATGAAGAAAGCTGAAGTTCACAAATGAAAAAGTGTGTCTACAGGAGCTTTACATTCTGTGCAGCACAGGATACCCTCCATCCTCAGACCTTTGCTCAAGATAAGGACAGAAATCAGAATGAGCTTTAGAGAGAGATCCCTGTTCTAGGACAGACTGTCTTAGAGGAAGTGATCCCTGTTTTTTAGAAAGAAAAAAGTAGACTAAAACAGGGAATATGCTGAAATCCTAAAGCTGTATTTCTTACCTGTCAAGACTTAACAAAATTAAGGCCTAAATGCCACTTTAGCCTGTCGACTTGCTAAATTTTAGATAAATATGGAGAGAACTGAACAATTTGGATGTTATGGTCAATATTTGTACGGTTCAGGTTTTAATAAGGCACAATTCCACAGTGTTGCTTATGCTTTATTCTACATGTCAGTATACTCAGTGACACCCCCAGAATACTAGTATTTAAACTGTGTAGAGAAAACTAAAGGGAAATTGGAAAAGGGCTCAATTTTCTGTTTATCAACCTGTCTACCTTGATGAAACCTTACAAAATAAGTGTTTCAGAAATGTGACCCTAAAGCAGCAGGATCCATCCAAACACCGAGCTTTCAGTGTTCCCTGCGTCATAACTGGGTCGTTACCTTCAGGCATTTGAGCAGCGAGAGCAGCAGAGGGTAACGGGCGATTTTGTGGATCCAGGATGGCTGCTTGCGGATGACATGGCCGAGCAGGGTGAGGGTGGGCAGCCGGCAGGCCTGTTTGGTCATACACTCGTTCATCTTATCCAGAAGGTGCTGTGATGAAGAGAGGGAGGGAGAGTCACTTAATTATTATTAATGACAGGTGCATTAACATAAAGCTAATTTTGGTAACCCTTTCTTTTACGGTACACTTATTACCAGCTTATTAACAGGTAATTACCTAGTAACAACATAAAATTATCTGGTAATTACATGATAACTACTAAGTCAATACTGTCTAGTTTTTCTTTTTTCTGTGCAGCTCCATTTTCAAAAGCTATTTGGGGTTCTTATTTTCTATGATTGACACTTGATACAGCCTATGGGCATGCAAAGATATGGTGCAGTGATAAGCTGTTTGAGCCGAGCATTATCACAGCGACTCACCCGCTGAATGTGTATATTGCTACTGTGCAAGTGGTGGTTCCAGGAAGCGGAGAAAATCCTGGAAATACCAGAGCAATTCGGCTTCAAATTTGTATGATGATGGAAGGTTACCTACCTGGTAGCTAGACAGTATTGACTTAGTAGTTATCATGTAATTACCAGATAATTTCATGTTGTTAATAGGTAATTACCTGATAATTACCTGGCAATAAGTGTACCGTAAAAGAAAGTGTTACCCTAATTTTCATAGTTGCCAATCGGCAGACATGAAGTTACACAACAAATCCAACAACAGATGCGGATTACTGTTGTGACTAATAAGACGAATAGATGATGCCACAAAGAAAATCTCACCAATAATCAAATCTAGGGGTGTCCCGATACAACTTTTTTACCTCCGATATGATACAGATATTATAGCCTTCAGTTTTGTCCGATACCGATATTGATCCGATAGTGGCACCAACTTGTGCATGACGAGTTTTTCACTAAACTGCAATGTCTTGATTGAAAAATACTGCCACAGGGCCGACGTCACTCCTACTCCTTGGTGCTTTGTTAGTACCTTAGTACACACTGTGGTTGTGATCCCTTGGGCTCTACATGCTGGATCCTGGGGCTGCTACTTAGAGGTGTTGGGGCAGAGTCTGGAATGGACTGCTTGTATCGGAGTGTTGATATCGGAGATTTCAGAAGCAGGCCAATATAATCCGATATTCAAATTTTGGACCGCTATCCAATATCAATATCGTATCGGGACACCCCTTATCACATCACATCAAAATCATACGCCACAGCTGGAGATTTTTGTCTTTCACTTGATTTAGATTAAATCTTTCCCCACCCTTCTAGAGGGGACTGATTAATCTGTGCATTATTCTACACCAAGTCACACTTAGGCCTGAAAATTTGCTGTCCTAGTAGCCACCAGGGGTGGGCCAAAAAAATCGATTCACACAAGAATTGCGATTCTAATTTTCTACTATTCAGAATCTATTCAAAATGTCCCAAAAATCGATTATCACGAAGCTCTCCGCCAGCTCCGAGCGGGCAAAAAAAAAAAATCTATCTCCTGCTTCATTGCCAAAGACCTACGGCCTTACAGTGTGGTAGAGAACGAGGGGTTTATCTGCATGATATCTACATAGATAAATGCTTAAAGCTTAATAAATGTGAAAAAGAGTCGAATCGAATCGTCAGACAGTAAAAGATTCCCACCCCTAGTAGCCACCACGCTTAGAAAATATGCCAATAAGTTTTCCAAGCTTCTGAATGCCAAGCTGTTACACCTGATTAAGATTTTTCGAAAAGAGCAGCACTTCTTCTTTGCTGTTGTTTCCTCCTCCTACAGACAACAGTTCCTCTGAATGCAGCAGTCACAGCACCCAGACAAGGTCCAAAAACATTCTCAGCTAGTTAGCCTTCCTCGGTTGGAAAGGAAGGTCAAATGCTTCATTTTCTTTATGTAACTGTCTGGGATCCATTCATCTTTCAGAGAACCGTTTTTCACTCAGACAGAGGTGGATAATAAAAGCGGACGGTGCAACAGAGCAACAACAAGCAACAAAAGCGGCATGTCTGTCCCCTCAAAGGTCGGCACAGCTAAGATGGCTTTTAGTTAGTCAACAGTGCAAAGGTATAGAATTGACTTGAGTCTGAGTGGATTATTCTCTGGGTTTTGATCTTAGAGTATTCAAATGAAGTTGGCCAAATTCATTCAGCAGCTTTGAAAGTACTGATAAATTGTTCCATGTTTCTCAGGGGCATGAAAATCTAATTGGGGCCTAACTAACTAATGAAATGGGAAGAACAGGTAAAAGGCTGGGAGCTACGGGTCAGGTACCCACTGTGCACTGAGGTCTTGGGGACCTGTCCAGACTTTGAGACTCAGGCTGAGTGCTGGGGAGCTCCGAGTCTGAAAACTTGCAACTTATTTGGTTTGTGTGGGAAACAACAGTCTTCATGGACAATTATTGCAAACATGGAAAAGACGAAGAAATTTATACGTTTGTCTAATCGATTCTTAATCGTTTTCATCTCTTTTTTCATTTCCAATATATTTTCTTGCATCTGTAAAAGCACTCTTAATTCCCTTGTGAATGAATGGTGCCATACAAATACACTTTCCTTGCCTTGTCTTCTGTTTTGTCAAATACAATTTTCTATCCACCATCAGCGGCCCTGATCGTTATCACCCTCTAAAAAAGTGATACTGGTCGACCACAACTTTCCAGCCAATTAAAAGCTGAAACTCTGAACATGACTCTGGCCAGACCGTGTTAGCTTTGCTTACTGAGTAAGCATGACGACCTAACCAGGTTAAAAGAGAGCCAGCTTTGTGACACCAAGACTTTGAAACCAACAGATCAGATTTTCCCTTCACACTTGCTTTACAGTTCACCTCTTCATAAAGAAGTTTTTTGTGCTTGAGCTGCATTCAGGCTGAACAGAAATGCTGCTTCTTGGTGATTTCAGTGTTTTGTGAGACATTCTGCTACCAAGCCGAGGTGACAGGAACATCACATACATTCAGAGATTAGTGAGTGGACATTCACTAAAGGGGAGGAGTCTCCTCTCCTAGAGTGTAGACTCACAGGCACAAATACAAACACAGCTGACTCAGTGAGGAATGTAATGCAGGTAGTGCATGGAAGCTAGTTATAGCAAAGCTAGAGAAAACACAGTTCACAAGCATTAAAGCACGGACTCTGCAGCCAACAGTTTGAATATCATATTAAAACTATTGCACCTGCGATTGGCCACGGATGCCGACTTGTTGTATTTACTCTCACATTAGTCACTTAAAACAGATATGAAACTGTAACACTGTAATGATTCTCACCTTATCATGTGGCTCTCTGACTGAGGACAGGATATGCATGGCCTGTGCAGAGTTTGTTTCTAAAAAGTAATCCACCAGCCCGTTAAGCAGCATGGACCCCCGCTCTGTCAGGGAAACAGAGACGATCATGTCAGTGGGTTAAAAGAAGAAGCAGTAACACCCATACTGAAAATACCAACAGAGCAGATTAACTTCGTTTAAAGCGGAACAACGATGTTGACCAAGAGGAGCCGCCCTACCAGAACTCAGCTGCTCGTTGATGAGGCCTCTGATCTCGTCGAGCTGGTGGAGGTCAGAGGTCTCCAGGAGTGGGAGGAGGTCCCCCACGTTGGGCTGCTCCCTGGCCATGGTGGCGGCAGTGCTGGAGGTGGGGGCAGCGTCTCTCTCACGGTGTCCGTCCCTGCCTGGAGGACTCCTGGGGCCACCCACCAATACAGTCTCCAGGCACCTCTGCAACACCCAGATCAAATTCAAACATTTCTCAGAATTAGAAAAGCTTTGGCCGAGGATTAGTTGGCATGTGATTATATCGACTCGGTCTTGAGAAGCATTGCAAAAGTTATTTGTTCATAATAGGAAAAAATCTAAATCATGTTCCTAATGAGAAAACTGGCCTTTCCTTAAATTTAGATTGATTCGGGCGCTCGTGGTCATCTGCAGATGACAACAGTACGCCCAGATTCACAGGAATTGGCCAAAAAAAAACAGACTTTTGCAAGAAACTAGGAATAAAGGTTAACACAGCAGGAGTAACATGACTAATAAATGGACAAATGACACATTTCATAAGAAAGAAAAAACGTTGAGGGAAGTTGGTGTGATAGTGAAGTCATTTATTTTTTAAGTAATGAAGCACAACGATGAATGGTAGCAGTAGTAGTAGTCGAAGTAGTAGTAGTAGTAGTAGCAGTAGTGGTAGTGTGAGGGTTAGATTTGGGTTTGATCTGTTTTTAATCACTGAGTTTCTTTTGGAATTTATACTGTTTTCTTTCTGTTAAAATTTGTGATAAATGACGCTGTTTGGGTTCATTTTTATATTTGAATAGCTTTAATCTTAACTAACTCATGCCAATCTATTTCCTAAAAATGCTTGGAATAAAAGCATCAATAATCCATCAATATCTATCTTTAATACATCTTTCCTTTTGGGACATGAAGGGTTTTAATCTTTAGTATAAGATGATTATTATATTAATGCCAATTCAGAGTTTTGAACTTTTTCTAAAGTTTTTAGCTGGTTATGAAAAGAGGGACATTCACACTCATGCTTCTCTATGAACTCAATCATGTCTATGGTATTACTTCACCTCTAAGGCCCCGTTTATACGTACCCCGTTATTTCTAAAAACAGAGACATTAAACATCGTTTGCACACTTTGTTTAGACACAAACGGAGAACTCCCCTCTGAAAATGAAGCTTTTTAAAAACTCCGGCCAGAGTGGAAATTTTGGAAAACTCCATTTGCACATCTGCATGAGAAGAACGGAGGAAAATGGAGATTTGGGTAGCCGACGGCGGATTGTGTGCAGGACAGAGGGAAGGGACTTTGTTGTTGCTGCTTCTACGCGGGATTCTGATTGGCTGACATGGGCTTGAGCTTCTCGCTACACTGGTACCCACATGTCAGCATATGGGTTAGTGTAAACGAAAACTTTACTGAAAGCGTAGTGGTGTGCATGCAGTTTTTTGTAAACAGAGAGGGTTAAATGTCCAATTATGAAAATAGCTGGGCAAATGTCCATGTAGTCAAAATCCTGGGCTGGGTGATAACAGCAATTATTGTGATTTAATTTGATCAAAAACAGATATTTAACAAACGATCAATAAAAGCCTGATGGATTGAAACACATAGACTGGAAAAGTAGGGAAGCTAATGCATCTTGAACGCCAGCTGCCACCTGATAATAAGAGAAGAGGGAGACAACAACAAAGGGATAAAGTAGGTGGACGATTTTGGCAGAATGGAAACTGCTAAAATGAGCAACAGTGACATTCAGTACATTTGTATGCACAGTTAAGCTACAGTTATAGATCCATGTAACTGGACTACTGTACAGTGGTCTAGTTTTCAAAGGCTCCAAACTCTTTCTAAAGAAACAGAGTTTTAAACAATAGAAAAGTGCATTTAATGAAAATCCATTTAAATCAGACTGGGCATTGAATTTTTTTGTATATGTAATGATCCTGCACTGAGAAGAGAAGATATAACAGATATCATATCAGTGAGGTTTATATAGTTTCATGATCAATGGGAGGTGACACTCACATGACTCCAATCTGTCTGTTTTTCACGCTCTGCCTCTGACGTGACCTGTCTTCTATTTTATTGCACACCCTGATACTCAATATATTGCAGACGCCTAAGTATAGGGATCATTTAGTCCTTGATTCTCCATTTTCTCTAACCAAGCTGAGGCTGTATGAGTTGAGAATATTAGAAGTGAAGCATAAACAGTATCACAGAGGACAGACTGAGAACAGATTAAACTCTTGAATAAAGCTGACGTCTTCCAAAAGCTGATCAAGACGGTATTAAACATCCAGATAGATGATCTACAGCCCAACATGACCCAGCAAGAGACATCTACTTCAAACCTTCCTATTTGCTATCAGAGGCTGAAGTGGAGTTTGATTTGTGGGATATATTTAACTGCTGAAGAAACCTGTTACCAGTATATAACCAAACCCTGAAGTGTTTATGCTATAAGCGTGTTTTTGTAATGTCTGATGTATTCAGAGAAGACGCTGAGATAGTCTCTTATAATAAAAGAGGCCAGGGAGCAAATCTGCATCTGAAAAACAAGCATAAATAATCCTGATGGGCAGGTCATTATCGTCAAGGTGTCTGCACCCAGCAGCTTAGTCCCCAACAGGAGTAATGAATCAGCACCGAGGATCTCATCAGCTCTTCAGATCTCCTTTCAGCACTTAGGTCACAACACTCGACGTAATCGAGGATGATTAGTGTCTGAATGCAGCAGATACGAGTTGTGTTTGATAGGTTTACAGGCCACAAACTCTTCCTCATAATATTGAATCTTTCAACAGAGTCACATGCAACAAAAACCAAGATAACAGCTGCTGCGAGGAGGAGTGAGACGGGTAGGACTGAATAAGAAACCCGGACATTCAGCCGTATTTCACTAGAAAAAGTAAGATAAACAGAGACATGTCAACATGACTCTGTAAACAAATCAAAACAACTTGACAGACGCTGAACAAGGTCCCTGTTGGCTGGATTCTGCAGGAAGTCACGGCACATTGTCTCCTTGTTATCAATTAACTGTGATCTCAGGCAGCTTGGGAAAGCTCAGGGGCACACAAAGAACCTTTATGCAGCTCGGACACTTCCATGTGGACACTGGAAATTACATTTAGCTGCGCGCATTCAGCTTCCAACAGGCTCCTTTTCTCCTGTGTGAACATTTTAAGGCAGTTCAATTAGACACAATAATTGATGCATCAGAGAGAAAGGCCTTCATTAACCAAATCGTCCTGTCTTGTCAAAAGATTCTAGGTTTTTTTCTGAAATAAACAGAATGATCTTACAGACAAGTGGTAACAGTAGAGTCTTCATCGAAGTTGGAATCAATAAAGTTTTAAAAATACAACTTATGCTGTCAAAATGCTGTCTCATCTGAAACTTTCAACTCTAAAAACTAGTGAAAGCTAAAGTTGAAAAGAGACAGTGGACAGTACAAACTACAACAAATGTGCCAAAATATTTAACACCTGCGATGTACATTTTTTCTTCATTTTGCTGCTGGAAGTTAATGACATGACTGTTGGGTATTGCTGCCATCACGTTATCAATTATTTTTACCTACTCAGTGAGGCTATTACCACTATTTTACATTGTTACAAATGTTGCGAATGTTAAAATGTAAAAAATGAAGACAAAATCATAAATTGGAAACACTCATTTTTCCTTTCAAAGCCTTAAATGGATTCATTTCCCAATGCATAACTGACCTCATCTTATTACTGCTCCATGTCCCTGACAGCATCTCCTAATGTCTGGTGCAAAAATACGAGTTTCTGGTCTCCCTTCTTGGCTCTTGTAGTCGTCTTTCATACCACATTAAGTCCAGCTCCGCCGCTGACTAGGAGAAATCAAATTTAAAGACTCACCTCTTGCTGCTTGCTCATCTTAAGCTGACCCATGACTATGTTGAGATCACAGTTATTTTGTTGTGAGTCTTGCTGGACATTTTATAGTTTAGATTTGCTTTGATTCATATGCTTTCAGGAATCTGCAAATCACACTGATCACCTCACCCTGATCGTTTACATCAGCTGACCAGGCACCACTGGCAGAAGAAGCAAATGTTGTTGCACCTGTAAAGAGGCACAAAACGAGCGCACCTCTGTAGAATATTTGCCAATTTCTGGTCTCTGATGAAATCTTTTCAGTCATGTAATATGTATGTAAAGAGCGTTCCTCATTGTGTCTTAGAGTAGCGTTAGTAACCCTGCAGCAAAGATATTAGTGTGGAAATATTTAAAACAGTCCAACAACCACAAAACAACAGTAGAGCTATACTGAATCAGAACTGGCTGGTTAAGCACGTGTGTTCAGCAGGACTGGAGTTCCACATGGACATTTTTGAGAGTATACCGTACTGTGAATGTGAATCTGATTAGATACATCACTGATTTAATGTGACGCCTAACGACTGCAACAAAATACAACGCACTCACCAAAGCAACTGAGGACAAGCCTGCTGCAGAAAAGGAACAAACTCTTTAAAAGGAAGCATAAATATCCTCGAGAGAGCGAAAAGAGCACAAAGACGGAAGTTGAATTCATCCCTTTAGACTCACAGTCCACCTGTGTGTCGGAGAACACAGGGTTTGGATCATTGCTATGCCGTGACACTACATCTCTGACGCTGCTTATCAGAGCTGTGCTGCAAAGTTTGGGACAAGATCCAAGGTGATTGAAAACATGACATGACTGCTGTTCGCTCTGAAACAGACATCTAGAGCTCTGACAGGAGTCCCATGTCTTCACTGCACTCTGGATTGAGTCCTCCACTTGGAATAAGAAGAGGACATCTTTGGTAAACAAACAAACAAAAAAGTGGTGTCACTGTATTATTTGTGATATAAATGTTGGACCAGGACTCAGAATCTGCCACCAGGTTGACGGGCCAAAGGGCTCCTCTCTATTTGCTTCAGGACAGAAAGATTCAGAAGATCTTTTGTACCAACAGCCATCAGACTTTATAAATCTTGTGTAAATAGTAGATAACCTTTAGAGACATATCAAGTGAGACAACAGACAATTGAATTTCCCTTCAGGGATTAATAAAGTTCTTCTTCTTCTTATGTTCTGATATTTAAGTTTATTACACAATTTACAGCAAGAACTTTGACAGCTTTTGGGAGGCCTGGATAGAACAAAGCTGTTAGTGTTTCTTATTCCCAATTTATAGAAAATACAGATAAAGAGATAAAGTATGACAACTTTCAATGACTAGTAAACATCAGAGACCATTTGGCTTCTGGTCAGGCTCTGTTTCCTGGGAACTGACCTCATGATCTCAGTATTTTTTTTACTTCTGGCTACAGCGCTGCTAAAAACATTTCCATGTTTTCATATTCAGTGGGGTTGTCACTGAGAGACATTAGGCACGGTGACAGGGAGGGCGGTCAGTCCAGTAAAATGTGACAGAGGGGTCGAGCGGGTCAAGCTGTGAAATGAGTGACCCACTTTGTCTCCAGAGGAAAAGAGGAAAACCTGTTCACAACAGGGCATTAATGATTGACTTATTAATCACAAAATACTGTTAAAGAGAAGTTGGATTGCAGCAGAGACTTTGAAGCCAGGAAGCATTTTTGCAAATATACATGAAAATAGCAAATAAAAACCCAAAGGCATCAATAATATCTCTCTTTAACATGCATATTGAAAGCAGTGCAGAGGTGGACAGGCTGAGGTCTGAGGCTAAAACACAGAGGAGCTGCTTCTGCTGTATGTGGACTGACCACTGCCTGCTGCTGCTGCTGCCTGTCGTAAACAACTCGCAGAGAACAATGGGCAGGGTTGGGTTTACTTTATCCGATTATAAAAAATATGCAGGCATTTTTCCTCATGCAAAACGAGAACCTCTCCAGACCTCACCAGAAACACGGAGAAAAATGCGGTTTACTGTCTAAAGCATTAACATCTTCTTAATCCATCTCTGGCTCTTTCCAAAAACAAGTCAGTCCCACCGCCGAGAGCTAACGTTAGCTGGGAGCAGCGACCCACACTCGGTCGGGGACTCATCTCGCCTGTCAGTGAAGTTTAATCACCGGAGAATGGAGCCGAACAGCGTGTGCTTAGTTTATCAAGTCATGTGCGTTCAGATTCGCTGTTGGAAAAGATTATTAGATGTAAAAAATCAGACCTGTTTACCTGTTAGAGTAGCTGCACTCCACAGGGCGCCGCCATCTTGAACACCTCACAGCCCATCCCACCGCAGTCAGCCTCCGCTGTCGGGCTGCATGCAAAATAATCCCACAAGTTAGCGCCCCGCGAGTCCGAGACGCAACTTTTACAACTCAACTCGGCGTGACAATGCCTAATATTAGCGCCCTAGATTAAACCTGATAGTCTAGAGGTATTATATTCATATACACCACTGCCAGTTCTCTCCTCTTCTGCAAAGCGAAGATTGTTTTTCTCATCCTCTCATTGGTGGAAGGATGAGGTGTGTGTAATGCGGTTTCGCGTGACCCACATGTGAAAAGCGCATGCGCATATTAGATTTTATTTTTTTGGCAAGACTGTATGGAGATCAATATGGAAGATTAAGGGTGCAACGAAAATAAATTATAAAACAAAATAATAAAAAGTTGGGGAAAAATCACAGTGGGTGGTACGGCCACAGAGGCGAGCTGGAGGGAGAAAAAAAAATAACTTTAAATGTTTTATTTTATCTGGATTTTTTTTATTTATTTATTCTTTAAGAAGGAAATATTTTTTTAAGTAGTTTGTCAGTGTCCTTTCAATGGTCTGTTAGGAGGCAAATTTCTTTTCTCCTTTTTCTTTTATCTTTTATCTCTTTTACCTCTCTTTATTTTTTTATGTTTTTATCTGAGCTTTTGTTTTTTATTTGTTTTTATTTCCATGTGCTGATACTTTTCAACTGTTTGTCAAAGCACTTTGTAAACCTCTGATTTTTTCAAAGTGCTATAAAATAAGGTTATTAATAATTTTGTAAATACAGTGCTGCCTGAGAAATTTCAGATCCTCTCCATGCAGTACTTTTTTTCTTTGTCCCCTTTTACAGAGATTTCTCCAGATTCTCGGAAACCTTCAGTGATATTACTGGATGTACTGCTTGCTCAAACTGTCTCCCACAAAGTTGTGAACTCTGCAGAACTTTACCCCACAGTGACTCAAACTCTCTGCAATGCCTTTTCTCACCAGTCTTGTTGCTAACCTGTCACAAATGAATGAATTAGTAAATTACTGCTCCATTTGGTAATTTTTATCTATCTATTTATTCTTTTATTGATACTGATCCACACATCTTCCCTCATTTTGTCAACATCATGAGATGGACCCCAGCTTCAAATACCTAATGATGCACACTGATTACCTAATCTGAACAAACGATTCAATCATTATAATAAAGAAAGCCTGGCAATCCTGCTACTTTCTGAAAAGACTGAATCAAGCTAGGTAGGATACAGGCAGAGAGGAGGACATCATACAGCTTATGTAACTCTGCGGTAAGGCAGCTGTTCTGCTGTAGAGAGGCACGACTCAGAAGTTTGCTGCCAGCAGTCCACCCATTGTCAAATTAATATTTACTGCAGCAGGTGTATCCAGAAGGCCTCATGCATCATTAAGGACCCCACTCACCTTGCGAATGGACTTTTAACCCCTTTTTCCTGAAGTAGAAGGCTATGTACCATCAAAAGTTACAGGAACTCTGCTGATGAAATTCATGAACATTTCAAACCTTAGCTGGGCTGAGGAATTAGCTTTGGTGTTCCTAAATCAATGCTGCCTTTTTAAAACCTGACAACATTTGTATTTACCTGTAAATATCACTATCTGTTGGTATGGCCTGTTTTTATGTGGTTGTAATTGTGCTTTATTGTGCAAGTAAGGCCCATGAATTGTGCAACTGACATGACCTGCAAAGTTTTCCCATACTCATTTCCTTTCCACATCATCGTCAAACATTTCATTTTCATGGTCATATCTAAAGCTCTTGTGAGGAACTTTTAGTCTGCGTAAATTTTGGTGCCCCACTGGAAAAAGTGGCCTTTGCTGTTTTTTGTTCTGTATACGTACAATAAGGTTTGTCTTGACAAAAATCTCACCCTGCTGTCTGCTGATATTCAGGTTTATCACTTGTGTATTTTTGGCAGAGAATATGAAAAAAGGAAAGCATCAACACAGTGCACAGTCCCTTTGTCTGACACCAACCCCCCACCAGTGGGTTTAGACCATAAACTGTATATAGAATGGACATTGTCTGTCTCCTTACTGAGTGAAGCCACTCCGAGAACAGCACCCTCTGGTGACGGGCTGCAGTATAGGTGATAAATTCCGCCTCCTCCAGCCATCCTTATGGAGCTGTGGACGGGGTGAAGGGATGAGGCTTCAGTACTTTTCCTCCTCCAATAAAATGTGCATGCACTGATGGCAGCCATTTTTTCTGAGTGAGGAAGAGAAAGGTACTGAAGCCCCACCCCTTCACATCTGGTATCATTGAAAAGCTCTAAATGTCCTCTGTAGAAACCAAAAGGAGTTAATTCAGTTGTATGCAGTGGGTGGGAGATATTGAGGTTTACAATGGTCCTCCACAGAGGACAAATTTGAACTACTGGCAGTCAGATATACATTCTATGGATTAGACTTTAATATTAACTCCATAGAAATATCAAGTGAATATTGATTTTTGCTGATGGTCTTCTTTAGACCATAAAGAGGCTTGAATATTGTCTTCAGTCTGTTTTATTACCAGATGAAACCTCACCACAGGAGCTTTAAAGTTCAGTTTAATAACTGTACCCTCTTGACTCTTCCTTTGCATGTAGCCTACTGTAGCCTTGTGGATAGTGACTGTTGCACAAAGAAGACATGTTTAAGGTCAAGTGTTCTTCTTTGTGCTTCCTTTTTCCCACCCTCAATGACATCCAATTATAGATCAACAACAAACAGCCTAAACAAATTTCAGTTAAATTAGAGTGAGGTCATATTCTGACCACAAGATGTCGCTGTTGCACTTCTTATACAAATTCCCGAGAGGTTCAAACATTTCTTGACTTTTTCATTTGGTTGGTTTTCACATATGTCTACCTTTGACAAGCTGACATTTATTGAAAAAAAGTAGTGATTTAAAACATGACTGTAAAGCTATTTTGATAGGCAGAGTTGGTCAAAGTTATCCCCTGCATCTCTGTAATTAACCTGCGTGACACCAACGCATCGTGTGAAGAAATCTGTCACAGCAGAGTATCAATGTGCTTTAATGAAAAGACTGTGTCAACTTTGCTGATATCCCAGACTGGTTTGATGTGTGTTTTGGTGGGTGTGTGTGTGTTGGATGAGCAACAGTCTCATGATCTGCTGGTAATTTAAATCCTGCGCACAACACGATCATGCACACATTACTTGGAGTAAATCCTGTAAATCAAACATTGACTGGAGAAAATATTTGGAAAGATTTAGATATATTTTTTCTCATTTACTTATGTATTTGGTTGAAATGAATAGAAATATAAAACGACAGGCCTGTAAAAACTTCTAATGAAACTTTTCTTTTGCGCATAAACTTTGGTAATTTTAAGAGTAAGTAACTGATCCAGGGTTTAGAAATACCTATGGTGAAAATGTGAATCTCGCTTTAAATGTTGGACTTTAAGGGAGCTTTATTTTGCCTCAGAGCACTGGTTGTTTTGTGTAACTGTGCAAGGACAGCTCAGGCCCCGTGTGTGTTTTTCTACGCAAATTTGCACCTGCAGCCCGGCCTTCTCATTGGCTGAGAGCGCAGTCAGATTCTCCTGCGGAATTATCTGATTGAAAATCAGGGAGGGGAGAAAAAGAAAGAGCAACAAGTGTTATGGTGTTACACTGCTTTGCTTTGCTGGCTTGCAGGGAAAGGATTTTTTGCGCCTCCAGAAACAGGGAACCAACAAAACTATCATACTTTTAACTAACTTCGAGTGTGACCTGGACGGAAGCCTGCTGGGTTAAGGGTGAGTTTGTGCTGAAAGTAAATTAGAGACAATGGAGGAGAAAGTCTTGGATGGAGTTTTATTTTTTTTTTTGACAAAATTTAAAGCGTCTTTTAAGATGAAAAATTGACAAATATAGGTCGCTATTGCCTTACTCTAAGCTAAGTAAAACTAAAAGAAAAGAAAAGAAAAGTAAAAGTGAAGCTTCTCCTATTTAGCCGCTTAAAAAGTGCGTCAAAGTAGTAGATAAAAATGATAATAGAGGCTTTTTAAAGTAGAAATTTTGACAAGAAAATCGAACAATTATGATCAATTAAACCTATTTTTAAATGTAGTGTAAAAAAAAGTCGAAAAGTCTTGGTTTTGAATTAAACCCTGTTGCTTTAGTGACATTTTAACATCAAATCACTCGTGTCTTTTTTTCTTTAGACAACAGTTTCATCATGCCACGGTCATTTCTGGTGAAAAACAAAAGACTACCGTCCTACAATATTCACCGAACATACGAGGACGAGCCACAGGCCCCCACATGTACAGGTAAGATCGCTGTGTAGGCTACTTGAAGTTATAAATAGCCTACTGTGTTATGTTCGCCACTTCTTTTTATGAACTTATAAACGTCAGTATACTTTTGTCGACATGATATTTGCTCCTTATTTGAGTGATACTGAAGTCGTCTTCACTGTTGTTGTAAGTGAAGAAACAAAGACTGAAAAAGACATGTCTTCATCTGAAAATGTGCAGACAACAGTAAAGATAGTAAAGCTAAATTACTGCTATTTTGTATTCTATTATTATGTGTTGGAATAACTCCTGTGTAATAACTCCAAGCCAGGCCAGGGGGAAAAAACAAAGAAACAAAAACAGATAGTTGTGTTTTACCAGAAAAACTGACAATATGGCAAAAAGTTGTCAAAAATTCAAAATGGAAGGAGACAGTAAACTTCTGGTTTGTCCCTCCGAACATGGAGAGATAGATAGCACAACAATAAGAATAACTGTATTTTATCCCCGAAGGGAAATTCAAGGGAATAAGGAATGAGTAATAAGTAGTGACTCATTACTTACTCATTACGGGAATAACAGTTATATGTTAAATGTCCAAAGCCTTTGAAAAGCATGAAGAGAATTTCATCCCAGTGCGGGGGATCTATTTGGATACTTGGATAAGACACATCTGCAATACAGATATGATAAAAAGGGCATTATTGAAATATTTTGGACATGTCCATTACCATCAAAAATGGTCTCTTATTGTTTAGAAGTTTACAGAAATGAATTAGCATCAAATTGGAAACTCGACCTGGATATCATCCTGTCAAAGACTGATAGTTATATTATGTGTAAATCCTGACAGATGTCGATTTACTCTTGAAGCTGGAGGTAAAAAGAATGATGTAGTCTTCCTTTAACACCACATAAGTAAACTCTAAACACACAAATGACAGAGACAGTGCAAGCATGTAAAAGAAGAGCTCTACCTCTTCAAAATCTGGATACTTTTGTGTTAAAAATCAATTTTTAAGACCGAGTTGTTCCTCAAAACTGGCACTATGGTTTGATAATATGGAGGGTTGTGGATACTCAGTGAAGAGATGGACTCATTACTCAAGCATGGACCCTGAACAACACTTGACAAAGCAAACTGGGTATCATAGAAAAAGAGACCTCAGCTGGGCCGAAAATACTGTGTTACATTAATGTCTTCATGTTTGTGTGCTCTTGTAGTTTACAACTGTTCTTATCAAAAAAATTTAAAGGCTGCAAGATGTTTGAAAATCAGCTTTTATTTTGATTTATTGGCAGATTTATATAAAAGGGTAGACATTAATCTTGACTCTATCATGTGCCATGCTCAAACTTTAAGGTCATGGGCACAGAATAGGTGTTTGCTATTCAAACAAAATGTCCTCCTCTGCAGGGTTTTGTTTTAATAGCGTATTTACTTGCTGTTTAATCACACAGAGCAATGTCCTCTGCTTGAATCAATCACACCTTTATTTGTCGTGGATTTGTAGAGGCTCCACCAGAGGTTCACAACACAGACTCCTCAGACGAGCCTCAGTCAGAGGAGCAGTCTCCCCCTCCAGACCACTGCTCCTTTAAGGAGGAGGAGAAGGATTCAGAGCCTGAGCGCTCCTTACCTGCTCACCCAGAGCCAACCAGACCCCCTGTGGCTCTCACACAGCCGTACTACCTGAATGGTGAGCTGGCTGTGCATCCTTTTTAACCCCTCTATGATAAAACTTAGAACCAAGTCGTGAAAGTCTGTATCTGTGCACCTTCAGATCCTCACATGGCAGGATTTCCTCCGTACTTCAAGCCAACATACGCCTGGGAGCCTGTGCCCTCCTCCTATGAGCTCCATCAGATGAGTTTCAGCCCCAAAGTTCTGCAGCATGCCGGAAATCTGTACAGCTCTCATCTGAGCTGTAGCCCGCCACCTCAGCAGCCTCTGGACTGCAGCACCCACTACTCCCCCACCTCCAACACCTACCACTGCATCACCTGTGACAAGGTATGCACAGCGCAGAAGACACACACCTGCATGTACAGTTTTGATTGATCAGATGATGTTGTTAGACAGCAGCAAATATAGACCGTAAATCCAGATTCAGATTCAAAGTCATTCTCTATTAAGAGTCAAATTTTTCTTTACAGGTGTTCTCCACACCCCACGGATTGGAGGTTCATGTCAGGAGGTCTCACAGTGGAACGAGACCCTTTGGCTGCAACATCTGCAGAAAAACCTTCGGCCACGCTGTCAGTCTGGAGCAACACATGAATGTCCACTCTCAGGTAAGGCAGTGACTCTAAGTAATATACAACAGAACACAGAAACATGTAATTATTCAGTCACACTCTTTGTGCTCTGTGAAAGTCAGATATGGCTAGCTAATGCTGATGTTTACAAGAGTTTTTCACAATATTTTAGTCTGATTTTCAGATGAACAATGAGATATGATGTGTTCTTTCCAGGTAATGTCAGTGCAATGAATGTAATGATAGGATGCTTCTGGATTTGGCTCCTTATTGGTCTGAATTAGTTTAGGTGGAGCGCCTACATTTCCCATGATATACACGTTTTCATTTTATCTTCTCTGCCTGATAAATGCCAGCATCTGTCAACCCAAGTGTTTGTAGCGCATCCAAAATAAGTTGAAGTGACCTAAAGCTACGCCATCATGATCGCAAACTAAACAGCACAGAGCATACAGTGTGGTTAGGTCTTGTTATGTGTGATGTTGCGTGGTAACTACCAGGGTGGAGACAGCACAGATTGATATAATTTTCATCAGCTTCGCACTGCAAACATGCTCTAAATTTAGCGAATTTAACGAAACTTACAGCAGAGAAAAGAAGTGGTGAAATTTTTGGTTTGTTTTTAAACTAAAAGAAGATTCTGGATTTTATCAAATATCTGGAGGAAAAGTACATCCTCCATTTTTTGGGGGAGTTAGCCTACTTTTGTTGATGTTTGTTCATCTTAAAATCACCAGACATATTTTGTTTTGAGCAAAATGATGACATTAAGCGAAAAGATAGTCAACTATGACATATGGCAGTAATGGTACTGATAAATTTATGCAGAGTTTATGCAAAGCAGGGCTGTTTTTGCCTTTTAAGGAGTTTCCTTGTGATGAGTCGGACAACCTTGTCCTGGTGTTTTCACTGATTTCAGTCTGAGCTTGTTATTTATGTGTTTAAATGAGGAAATTGATTCATCAGATATGTGTTCAATCAATGATTTTCATCTTGAAAAATGGCCGTAGCATAAAATAAACTGAATTGGAAAAAAAATAATTGAATTCACCTGTTCTGAAAATTTTAGATTAATCGAATAAGCTTTTTTAAGCAGAAAAATTACTCCACAGACTTGACTTGGTCGTTGTTTTGAAGTTCTGTCATATGTCACATGATTTCTAAACCGAAAGTCTGCGAAGTACTGATAAAGTCGAAGATTATTTTTCAGAGCGGTCTGAGATCTATGGCTGTGGTTAGTTTGAAAGACGTTTTGAGAACAGTTCTGACTGCTTGCACATTTTATCTGTTATTAAAGTTCAGGTGATATCACAAAAACAACCACGAGAAAGAGCTTGTGGAGAGATGATATTTTTAAAGCAAGTTTCAAGCCCAGAGTTTAATCTAAACTCTCTTTTTTGCTTATCGTTGTGTAACCCTTTCTATTTTTCGTCTTTACTGTAAACAGGAAAAAAGTTTTGAGTGTAAGATGTGCGGGAAAACCTTCAAACGCTCCTCCACCCTCTCCACACACCTGCTCATCCACTCCGACACGAGGCCGTACCCCTGCCAGTTCTGCGGCAAGAGGTTCCACCAGAAGTCTGACATGAAGAAGCACACGTACATTCACACAGGTACGTCATAATAGGCATGATTGATTTACAGTGGGTGGACATTTTTTGTGACATTAAACAGCTCCACTTGCTGCTCTCCAGGTGCAGCATATTTCCAGGAGTAATATAACTGCTGATAAATCAGAAAAAAACAAATGTCCTGTGGATTTGCATATCTGGTTTTCCGGCTTCTCTCAGAACTCTGTAAAAGGAAGTCTGGGCTGTGGATATTCAGTACCATGAATGTTTGACAAATCTGAACAATAGCATGATTCTTTGGCCCTGGGTGTCAATGCAAATTTGATCTTTATGCTAAAAAGCTCCATATGTGGCATGGGTGAAAGAAGAAAACTGGCTTTTGTTATCTTGAACAATTATTTAGAGTTCAATGTGTTGATTATTTTCTTCTTTTTTTTCATGATTTAATTTGTAGGAGAAAAGCCTCACAAATGTCAGGTGTGCGGTAAAGCCTTCAGTCAAAGCTCCAACCTGATCACCCACAGCAGGAAACACACCGGCTTCAAACCGTTTGGATGTGACATTTGCTCAAAAGGCTTCCAGCGTAAGGTGGATCTCCGCAGACACCACGAGAGCCAGCACGGCATGAAGCCGAGACTTTAACCTCAGCTTTTCACCATGTACAAATCAACCTCGAAGTAGATTTTATGTTATGGAGATGTCTTATATCATTTGGATTTGACTTTGAAAAACAAAGTGACCATTAAATTTATAGATGGATGTCTACTCGGGGTTTCCGTAGCTGATAACAAACACATAGATTTTCCTTTTTGTTGTAAATTATTTATTTAAAACCTGCTGGATCTGTGTTGTAAATTCTGGATGTTTTTGTAAATGCTTATTCTGGAGTAAATGTTGGAGTGTGAATATAAATCTTTAAAATAAAGTCCTGCAGAGTTCCATGTTGAATACTGTCTTTCATACCTGAAACATAACATACTGGTTCCTGTTTGTCTAAGACAAGCACTGTAAACACACTTTTCTAGCTGTTTCTGTGTGTTTTTATGACTCACTTTCCGGTCGGAGCAGGATGTAGGACACCGTGACTGTGGCCTCAGGTGAAAATCATTTGTGGGATCAGAGATAAAGCGCAGCACAGTTATCCTGTATTCAAATAACACTCCTGGAACGCCATGCAAATCCGACATCGGACGCAAAGCGTACCCGAGAGTTGACTCGAAAGCAGAGAAGTTAGCAGCTACAAATGACTCCTGTTTGCATCTTTGTCATCATCGCACAAAAGGCAAAGCCAGCTGTATAATCTCAGGAAAAAAATCAGACGTGCACAAACTACCTGCTATACCAGGATGCATTTGGCACACACACACGCCCCCCACCAGCCTCCACAGTGAGGTGAGTGGAATGGGATACAGGGATTAATAAGAGGCAGTGGAAATGGATTGATTACTTAGTCAACCGTCACCACACCCAGGCAGACTGTTGGATTTACTTCAACAAACAAATGGCAGCTCAGAGGAAGATTCACCACCTTCCTCAAACACCGAACCTGTTAGGACATTAAGCTGCCCGAGGCAAATCACATCATCACCTGGGTCGTCTAAATCTGACTGCAGGAAGTGTCAGAATCTGCTGACAGTTCTAAACTGCTGGAGCTGCATGAGGGTGACGACACCTTCCTCAGCTGAACAGATCCTAAAGGAACAAACACCATCCAGTCTCTTTTTCATTAGCTGTAAAGCGTTTCATTTTTTAAAGTTAGTCGTGATCTTTATTGTGTGTTTGGTGACTTTGCATCTCATGAATACTCAAATTTCTAATTTGTGATTCATCTCAGAATTTTTGTGATTGATCTTTTTTTTTAAATAACGTGACAAAAATTCCAGTAGTTTGTATTTAAAGCTGTTTTAAAATCGACATTTAAATAATTAACCAGTTCTCTTACTCATGTCTTGATTAGGGGAAATTCAATAGGTAGTTAATTCCCACTGAGCTATAGACGACTATTACATGTCTAGATTTTTTAGACCTAATTTATACCGTTTAGATTCTGTATATTTTTAGATGGAATTTAGATGTTGCACTTTAACCCATTATTCGATAACTATTTACTTCAAAAAGCAACTGAGTTGCGTAACTGATCTTCAAATACTGAAGCAAATTAATCGCCGTTGAGCAATATACAGTGTAGACCTCTGTAAGCCAGAGTAAGGCTAGTCTAAACATGGTCTAAATTTAGACGTCTAAAAAACTTTCATTTTTAGACCTGTGGTAGCCTGATTTAGACCTGTCGTCTAGGCTACATTTAGACGTCTATTACACCAAAAAATGCTCAGAGGGTTGGAGACAATTTTGAGTTCTCACTGCCGTCCAGTGATTCCTGGTTAATTCTGACACATTCGTTCTTTTCAGGAGTTTAAGTGCTGTTGCTTTATCTGTTTGATACAGGCTGTGAATATGTGACGCTGTTTTTTAAGTTATTTATGGGCATTTTTTTAAACCTCTTCTCTTTAGGACAGCTGAAGAGTGATGGGAAACATGGGAGGAGAGAGCAAACAGTTGATGACTCAAACCACTACTGTAATGAGGCCTCAATACATGGAGTGTTAAACTGCGAGGCTATTAGCACCCCACTGGTGTCCTTCAAGAGAGCCTGTGGACATCCTTTAGACCAGAATCTTCTCTGATTGTGACTGGCCAAATCAAGTGCCACCCATTCTGTGGCCTTTCATCGACTCCCTAATAACACTCCGAAGGCTTTTGTGATGCAATTGCCTGCCAACAACAGTCTGGTTAGCCGCATCTGCATGCTTGGTCCATAGGTGGTGGCTTAAATTTGTTGTTGCATTACAATATTTGGATTTTACATTTGACATGTTAGATGAGCTGGGTGGGTGTTTTGAAAAGTGAAATAGAGCAATGAACGATTCCTGGAGGCAGAAGGATGACACCCCAGCAGCTTAACTATGGTGTGCAAACAGCACACTATTAAAAAAAAGATGTTGACACATTAATGTCGACAGCCCGAGTTTTGTTCTTTGTTTTTATGCTTTATGAAGTCTTGTATTCCATCAGAGGCAGCAACTGTGCTGTTATCATACTCAGTAACACTTTAAAATAGAGAGAAAAGGAAAGATAACAAACATGATCATTCTCCAACAGAAAACTAAACGTATATTCACCAATAATGAGACATGAAAAGCCACCCCTCAGTGGCAAATCAGTGTCTGTGCAGGGAGGGGGAGAGGAAACATAAGGGCTTACTGTCTGGCAAACAAATCTGAGGTCTTTATGCAAAATGTGTTGATATTACCGGGGCAACGGGGTCTGTTGAGATCCCTTGCAACAGTTAGAGCGGCTGCAGCAGGTGCTGCATCCTGGTGCAGACACAAATCAAAATCCTGCACAGATAACCAACTGAAATGTGAGAGACGATCACGGTGGGTGGGACTAAACAAACAGGACACAAATCCTGAAAGGGGAGGGGGGGTGAGCCTGCGGGGCAGCCTGGGGAAAAACGGGAGAAAATAGGGAAAACACACAAGTCAGTGTGTACAGGAAACATTTCCTCACTTGTGAACAGGTGTGACATTTTTTTCTACTGTGCAGCAATTTTGATTTTTAAACAACCAAAGCCGCAGATAAAGACTCTGCTTGTGTGCTCATGTTGTTGTTCTGCGCTCGCTCATTTGCATGTGAGCTGCCTGAGGTGTTATGGTATCCTACAAGCCACAAGTTTACTTGATTTTCTTTTAACTGTTTTGCTTACATTGAGCCTCACCTGTGGGTACAAGCTGCGAGACAAGTACTTGTTTGCTGTGTGACAGATATCCTTCAGGTACTTGAAACTTACTACTAAACAGTAAGAAGCTAACTCATTTTGTTTGAGCCAACAAATTACATTAAAAAAAATCAAAAACCAAATGTCAGAGCTGTGACTTAAAGCCAGGAAAACCTGATCCAGATGTAACTCTTTCTCTCTCTAACACAAACACGGTCAGATATCTGGGAAAGCGGCTCTGAGCTGGAATTTGTCTTGCAAATTGTATGCAAATGAGCGTCGGCCAGTACAGGATGAAGGAGTGGTTCAACACTCCTGAGGCATGCGTGACTCAGCCATGGTAGACAGGGGAGACAGTGGGAGCTTTTCAGGGAGGGCCTCACTTTCCCCTTAAGATCAGAAAAGTGATGGGAGTCAGAGTCAGTGTTATCAGTCAGGATCTTTTCTTTAAACTAGCTTTTGTTTTAGATGTAAACATTATCAGACAAAATCACTTTTTCAGTTGTATGACACAGATTTTACTCTGTTTCACCTGTTTTTTTTTTCTTTTCTTTTTGGAGATAAGTATTCAAATGACTTTTTTCACGTACAGTACCAGAGAAAAAAAGACTATATTTAAGCCTAAACGGTGTTTTCCCACAGCGACAATCATCTTGTGATATCCTGCTCAGGGCGAGAAGCTTAAATACTGTTGTTATTGTAGCCTAAATCCCTGTGTTTCAGATGGTACATCCAAATAAACCTTAGAAGTATGACAAACTGGTCCATTAGCTAACATCAGAAAACTTTCTCTCATCCCTTCTCTAAATCTTGGCAAACTATTTTGCCGTTTGCTAATTTTTGGGGGAAGTTTTGAGAAAATTGCAAGCAAGATTTCTCCCCCCTGCTACAGGACTGAGGTTTACATCCCTGACCATAAAGGTGGTATAGTTAAGAGAGTGATCCCGTTTACTGTACTTTTTGCCAAATGCTGCTGTGGTTGTTGAAGTAAGAAGCTAAAGATGCTGTTTAACCATCTGTATATTTACAGGCTAAGTTGAGCCACAGTTATGGCACCATTACATGGTTTCATTGAATTTCTGTCCTTGTCCCAGTTAATAATCACCAGGATATTATTAGCTGTTCTCTGATGTTTGCTTTCAGGTATGTTTTTCAAACTTAAATTATTGCCAAATCTCTCTCTGAGATTTTTCAGATTATTGACGAAATGCAACATTAAGAATTATTTCACAAAGTAACTCATGAGAATAATATAATTTTTTTGTAAAGTTAGTGTTGAGGACATGTCACTGAGCCATCACTGTGTGCTTTTAAGACGGGAATAATTTTAGAAAAGAAACATTAAGTGTCAGCAGATTTCCTCTCTATGACTGGACACAGGAAGATGCTGTGAGACCACATCCTTCTGCTGTCACATACTGAGGGTGTGTGATGGTATTTGATTACTGGGGACCCTTATTCTTTGTGTCTGCTCTCCCTTAGATAAGCGCTTTTAAGGGCCACTCCCACAAAGTGACATACAAGATTTGCATGATAAAGAAGAGCGATATTTCCTGAGGTTGAATTTCTGGGATTTAAAAAACTTATTTTTAAGAGTAAGCAACACATTCTGGTGCATTCAAGTCACATTCAGCTTGTTATCATTATAAATAGTGCTGCAATGCAGGAAACAGAAGAAGTTCATGTGGCAGTTTAAAGGATACTTCCTGAGTCTAAGATGGGATATGTTATGATCTTTTCTGGCTCTGCAGCAAGGGCTTGAAGGAGTTAAATGCCTTAATGACATTAATTAAAACATTTCATTCTATTGGAAAACACTTTGAAATTAACAGGCCTGTTTGGAATGCCAATACATATCTAAACATGTGACTGCTGATCCTTTTTGGTGTGTGTTCAGACTTTTTGGCACAGTGGCCCAATTTGGACACCAACTCCTGTAGGGATGGTACAAGATATTTTAGTTCACACAAATGTCATTCATTTACCCTTCTGATTACAACAATCGTATATTTTTAAACTCCCAATATGAAAGGATCATACACAACAGGTAACACAACAGAGATGAAAAATGTAACGAGTCCAATTCCAACAATAATTATTCGCAATGTGTTGCAGCACAGCCCAAAGAGTTAAAGTACCTGTGAGAAGATTTTAGACACCTATGGAATACACTGAAATACATAATGATGCCATTTCATGATGTACATATGCGCACAAAACCATCAGCAACAAGACTATTGGGATATCATTATTTTTAATGTCTAATAACTACTACTGCGAGGCGGGCGTCAAAATTTTTACTTAAGCCTCTTTTACATAAGAACTTCTGACTATTTTGGGATATTTGGGATATTTTTAAGGAGCTTCTTGTTCACACACTTCTTCTTTTTTGGTTGAGGTGGGAGGTAGATGGGGGAGAGTCTATTTGGGGGCAGGGCATGACATTAAAGGCATAGTGGGACAATCACAGTAACTTGTTGGTGAACAACGACAGACATCTTCATAGTTCTGGTCTTGAAAGTTATTGTCCTAATTCAGCCTTGGGTGTTTCCTGTCATCTGAAATAAAGATAATCACCGCTCTCCTGCTCATCCATGATGAATATTCTCCAATATTTTCTGCTGAGTTTTCTCGTTGGCTATCCCAACTTCTGGTGAAGAAAGTTTTTGATGAGGTCAGGTTGAAAGTTTTGGCTGCTTGCTTTCACACTTGCAGCTCAACCCAAGAATATTAGGACATTTTTAAGACACTTGAGTAAACAACAGCTGATGAAGGGGTGAATGGCCAGCTTTTAACCATCAACTGAGTTTGGTCAAACACTGACTTTCACAGAGTAACAAGCATGTTAGCATGTTTGGGTTTAGAGGAATGCTGTAACAAGGACTACATGTTGTGCAGCTTAATATTGAAGTGTGGAGTAAATCCTAAAAACCACCATAGGAGTTTGTAGTTTTAACCGAGCTTGGTACGTGCATGACCAAATACTGTAAATACTGACAGTCCTTTCATGCCAGTGCAATCTTCTAGTGAAGATAACAAAAATATTGCATACTTTCTCATTTCTTTTGTTTTTACAGTAACATGTAGTTATGAGTTTAATCCCTGTCGAGTTGTGTGATGAGTTCTGCCACATGCAGAGCTTAATATCAAAGACACAGTGAATAAGTTAGAGCGCAGCTAAAGCTATTACTGATAATCTTTGGTTTTGCCTACAGAAATTGACAAGGCTTTGTAGGCGGGGCCTTAACTCTACATCACTTATCCAAATATGAGCATGTACACCGAAAGCTTTGCATGTGACTAACAGCAGCTGCCGGTTCAGAACTTTGAGCTCCAGAGGCTGACAGAAGGGAGGTGGAGTACGAGCAGGGGGGTGAAATCTGAGGGCAGCAGACTCTCGCAGAGTTAGCCGGTCGGTACAGGCTCCCCGATAACCTTATCATGGCCTCACCACACTGTAACGGCTGGATCAGGCCAGCAAGCTGCAGGGAGGAGCAGACAGGCCTTCAGCTGAGATAGCACCACAAGCTCGAGTTTTATTTGGTGGACAAAGATCTGTAAGAGACGCAAAGGAAAAAAAAAGACGAGAAGATAGATGGTCAAAATCCTTTTGTCACCACAGAGAATAACAGATTGTCAGTCAAAGTCTTTCAGTCCCCTCCTCCTTTTCACCTCCCACAAAACACAGAGGTTCATAACGTTGTGAAACGTCAGACTCAGTGTTTTTACTAAAGCACTTCTCGTCCTAACAAAGTGATCACAGCTGCATTTTAATATAGATGGAAGACAGAAAACAGAGGCTTTTAAATACACAGGAAAACACATTTAAATTGAGGTACAGCGTGTATTTAGCGATACTTACCAGAGCAAACATCTGCGTAAAATCACCTGAATATCAAAATCATTATCATCAATTTTTATTATCATTTTTCCTTTTTTTTTTTTTTCCTTTTTAGTGGGACTCCATCCTCAGAGGCTGCCATCTCACACCACCATTTTTCAACACTTTCACAAAATGCAACAATGACAGAGATCAGATAATAACAGTGAAAACTAAACATATAAAAACAACATCTAAGTTGCTTCATGCACGGACAACTCAGTTTTAAAAGTTCATCCGAAATAAAGGAGATGTTTAAATTGATACCTCAACATGTGTTCTTTGATTGAGTGGTGATGAAGCTTGCCTATATCAAACAGAGGAAACAGGATTTCAACCGTTGAGGTGTGATATGTACAGGTACGGCAACACCACTTGGACAAACCACCAAAGAACAGGAATGTAGTTTGTTGTCTTTCTGATTTGATTTTGGACAAGAAATCAAAATCATCAGCTGACTTCAGAACAAAAGTAGTGGGTAATGAGAACATCCATAAAGACGAAGTGGAGTTAAAATCACTGAAGTAAAGCACAGATACCCCCAAAAAGTACCTCTGGGCAGCACTCAAGTGGATGTTATTTGTTACTGCCTGTAAGTGGAAATACTACAGTACACCATCTTTAGTTAAAATTGACTTCTTTTCGCTTATTCACGTGTTTTGGTGTCATATTTTGCTAAAAAATACGGTGTAATAAGAGAAGAAGACTACTTCTCTGGAAGGCCTCCCCCTAATCTTTCTGCTTAGTTAAACTCAACAATGTTCTCCTTTGGGTCTAGTTAAAGAGGAAACATCCAGCCTTCAAAAATCCAACAAAATGAGTATCACGACCTAAAGCCAGCCTCAGGGCTTATACGTACGCTCATGAATGCAAAATTCCAGCAATATTGTCAAACATTTTACAACTCAACATGTATATTTTCTGCCCTGAGATCTGGAGAAAATCAGAAACATAATTCACTAAAATGTCTGTGTGTTCTATGAGAGAAAAAGGGAATACAAAATACCATCACTCTAACCTATGTTTGGAGTGTTTTTTGTGAGTTAGATTGTAATGGCCACTGTCCCAGAACAATCCGGAGTTAAGTTTGTTCTCTTTCAAAGGTGTGAGGAAAGAGGACAAACGAGAATCAAAGTAAACACAGCGTTACATCAGGACATAATTGCCTTTACAACAGCATCTTAACTAACTTGGTAAACAGAAAGACAGAACAGTTTCTTCAGAGTCTTCTTTCTTCTCTGAGGGGATGACAGTCTGTTGACAGTTTCTGGGAGGGACAGCACTCAAATCCTCTTTACTAAGGTCTCTCTGACAACAGTGGATGTCGCCTTCTGACAGTCCAAACATACTTTAGTATAATCCTAGCTATAAAACAGTGATACACAGAGAGATCTTTCTCGGGACTCAGGGCATTCGAGGAGAGTCAGCAACTTGTATTTTTTGAATTTGATGGAGGCATCAAAGTATCGTCACAGGACCAGAATCTCTTCCACTGACCTCACGTTTTTTGGTTTATACTGCCATCTAGTGGCCGAATGTGTACTTGACTCCCCTGTAGTAATGTGACTGTGCAGAATAGCATCTTGTGAAAGGTAAAGGACATAGGAACAACATAGGCCTACAGTGATGAGTGACGCTAAAATCTGATTTTGCAGTTAAGAGAAATCAAGAACAACATATCTGGACTGAATAATTCCAGAGAGTTTCTCTGACACACCGTTTCAGATTTTTGAAACCCTTATTCTGTGTGAAAACATTCGAAAAGGTTTGACTTTACTGCTTTTTATCAAGTCTAGGCCACACGAGACTGGGATAATATCCAGAACCACATTGCTTAGACCGTATTAAACCGTATTATTTCGTAACGGATGCCTCTGTTGTCTCCGTTACTACTGCAGCGAGTAGCTGAGGTTTGAGGCAGCTAACCAGAGTTAATATATATATTGCAGGTAGACACAACATTTAGGGTTGTTAAATTAAAAGCACCACATGATTATCAAATGATGAGCCACAGAGGTATTTCAGTTAAAATACCTTTATTCAGATTTGGTTAATGGTGTGTGTGTGTGTGTGTGTGTGTGTGTGTGTGTGTGTGTGTGTGTGTGTGTGTGTGTGTATCTGTATAGGTGTTTTCCGGGGACGTCCGGTAGCCGGGGGGTTCATTTAGCCGCACCACCTGTAACACAGTGCATACGATGTGGATGAGGGTTTTTAGCAGATTTGTGTGCTTGAGTAAAAGGTGGAAGTAGTGCAGTCTAAAATTAGTACTGACGTGAATATTGTGAACACTTACCTGCGCCTTTCCGTCTCCACTCCCAGGGTGCGCATGAAAAAGAGTCCCCGGGGCAACAAACGGCCTTTTTAGCGTTCCGGGAGGGTTCTTCTTTTTAGGACGACGAAAAAAACGAAGTAAAAGGGCTACAGTTCTCTTTTACTCACCATTAACTATGTTTTACTTCAGTTATTTTTACATTTAATTCTTTTTTTTTTTCGTTTGTTTGTTTGTTTGTAGTGTCGAAATGAGTCTCATAGAAGTTACTGCGCCTGCGTACTTTCAAGAGACGCTCGCGGAACCATGCCCTCGTGTGTGTTTACGCACGGCGTTATTTTGCAGAAGGACATTTTCTCACGCCGATGTGACCGCAGTTTGAGCGGGTTAGCGTATACAACAGTTTTATTTTCTTTGTTCTCGCTTGAATATTGCAGCTAAAGAAGTACCATGGCGGACTCTCGGGACTTGAAGCTGGACCTGACTCTGAAAGAGCTGAGCCTGTCCTCTCAGACACAGCTCGAGGATGTTCCCGGCAGCTCTTCCTCCGTGGAGCTGCGCGAGAACAGGCTCGTGTGTGTGGAGTATCCGGCCGTGGTCACCAGTGTGGAGAAGATGCTGGAGACTCTTGGAGGAGTACAGGCAGTGTCCAAAGTAAGAAAAGCAGACATTTCAAGAGAAAACTGTTTTAAATCTGAAAAACACACCTTATTTGAAAGAGGGTGATTCTGATAGGGGAGAGTGGGGTAAGATGAGACATTTCTCATATTTCAGATCACTACATCAAGACAGTCATAGTTTTGTCTCTAACTAGTGTATCTGCTTATATTTCAAGATGTTGTTCATCCCTGCAAACCAACAGAATGAGTGTAAACATGACTGTCTTGATCATATAGCATGACAAAAAAAGAGGTCTCCTATGGTCAACTTACCCCGTGTATGGGGTAAATTGACCATAGGAGCGGAGTAAGTTGAGCCGTATCCCTACTACTCCCCCACTCTTCACCCCAGCCCTCCCTCCCTCAAGTGATTCAGAACATTCACAGCTGTATTTTTGAAAAGATAAAGTAACAAATTTCAACAACCTGAACTGAAACTCTGATCCTCTTATAAGACTCCTTTACTTTCTCAGTTGGTCCTCTAAACTAAAATGGTGGACTTTTATGTTAGGTTTTTGACCTCACGTTGTAGCTCATAGATACCACAATTGATGTATAAATCTAATTTAAAATGATCTTTTCTGGTCTGAACACAATTCTAATAAAACTTATGACAAAATAAATTCACTTACAAGAGTAAAATAATGTTTTTTTGGAAATAAATGTCTAACCTCTTCACCCATGTGCTTCTAACCTTCACAGACTCCATGAATTGATGCCTATCTCCTAAATATCTGGTCACATGATCAATTTCTCTTATCATTTGCAAGCAACAGGGGGTGGCTCAATTTACCCTTTGGCTCAACTTACCCCACTCTCCCCTATCTGTCTAGTCTGATTCTTGTCTGCATCTCCTGTTGATCTCATAGACCTTCAACAACCCAAACAGACGTCTTGAGCTGCGGTACAGATCCAAAGACCCTTTCTGCCACCCTCTCTGCGGAAACCGCTTTTCATCAGGCAACCTGCTTCTCAAAGTCCGGCGGCGGGTGCGGAAAAAGGACCCAAAGGATGCTGAGATCCACATGGAGGTCCTCGGAGTTATCGGGACAACATACAAATTCCAAGGTCACATTTTTAAACAAAAAATCCTGAAATTTCAAGAAAAATATTATCCAACACAGTGGTTCTCAACTGGTCTCACTCTGGGACCCACATTTTCCCATGGTCCTTAAGTCGCGACCCTCTTTTATAGAATTCAAAAAACCTTCAAAGACTCTAATCTTTACCATGAATCCACTTGTTTTATTAAGTAAAGTGCATTTCAGAGCACATGAAGGGGACAACGTGAGGACGACAACTACTGAAGATGCATAGAAAATATTGAATATCTAATAATTATCACATTAAATATTTACTTTTTTTACCAGCTGTTCGTGACCCATCCAGAACGTGTCCGTGACCCACTTTTGGGTCGGGACCCACCAGTTGAGAACCACTGATCTAACATACAGGAGTACTGTGTTCAGATATCACTTTCTTCTTTACCTCTTTTAGTGAATTAGTTTCTCTTCACAACAATCTAATTGTTGGAAATTTGTGTAATATTTTTTTTTCCTTAAAAGAAGTCATTATTTTTAGAAATCACACACTTTTTTAATTAAAAGGTTAAGCCAGTTTGTTGTTTTCATTATTTTTATTTTGCAGGGATGGCAGACTTTCAGTGCCTTGCCGTAAACGTAGAAGGTGGAAAAGTCACATCTTTGTACGACAAAATCATCCTCCGTAAATCAGAAAAGCAGGAGTTCTTTGAGAAGCCCATGCCATTCTTTCTTCCACCTGCTATCTTCTCCCGCCTCGACACTCCCGTGGATTACTACTACCGGCCGGATATCTTTCAGAAGTCAGTGTGATGGCTCTGTGGTCGATCTTGCAGCTTCTGCTTGTGTTGTGTATAATGTTTCTTTAAAGAAAAGTATTCCTAATATTTCCTCATCCTTTTCTTTTAACAGCCAGATGCCCGTGAAGGTGTCAAACTTCATCGGTTTGAACCGCTGCCGCCGGCCTCACAATGCAGTATTTGTCAGTTACACTGATCCCACCGTACCTACTGAATGTCTCGAGGCAGCCAAGGTGAACTGGAAACGAGTCTGTGCGAAGGAGAGTGACATACAGGCGGAACAAGACATGAAAAAAGTATGTGTGCTGTTGTAGTGGGACAAATACCAAAACTAGCAGGGTCAACTGTTATGATCTTTGAGTCCTCAGGCAGTACTGTATTTAAAACAAATAAAACTCTGTAGTTGAAATCACTGCAGGGGCTTAAAAAAGTTCTAAAAAAATCATTGTGTGCGAACACAGTTTATCACTGCATCCACAACTGCAGGTTTAAACTATACTGCACATAGAGGAAACCAGATATAAACATGATCCAGAAACTTCAGAGACCTCTCTGTGCCCAGGCCCATGTGAGGTGGACTAAGACGAAAACCTTACATTTCATTGCTTGTTTTCTTGCTGTATAAATCACATAATGACTCTTTGTTTTCATGAATTTGTAACATATTGAAACCAACACCATGAAAACATGTATTGAAAGTTTAAAAGTCATCTTCTTCCTGTCATCAGTATATTTATTTTTCCACACATGTTCTGTTTCAACATTGTTGATAATGTCATAGTTGGGTCACATTATGTAACATAGGTCTACCATGGCTTAACCCTTATTTTTGGGCTTTAATCTTATCTTAAACCAAACTGTGTGTGTAGATGTTTGAGAACCGACCCATCTGGTCGCGGAACGGAGTCAAGGCCAACATCAGCATCCATCCTGAGAAACTGAAACTGCTGCTGCCTATCTGCGCCTACTACATGGTGAGCCGGGGGGGACACAGTGTGCCGGGTTTCCAGTGCGGGCCTCTATGTTAGGGGGGTTATGGTTCCAGGCATTCTTACTTGAATGAAAAGTGAGCACTCAGTCTCATTGAGGTGCTCTGTAGTCACTAAACACGCCTACTCTGCAGATAGTTTCAGTTCTCTACTTGGAAAAAATTACAAAGTTGTATAGAAATGTCCAACAATATCCGAACAGAGAACTGAACATTATTCTTGTTCAAGGATAAACATCTGACTTTCCTCCGTAGGTGACAGGACCTTGGAGAAGTCTGTGGGTGAGGCTAGGCTATGATCCCAGAAAGTGTAAGGAGGCCAAGAAATACCAGCTGCTGGACTTCAGGATAAGATGTAGTAATAAGCACGGTGAGATGATGTGATGGGGCTAGGAAACATTTACAGTGTGTTTCCTACAGATTTCCTGAAAAGCCTTTTTGATTGAAGCTTTTTCTGAGACTGACACTAGCAATAATATAAAGTCAAGGTAAAATCTTTAAATTTTTAAACACGAGCAGATTTTTCTCGATAAGACTTTCTTCAGTGATGTCTCCCTCTGTCAGTATTATCTTCTGATTCTTACAAACTGCAGCCAAGATCGTTCCGCCTGACACTGACTGCCGGTTTCTCCTCTGTCCTGCTCTCAGGGTACTATGACATGCCAGTGAAAGCCAAGAGGAGCGCCCTGAACTACAGTCTGCCTATAACTGTCAACAAAGCCGGTGCGTTCAGGTGGTTTTATTTATCTAGTACAGAAGAACGCAAAAGATATTTAAGCTGAAGATGTCCTTTGAAACACTCAGCGGGATCAGTCCAGTACAAACAAAGTTATTTATCCCCAATGCAATTTTGTTTTCAGGTCCTCACGTTGCGAGCGTGATGGATATTCCAACTCAGGAGGCTGCCAGCACCAGTCGAGAACCTGCACCCGTCTCTTACCAGCTGAAGGTCTGTAGATGTCTTTGAACGTGTTAAAACCTAGAATCACGTGATAGTTGGAGGGTCGTCTGGTCCCTGTGAGCATTTTCTTGAAATCTGTTGACTGCTGCAGTACCAAAGATTTTTGTTTTGTCCCCACAGGAGTCAGCTTACATTTTCAGAGAGGGCATGCTGCCTCCTCACAGACAGATGTTTTACCAGCTTTGTGACCTGGAGGTGGACAGGTAATATCACACTGCTAATCAAGAGTGTACGAATTTGTATATGAGTGTCTACCAATACCAGAAAAACCATGATAAAGTGCTGTTTAGGGTTTAACTTGGCTTACTTGAAATGGGAATATATTGTGATCAGATTCTAGATTAAAATGCCCCCTTGCTCACTCCTTCATCTATGAAACATCATTGACCTTAAAAGCACTAACTACTGCAGTGTTAACATCTATCTATCCCTCTAGTCTTAAACAGGTGATCGAGCAAAAAGGCAACGAGGAGGTGTGTGACGAGAGGGACGGGTGGTGTGCTGTTGGCACCACAGACAAGCTGAGGGACATGATCTCAACCATGATCAAGAAGATCATCCGAGTCAAGAAACCCGGTAAGAAAACCAGAAATTCATGACAAACTCAGACATTTCTAAAAGCACGGAACCCACATCACTGACACGTAATGTGTAACCTGGCCTCAGCAGGTGTTGTTTTACTTAGATGTCCCGTGTTATTTCTCTCCTCAGAGGTGCCAGACTACCCCAAAAAACGCAGACGATTGGGTCTGAGTAAAAAATATACAGATGAGGATTCAGAGGAAGAGAAGCAGGATGATGAAGACGAGGATGATGACAATGACGATGATGATGATGATGACTTTCAGCCATCTGAAGGGAGTGAGAATGAAATGGAGACAGAAATGCTGGAATACATTTAACATCAAGCAAATTTTTAGGTTTCTTTGATCATGACTGTGAATATGTCTCATTATTCATTTTTGTCAGTGTTGATATGTTCAGCGATTTTCAAAGGAAATGTAAATAAAAGAGAAATATTTCTTGTACTTTGTGTAGAAACAAATTTCATTTATTTTAAAATATTTTTCAGAAAATAACACCAGTTCTGTATATTGTAGGGCTGGGACAGTACACTTTTCTCCCGATTCGATTCTTCTACGATTTTTTGGGATGCTGAGTCAATTTAAATTGCGATTCTATGGTATTGTAGATTTTCTTAATTTTTTTCTTTTTCTGCATTTTTAACACCAGTGAAACAGTTGAATTGTTATGATTGTCTGCTGACTTTTCCAGGAACCATAGTTCCCCAAAAATTACAGATCACATGTGAGTACGTTTTTTTAAGATTTATTCTTAAATTTGAAAAAAAAAAAAAAAAAAGATTTTTAAACAAAAAAATTAATTAAAAAATCAGTTATGTAAATTGTAAAACAAAAACTTGCGATCGGATACAATTTTTTTCTCCCACCCCAAGTATTTTGCTTGGCCGATTTTGTGGCACCTTAAAAGTGATAAATGATGTTTTTTTTGGGCTTTAATGGAAAGATCTTTATTCAGTTAAATAAAGCTTGACAGACTAACAAATGTTGTGACAACAAAGATTGTCTGTCAGGACACTCTCCAACTCAAGTAAGCAGGAGTTTATTCAGCAGATTAGCTGAACAGTCTTTGTGCACCTTTTTGTGAAATTTATGTTGAGTCTCCGGCAAAATACAACCATAATTCCAAAAAGTTTTTTGCATTTTAAAAGTGAAAAGTCTGATTTTGCATTATCTAATTCGTGCAGGACGTGGTTTGGCGTCGTGTTGCTTTAATTATAAGTCTTTCCTGGTGAAAGCATTGTGATAGTGTATGTTGGATGTATAGAGTACCTATACTGTCCAATGGCTGGTTTTAGACTGAGCTGATAACAAGCTGGGTTGTCCTTTTTTGTAGTGAGTTGAGGACAGAGTCCATGATTTCCTAAAGGAATGGGAAATTTGAACTCATCAGACCACAGCACTGTGTTTCACTTTGACTCGGCCCATCAAGGCGTTTTTTTCAGTGTCTATTTTATCAAACTTGTAATTCGTTATAGGAGTTTTTGAGTGGTTGGAAAAAGTTACTCAAAAAAAACAAGTGTTATCTTTTGCTTCTGCTTGAGCAGTGTGAATTCAGGTATAGTTGGCCAGCTGTGTCAATTGAGCAAAGTCTGCCTACGTAAAACACAACTGCGAAAGATATAACCAAATAATCCCTCTTATGGTCGGCTTTTAAAAAATAAATTCTCACACAGATGAGGAAGAAAAATATTCAACCACTCAACACAGCCAGTCAAATAGATTATGTGCGAAAGAAGAAGAAGATGAGTTCGGACTTTCAGTGCTTGTATTTTAGGGGTTGATCTCATGACATCCTTCATCTCTGGAAAACAGTAAGAGAACAAATATGCAAGTTAAGTGCACAGTTAAACTCCTCCTGGTTAGGTAAGTGTCCAGAGCCAAACAGTCTTTGTTTTTATCAAAGGGGACTTCTCTTCTCTGCTGCATTTTGGCTGCAATCCCAGCACACCTGATAAGACTTAACCACTGCAACTTCACATAACACTGAGCATTTTCCTTCAGTTATAACTGACCTCATTATCAGTGACTTATAAGAAAGAGAAGAGGACGTTATGTCTCAGCAAACAGGGACACAATGTGCTGGAAATGACAAATGAGATAGAGGTAAAGCAGGCCCACAGGTACAGCTTAGGGGAGGGGTCTCCTTTATAAAAGTCTGGCCCACATTCAACCTTGTTCCCACTGGCACAATGGCGATGTTGGGGGTATTGGTGGCTGTTGCTGTGTTTCTGGAAACGATCTCTGCAGCCTCCGTAAGTGTCCCCCCCAAAAGAGAAAGTTGATGCACTCAGATTGGAAAGCTCTTTGTGTAGTATCTTTGATAAAGCAAACTGTAATTGTTCATTTTGAATGCATGCATGTTATTAATGTTTTAACATCACTTGTAGATATACTGCATCAAAACACAAGTCTCCATCTAGGTCACATTGATTTTCTTATATAATTCATTTAGGACTTATTTCATATTTTCAAAAGCGTATTCAATGACATTGTCCTGTGATTGACTTCCTCACTTTGTGATGTTGTCCTCTCTGGATCTTGACGCTTTCTTTCCTCCTGTAGCTGGGGGTGGTGTACACTGAGGGAGGGATGGTGGAGGGTGAGAGCATCCGTCTCGGGCTCTTCCGTCGCATGGACGTCTTCAGGGGGATTCCCTTTGCTGACATCCCTGAGAGGTTTCAGAAACCACAGCGTCACCCTGGTTGGGACGGTGGGTGGACTGGTTGATCTTCTCGCCTTTGGTTTACTTATTAAATCCAAAAACTGAAATCAACACCACAAAGATAGATAGTCCTTGAGAAATCTTGTCATACAATTGTACTGACTGATTTGTTTGAATAAGAAGAATTTAGACTTCAGAGATAAGAACCTGAATAGATAATAAGACAAGACAGTATCAAATACACTGCAGGCCTTTGCATCTTTCAGGAATTTTACAGGTGCTGAGGGTCTCATGCCCTTTAGACCATACTGTAATGGCAAAGCTCTGAATTTTATGTGTTTTGAACACCACCGAAGAGTCACATGTCTGTGTGCACACCATGGGACATACAGTGATCATGCATTCTGCTGCTGCACATGAAATGTCTGCAACACAGAGTGAGCTTCATATAGATCCTGTAATGATTACTGAAAATGCTGACTGAGTGTTTTCATAAACAGGCAGAAGATGTATGTGGATCTGTTAAGACCATGACTGTGACTGTTCATATAAATTCAAAATACAGGACTTTTTAATGAAAGTAGGAACAAGCCAAAGTGACTTTGTGCAACTCTTAGTCAGCTGCATGTGTTAAGTTTTATACATGTGGTTGAAATGTTGGACGAGAATGCCTTACTTCTACTAGAATGATGGGGTGGATCCTGAAAGCAGGATCAGGTTTTAGTTTTTAAGCATGCCCATTATCCTTAAAAACAACTTACAACTTTTATGCGCCAGTAAAATCGTAAAATTCAACATACTGTGTCATGGCAGTCAGTCTCACTGTGGCTGCAGCATCAGGGTCAAGAATTTGATTTGTTCAGGTCAGGACTGTCTGAAATCTAAAGCAACTTCTACAGGAGCTTTAAATGTTAGCCTAAAATCAATATTTAAGCTAAATGTGGCTCAGTGTACCACCTCACAAACAAAACCATCTTGCATTATTTCAAATTGTATCCCTTGTATCGAGTAGTAGATGATGGCTTGCGTTCTTGCTAATTTACAGCTGAGATTTAAAAAGACTGTGTTTCTCTGGTTGTCAGGTGTTATGAGGGTCACTGAGTATAAGCCCAGATGCATGCAGGTGAATCTCCTCATGAGTGACACTAGAGGCAGCGAGGACTGTCTTTACCTCAACATCTGGGTCCCTCATGGCAACTCAGGTAAAAACAATCACAGGCTCGTTGAGTATCTTGAATAATCGAAGATCTGAACTTCACAGGGATTCAATTTTGTTTGCTCTTCAGTGTCCAAAGATTTGCCGGTCATGGTCTGGATCTATGGAGGAGGTTTCCTGGCTGGAGGCTCCATGGGGGCCACCTTCTTGGATACCTATCTGTATGACGGGCAGGAGATTGCAGACAGAGGGAATGTCATTGTGGTGACGCTGGGATATCGTGTGGGGACTCTGGGCTTCCTGAGTACTGGAGACCCTGAGTTACCTGGTATGTGACAGTTCAATCGCCCCCTTTAGGCAAAAAAAGATCCTGGAGGATGATTTGTTTTTCATACATAAGCCGTCTCTCCTTTGATACCTTGATAAGGAAACTTTGGTCTGTGGGACCAGCAGGCTGCTATTGCCTGGGTGCACAGGAACATCCGCTCTTTTGGAGGAGACCCCGACAACATCACCATCTTTGGAGAGTCTGCAGGTGCAGCTAGTGTCAGCTTCCAGGTGAGAAACCCATATCAACATCCAAGATTTTGATGCAGTCAGATAACTCAGCTGGAACTATTTGTTTGAAAAAATCAAGTATCTTTGGTTTTTCTTTCTGTCTGCAGACTCTCACTCCACACAACAAAGGGCTGATCAAAAGAGCCATCTCTCAGAGCGGTGTTGCTGTTTGCCCCTGGGCCGTCAACAAAAACCCCCGAAAGTTTGCTGAGCAGGTACATAACAGTCTTTTTGAACTGATATATGTCTAAGTGTATAAGTGTCATGTATAAGTGAAGTTAAAGGTGATTTGAACTCTCTCTGCAGATTGCTGCAAAGGTCGGCTGTCCTACTGATGGCTCTATGGCTGCCTGTTTGAAGTTGACTGACCCTGCGGCCCTCACCTTGGCCGGGGGTCTCGATATACACAGTTCTCCTGATAGTAAGAACTGCACTTCACACAATCAAGTCTGTATGATCATTGTAAATAAAGTGAACCGGTGGTCTATGCACAGTGAGGTTGGTAATAATGCCATGATAAACACTTTCTCTAACCCTTACTGACAGTGAATTTGTCCTTTTCTGGACCGATACAAGATTTCAGCAGCTCTCCTGGTCAGGGTCCTTTTTGTAGTAGTTTTTTCTTCATGGAGCACCAAATCTCATCAGTGGGCCCCATCTGGAGCTCTCTGGGGTGTTTTTTTTTTTTGTAGCCAATCATGTTTCTAATCTGTGGACATTCATTTTTTAGTTTTTCTGATTTTTATTTTTATCAGTGTTACACGGTTTTCAGTGTTTCGTTGTTTCTTATCCAACTTAATGCTTTGACTCTACTTGTTTCAGGCTGTAGGTATAAAGGTTCAGGTATATGTCAGCTGATGGTAGTTCATTGAGAATTGTCTAATGGCTCTATGGCCCAAGTGCAAAACTCTATGACTTCAACACAAAGCAAAGACTCCACAGGGGGTCACTGGCAACGCACACTCATGCTCCTTTCAATTGCCACACTAATATTTCTCTATGACACTTTTTTCTTTTAAAACCACCTTTTTTTAGGTCATGACTTCTTATTATATACTGTATGTATTATGAATGCTAAGTTTCGATGGCATTCTCCTCCACTAGACCCTGTTGTGAACAACCTGCTCCTCTCTCCTGTGGTCGATGGAGACTTCCTGCCTGACGAGCCCCATAACCTGTTCCACAATGCTGCTGAAATCGACTACATCGCTGGAGCCAACGACATGGACGGTCACGTCTTTACTGGTTTGGATGTTCCCTCAATCAACTCCCACCTGGTCGACACGGATGTGTGAGTTTAAAGGACTTCATCACAGTGTGAAAGTCTGAAATATAGTCCAACACAACCACAGACAATGGACCAAAGCTTTTCTGCCATCTATTCTGCTATTTACATCCTTCTGGGTGTAAGGACGTTTAATCAGAATTAAACTTTTGACTATTTTTTGACTGCAGGGAGGACGTGAAGAGACTCCTGGCGTCATACACTAAGGAGGGTGGCAATGCTGCTTTGGAAGCAGGATACTCCACATATACCTCAGCATGGGGAGCAAATCCTGATAGAGAGACCGTCAAGAAAACTGTTGTGGAGATTGGAACAGACTACATCTTCCTGGTTCCTACTCAGATTGCCCTCTACCTTCATGCAGCCAAAGCCACGTAAGAATCAGATTTACCTGGACGAATGATCACACAGAACGATCCGGTTATCACTGGGCCTGTTTGGTTTGAGAGCTAGAGCTTGAATAAGGCATTTAACCGAGCAGTTAATGCCATTTATTAATTTATCTATTTATTGAATTATTTTACAACAGATGGAGGATGATCTATAAATCATAAGTTTCAGTATTATTTTCTCAAAATTAGAATAGGAAAACTGATTATTTTCTTATTTTCCTGATTTAGATTTTGTGCTCTAATCAACACCTGTTTACCGGTTTCTGTGTTCTTTCTAATCCTTATTTTTTGCACTCTCAGCAAATTAATCAGACTTTACTTTATTTCAAAATTGTTGCTTTCCAAATAAGTTTCCTCATCCTGTAACTTAATTGAGGTTTATCCCCCTGATAATGAAGGCAGAACACTGGTGTTACATTTAAGGGTTGACCTTGTGAACTAGCAACTTTCAGTCCTGCGTAGGTGGAGGTTGTGGTAACAGGTTTAAAATCAATCATCACATTAAACTGTAACACCTACATCTGCTTGTTCAGCACTTAATTGAATTGTTGGCTGGTTATTATCATGTAAAAACAGACTGAAACTTCAACAAGAAGTCAAAGGCAAATTCATAGATTTGCTTGAGCACTAAAATCATTTTTATTCATTCTTGTCCTGTCCGCAATAAATGTTGAACTGAAAAAAGTGCTAACGTTAGCTGTTTTCTGATGTCAGCCAGTGGAGTGTCAGATATGGTTTTGACTTAATGTGGCCCTGTCTGTCTCCAGATTCCTCTATCCGATGTCTTCACGGCTGTTTATCAATCAGGGAGCTGTAAAATGATCATGGTCAAAAATGATGTGGTTTGCAACATGGAAAATGATAGTAAGACATAAGGAATCTGTTTTATATAATATGTGTGCAAAGGCGTCATCTTCTGTATGCATCCTCTGTATGTGTTTGTTATACTGAAAATGATTTTTTAGCCTCCCGATGTGCAGCCTGCTGCCTGCAAGTACAAAAACAACGTCAACAATAAGCTATCACAATACTCCTGAATGGATTAAATGACTTTAAACTGAGGCCATATCTTGAATTTACTATCACCGCATCTGCTATTTATTTACTATCCGACTTGGTGTGTGCATTAAAGCCTCTCTTTTTCTTTCAAAGAACTGGCCGTACCTACTCCTACCTCTTCTCTCAGCCCAACCGTATGGGGGGCATCGGTAGACCGTACCCCAGCTGGATGGGAGCTGACCACGCTGATGACTTGCAGTACGTGTTCGGAAAGCCTTTCAGCACTCCTCTCGGTTACTGGCCAAGCCACCGTGACGTCTCTGGCTACATGATCAACTACTGGACCAACTTTGCCAAAACTGGGTACAACCCTACAGAAACACAAAATTCAAGAACATCTTTAAAATCTAAAATTCAAAAACCTGAAGGATAGACTAAAATTGAAAGTTAAAACTGCCTCTAAACATCTTTTTCTTTTCCTCTGTTTTTTTTTTGTCTACAGAGATCCAAACAAAGGAGAGAGTGTGCCTGCTATCTGGCCTGAATTCAACAGCTTAGAGCACAAGTACCTGGAGATCAACTCTAAAATGAACAAGAACTATGTGAGGCAGCAGCTGAGATTGCCTTACGTTCATTTCTGGGGCAACGTCCTTCCCCAATTCACTGGAATCGTCACAAAATAAGTGGCCTGTGCAGACAACTGAAGAAACCTCAAGTATCACACCGATGATAGCTCACCAAAAAATTAATTGGTGACAAATACAAATAAAAAATCTTGTCATTTTACTGTAAATCATGCCTCTTAAAATGTAAAACATATAGAAGTAAAAAAATTCACTTTGCATGTTTTGTGACTAAGTTTTCATTCTTTTGCTTTCACTTGAATAACCCAATGATACTTGTAAAAATTACAATCAGTCAATTCAAGCAACCTTTTTTCAACCGAAAACCAGTTTAGTTCTCATGGTTGAAACTGAATCGTACCAGCAAAGTAAATAATGGTAGAAAATAGGCACTTTTTACATTTAGTTTCATAGTCTAAATACTTACTTTTAATACGATACAATAAGATGTCTAAATAACATTTTGGTTGTGGTTTGTCGAATGTATGATTTAATACCCTCTTCCATAAGTGACGTATAAGTTAGTAATTTTGAAATAAGTGTAGTCAAAATAAACTGTAATGGTAGGTCAATCACCCTTACTGTAACCATCGTCTTCAGGATACAGTTTACCAATGGACAGATGCGTGAAAAGAAGATTAAACAAATACCTTTGACCTTTTATAATATGTTAAAATTCCTAAAATTAAATGTGATAAAAGCAATTCAAATACAAAAATTAAACTTTGGTTATATCAAATAAATCATTTAATAATCATATTGTGCCTCATGTCCTCCCATTACCTGGTCATACGTGGCTCAGCATCAGTTCTGGATGATATTCAACACCTTAAGTCTCTGACACAGTTTAGATCAAACTCAGCACTGGCCAATCCAGAATTGATTATTGGTTACTATCCTTAAAAACGATAAACTGCACTGTTCTAGTGTTTAACTTACAAAAAGCAGTTTGTGACTCAGTAACCCTTCATACATTCATCAACAGCACCAAGATCAAAAAGCGTCAACACCACACCCTAGAAACCTCTGTTGAAATACTTTAAAAGAATAACCAGTTTTTATCAACATGGAGAAAGCAGTTTTATTAAAATGATCATGATTGGCAGATACGTCTACTACTGAGTCAAGTGGTGCCACCTCTTTCCTCCTACACGTGTTGTACATTTGTAGGAGCCTCCTGTTGGAGCTTTGGTGGCAGCAGTCAGCAGTAGCCTCATATACAGAGAGTGGTCTTGGGCAGGAGGTAAATGTTGATTCTGTACTGTGGTCTGATTTCACAAAGAAAAGCTCTCACTCAGAATTACACTCATCAACTACAATTTTCCTCTTTGGCAAAAATGATGGACACACCAATCCCATTAGACCCAGAAATCTTTCTTGTGAAACACAACAAATCACAAATTGATTAAAGGTTCAAAACATTGTATTGACAGTATATCTCGTGTTTTTTCCAGAAATTGCTGTATAAAATTCACTAGAAAATCAGATTCTCTTCCTCTTTCTTTCTCAAAATGGATATCACAGATATCAGACAGTAGACCATTTGAGAAAATGACATGTCTTAAAAACCTGTATGATTTGTTGCTGCTTCTGTTGACAACTGTTTGGGGGCTAAAAGGTGACTGTAACTCCAGCTCTGAGAGCCTAAGTGCCCCAGGAGTGGTCATCTGAAAAACCAACACAGGAGAGTAAGTCCCGCCCTCCTCTGTGAGAAATTTAAGATAGTGGTTAAGCCAAAGTTTTTGACTCCATTTTGAATAACTTCATTCAAATTCAATGCCGTGGAAGCACTGGTATCTAATCATGGTTCTTCTACTGTTTATCCTCCTTTTTCAGTAGTCAATACTATTTAGCAGTTACCTCTTCCAGTTTCACAGAACAGGACGTTGATAAAATCTATAGTTAAAATTCACTTTGTTATTAAGTTTTTAAAATGATTACACAGGATTTGAAATGACGACTGGACAAATAGTATACAGTAAAGTGTGAAATAAGATGTGAGACGGGTCAGTTAGGGTTGTTATCTGTTACACTAACACTCAATGATCCACCTGTTTGCTGGAGTTTTCTGCTAAAACTTGATTTAATGTTTGTAAAAATCTGAGGGCAGGATTTTCTCTTGCAAAAATCGTTGCCACAGGATTGTACTTGTTTACGACCGCCTCTTTCTGAGGACCATTAAAGTAAATAATGGAAAACAGTTTGCCTGTTTTTGTAAATATCCAGGTCATACTCTTGATAAGATGTAAACTCCTGCAGTTCATGCCAAGCTTCCACTGTGAAGAGCACCAGGCACTTTCATGTCAGTAAATGACCTCATCATCATCAGCGCCAACCAGGAGACTCGTAGGGGCACAGGGTGGTTAAACATTACACGACAGAGGGAAAAGCAGGGCTACAGACTGTAAACTTGCTGGGTGCAGATAAGGTCAGGCACAGGGGAGGGGTCTCCCTTATAAAAGTCTAGCTGACTATCAACCCTGTTCCTGCAGATATGATGAGGAAGCTGGGAATATTGGTGGCTGTTGCTGTGTTTCTGGAGACGGTCTCTGCGGCCTCTGTAAGTTTGACTTAAATATTTGGTGACTGTGAGGTCCTCTGTTTAGTATCTTAAATTTCTTGCATGACTGTTGTTGTTCTGTTCTTTCCTCCTGTAGCTGGGGGTGGTGTACACAGAGGGAGGGATGGTGGAGGGTGAGAGCATCCGTCTCGGGCTCTTCAGCCGCATGGACGTCTTCAGGGGGATTCCCTTTGCTGACGTCCCCGAGAGGTTTCAGAAACCACAGCGTCACCCTGGTTGGGACGGTGGGTGGACTGATGATTTTCTAATCTGTTGTCTTTTTGATTAATAATGTTAAAAACTGTTTTGCAAACACCACAGAGATGAGTGGTCCTTTGGCAACCATGGCGGTTAACTCTGCATATCCTTCACTACTTGGGGTCCAAAATAATATTGATAAAGCTGAAATATTTAAGAGGAAGTGTTGTGTGAACTTTAAGGAGGATGTGTAATATTGTTGTTTTCATACACTACGCTATGATCATTTCTATCAAAGTTACTCTATGGCAAAAACACCCAAAATACCAGCCTATGAAGTAGACGGAGGTAGTTTAGGCCCAAATTAACACCTTATTTTATACGATAAACAACATATCACAACAGTACTGCCTGTATCCTGTTATACCATGTTATGGGTTCTTGCTCATTCACAGCTGGAACTTTCACAGACTGTGTTTCTCTCATCAGGTGTTATGAAGGTCACTGAGTTTAAGCCCAGATGCATGCAGGTGAATCTCCTCATGAGTGACACTAGAGGCAGCGAGGACTGTCTTTACCTCAACATCTGGGTCCCTCATGGCAGCTCAGGTAAAAACAATGAGAGGCTCACTGAGTATCTTGAATAATCAAAGATCTGAACTTCACCGGGATTCAATCTTGTTTGCTCCACAGTGTCCAAAAATTTGCCGGTCATGGTCTGGATCTATGGAGGAGGTTTCCTGGCTGGAGGCTCCATGGGGGCTAACTTCTTGGATAACTATCTTTACGATGGGCAGGAGATTGCAGACAGAGGGAATGTCATTGTGGTGACACTGGGATATCGTGTGGGGACTCTGGGCTTCCTGAGTACTGGAGACCCTGAGTTACCTGGTATGTGACAGTTCGATTCCCCCTTTAAGCAAAAAAAGATCCTGGAGGATGATTTGTTTTTCATACATAAGCCGTCTCTCCTTTGATACCTTGATAAGGAAACTTTGGTCTGTGGGACCAGCATGCTGCTATCGCTTGGGTACACAGGAACATCCGCTCTTTTGGAGGAGACCCCGACAACATCACCATCTTTGGAGAGTCTGCAGGTGCAGCTAGTGTCAGCTTCCAGGTAAGAAACTCGTGTCCAAAATGACAAGACAGATAACATACATAAATTCAAGCAATCACCTGAGCTACCATTAGTCACTTGTGATAAATACTGGATAAAATCGAACAACTATGATATTGTCTTTCTGTCTGCAGACTCTCACTCCTCACAACAAAGGGCTGATCAAAAGAGCCATCTCTCAGAGCGGTGTTGCTGTTTGCCCCTGGGCCATCAATGAAAACCCTCGCAGATATGCTGAGGAGGTACATAGCAGTCTTTCCAACTAGATATGTTTCTGTTTTCAGACCTTGTCGTCCTTTCTCATAAAATCAACGAGCTGCACATGTGATTTAAGTGAAGTTAAAGACTATTTGACGAGTTGAACTCCCTCCTCAGATCGCTCTAAGGGTCAACTGCCCCACTGATGACTCTATGGCTGCCTGTCTGAAGCTGGCTGATCCTGTAGCTCTTACCTTGGCTGGCAGTCTCAGTATAACCAGTTCACCTGATAGTAAGAAATGCACTTTACATAATCAAGTTTCTATGCTCTTTGTAAACATAAAAATGCACTGCAAAGACTTGGATGGGCACCAACACACAAATGAGTAATGTCAGGGTGGCCACTTCCAATCTGAGGTAAATGTACAGTTGGCCAGAGGTTTTACGACATTAAATCCCTTCAGGGTGGGCAAGACCTTCTTAACCTGTAGGGATTTTGCAAAGCACTAAACATTATGCTGCTTATTACCTGGAGATAAAGTAGAGATAATGGTTGGTATTGATCTAAAGGTCATTTTATTGAATTTAAAAGGATTCATTCAGCAGATAAAAAAGAAATGTTTTAATTTATGGTCAAGTCCTAACAGCTTTACAGTTACAGATTGCGCCAAACTTGACAGTTAAAATCCAAACGTCTAAGTTTTGCTGTTGGCACTTTCAACAGATGCAGTAAAATAACAGCAGTATCTTTATCAACCTCTTTTTTCTTGTTACTTTTTACTCTGCATTTTATTCTCCCGTGGCAGTTTGTAGGTGCTTTGTGAGTGTTATGTTCAGTTTTGTCAGCATCCCCTACTCTTGAACTTCTCGGAAAGTTCAGCTGCCATATTTCATCAGCTCTTCTGCCATTTATGCTCCTCCACTAGACCCCATTGTGAACAACCTGCTTCTCTCTCCTGTGGTCGATGGGGACTTCCTGCCTGACGAGCCTCAAAAGCTGTTCCACAATGCTGCTGAAATCGACTACATCGCTGGAGTCAACGACATGGACGGCCACCTCTTTACTGGTTTGGACGTTCCCTCAATCAACTCCCATCTGGTGGAGACACCCATGTGAGTTCTGGGTATTTGATCTCACAGTTTAAGAAAAAGCTCAACAGATCCGTGGATTTCAGGCAACTTTTATTCTTACATCTGACACATTATTAACAATTTTCTGAGCAATTTATTATTCAGACTAAAACCTCTAACCTTCTCTGATTGTAGTGAGGATGTGAAGAGGCTCCTGGCTGCGTACACTAAAGAGGGTGGTGAGCCAGCTTTAGCAGAGGCGTACTCCACTTACAGCCATTCCTGGGGATCGAGCCCCAATAAGGAGGCCGTCAAGACAACTATTGTGGACATTGGAACAGACTACATCTTCCTGGTTCCTACTCAGGCTGCCCTCTACCTTCATGCTGCCAACGCCACGTGAGAATAAGTCAAATTACTCAACAGTACAACTTGTTGTCTGTACAGTCTTCAGTCATGCAGCTTCGATAAAATACAATAATAGATCTAGGCATCAAACAGCTTGCTCAAAGAGATTCGTAGGCAGATGTCTTGCACTTTTAAACTGTGTTTCTCTTGATCTCTGTTAAGTATTCATTGTCACATCCCTTTTTCTTCCATGTCCTACCAAAGAACTGGCCGTACCTACTCCTACGTCTTCTCTCAGCCCAACCGTATGGGGGGCATCGGTAGACCGTACCCCAGCTGGATGGGAGCTGACCACGCCGATGACTTGCAGTACATGTTCGGAAAGCCTTTCAGCACTCCTCTCGGTTACTGGCCAAGCCACCGTGACGTCTCCGGCTACATGATCAACTACTGGACCAACTTTGCCAAAACTGGGTACAACTCTGCAGACACACATGATGAACAAAAAAATGAAAGACACGTGAAGGTATTAAGCAAATTCATACATTGTGTCTTTTCTCTGTTTTTTTGTCCACAGAGATCCAAACAAAGGAGAGCGTGTGCCTGTTACCTGGCCTGAATTCACCAGCTCCGGACACCCCTTCTTGGAGATCAATTCCAAAATGAACAAGGAATATGTGAGATATCAGCTAAGGTTGAGCTTTGTTCAATTCTGGACCAGCGTCCTTCCCAAACTCGCTGGAATCATCACAGAGTAAACAGCCTGTGCAGAGGCTGAAGAAACCTCAAGTATCACATCAAAGAGAATCCTGAAAAAATAAATGGATAAAAAACTTAAATTACACTTCCTCGTTATTTTTGTCCTTTGTCATTTTAATTAAAAAAATACAAAAAGTTCCTACAGACCAACAGTCTTAACTGCTAACTGTTAACTTAACTGAAATCAACTTACAGTCAAAAAAAAAAAAAATTTATAAGACCCCCCCTTTTTTTTTTACAACAACAGCAACCAAATAAGGTACATATGGAGTGAGTTTTTCTACCCTGTGAGAGACTGCGTGAGCAAATAGTTCAACAACTCCAGGATAATGTTCCTCTGATTTCATCATCTACAGTAGATACAATCATTCAAAAATTCAGGGAAATCTGGAAGACTTTTTGTAAACTGTAGAATTGGACATTTTATCTTTTTTTTTTTTTTTTTGGATATCGTGGACATTGCACTCTCTGCCCTAAAGAGTAGAAAGTGATCACTCAGCTTGTTGTTGGCGCTTCAAAATCCAGCATCTGTGTTTATGTCAGTATGGATATGGGCCGTACAACCACATCATGGCTCCTCATTGAAAGATATCTAGGTGTTAAACTTGCCTACCTTCACTTCTGTCTGGTCAACTATTGATAATAATTTTGCACTTTATGGAATAAACAAATAAACCAAACTAGACTCTGAAATGTCGGCCAGTTGTAATCTCACACCAGGCAAGTATGTGACATTATCCCACTCTGAAAACCTCTGGACATCACCAAAGATAGTCCTCACTCAAGGGTCTGAAAATTACATTTACCCACCTTTTTATGTAACTTTTTCCACTACACCAGATGTGGATATTACAGACTTGGTACCAGAATTAACATTTGGATTTTTTTGTGTGATAAGATTGACTTGTTTGCCAAACAGAACTGCATTTGATCATTTAAAACCCAGAACAGATAGAAACTCACACCATTTGTAGTAAAAACTGCGGGAATAAGCATACGGCAGCCATTTTTAACTGCTGCAGATAAAAGGACTTTCAAGTGAAGAAAGAAAAGCCTAAAATAAAAAAGATATATATATTTTTGATACAAAACAAACACATTCAACTTGGAACAAATGCTAAAATAAATATGCGGACACTGCTGGCAAAGGTTTGCAAAGTGTTTAGAGTTTATTAGTTTTACCCTGGTGTTGTCTTGAGCAAACAAGTCCATTTAGATCCAGTATGACCAGTGTGACTGTTTTCTTTTCCCAAATCTGCCACAATATATTTCCTTAGCGTTACAGTAACTTTTTCCAGAGCAGTGTTTTGCTTGGATCTGCTGAGGAAAGAAGGTTTGTTGACTTTTTTTTTTACCTCCTCCTCTCCCTCCCTCTTGTGTGTACTTTCCCCATCTGTAAATGCAATTTCGTTGTGCACAGTTGCAATGACAATAAAGACCATACCATACCATACCATACCATACACTATTTCAAAACATCCTGCAAGAACAAATTGTAAAATCCAGTGTTTAATCTTATCGCCAACAGAGTGTCCCTTTGGTATTTTGAGAAGAAGTGCACCTGTGTTTGGGAGTCAACAGCAGCACTTGCCTCATTATCAAAAAAAGATGACTGGACTTTCTCACTTCATGCCAAATGTATGCTTCTTGATGGCTTAACAACATTTCACACTTGTGATCAAAATGCAAATAATGCAAATAATAAGAGAAGGATTTAAAAAAAAACACTCAAAGAAAAATGTCTGATAGATATAGTATACCTTCTGTAATATATTTATGTAGAAAATACAAAATACATTCACCTTTAGTGATAAAAACAAGAGTTACATTACATCTAAATAATAATAAAAGTCTTGTGGGTATTCAATATTGTTTAATAAAATTTTGGGCACATGTTTGGCACAGAGATTAAAATAGTGAAATAAAATACAAGAGTTGTTCTTCACTGGGGGACATTTTGCTGGCATGGTTTGGGTCAACACGTCTCCTCGAAGAAAAAAGGGTCACTTCTCTTCAAAACAAAAGCCCTCTGAGTCATCAGATGAAACATAGAGGCCTCTTTCAAAACAACAGTGCACTGGGCACACAGCATCACTGAGTAGTCTCACATATTTAAACGGAGTATGAACCACAAACAAAGACTAGTCATGTTTCATACATGATTGTTTTTTAAAATTCATTTACCTTTGAAACAGTCAAAAATGTGTGAAAGTTGAACACTCATGCCAGTTGTCAGACTCTACACCAGGTTGTTTCCCACCAGAGGGTTGGGGGTCACGGTCAGCTGAAACACAAGGCAACCATTTAGCCGTATAGATAACACAAAACAGGTGAACGTCTATGTTGAACCTTTTTTTTTTTTTCTCTTGAAGGGTTGGTCCTGTGTATATAAGCACCTGTGGGGACATACATTCGTTCTGGATCTCAACCATGGACAGACTGATGATTCTGTTTGCTGTTGCCTTGTCTCTGGGGGCGGCTTCAGCAGCCACTGTAAGTCTGTGTTCAACTAACAGCTATCTGCAAATGTTTGAATCAACCAAACATGGTTTGAATGCAATAATGTGGATTTCTGATTTGAACTCTCTTTGGTGTATTTTGGGGGTAATGTGTCATGTCGCTGCTATCACTTTAACATTACATGACCACCTGTAACCCTCTGTTATTAGGAAAACAACAAATCAAATCTGAAAATGGAAAATTTCATAATTTCATGACAAATGTGTTTGCTCGCTGTATACCTGTGAGCACGCGAACCATAGGCCCTACGTTAATCATGTTTGCCATGTTGCATCACGTCCTGTTTGAACAACACTCTGTCAACGTTTGGTAACCAAGGAGACTGCTTTTTGGAGTTCTGATTGCCTGATCTAGGATTTCGGCTGCTCAAAAGTTCACAGTCTTCAGTGTCATATTTCTGTGTTATGATGCAATGAATGGTTTAATGGGTAACAAGTCAGGACTGCAGGCAGGCCTGTTTAGCAGCTAGCCTCTTCTTCTGCTACAGAGCCGTGCTGTTGTAATGTGGTTTGATATTGTTTTGCTTTAATATGCAAACCCTGTCTCGAAAAGTACATTGTCTGAATAGCAGCACATGATTATCTAAAACCTGTTTATACTGTTCAGCATTGGCGTGTAAGCTACTTATACCACTCATGTATCCTCATATTTTCGTGGATGCTGCCTTTAAAGTGGAAGGTCCCTGTCCTCTTTGGAGTATAGGATACCAACAAATGTATACCTCAGTTCATCAGAGAAGTCACCGGCACTTTTGGATCAGTCTTGTCTTCTCATCCCCTCTTTGTATGGTAGTTTTATTCTGCATTTGTGAAAGTAACAATGTACCGTGTCCACAGAAAGTGGTTTTTGGAAATGATTCAAAGCCCATGCAGTGATTTCCATAATAGAGTCTTGCATGTTTTTTTCTGCCTGAGGGTCTAAAGATCACAGCATTTGTTTCTAAGGCCGAGAAAGTCACTACTCTTTTGGACTCAGAGTTGTTCTGCAGTTTTATTTTGTCATTAAACTCCAAAACCATTGTTCCATTGTGTCCCTAGCTTGGTGTGGTACAAACAGAAGGCGGTAGGGTTCAGGGGAGAAACATCCCCCTCGGCCTGTTCCGCTCTGTGGATGTCTTCAAAGGAATCCCCTTTGCAGCTAAACCTGAACTCCTGGAGAAACCCCAACCTCACCCAGGCTGGGATGGTGTGTAAATATTTATATTAAAAAAAAAACTTAGATTTGAAAATGAATATTCCTTTATGAATAAAGCTAACAATCAATGTTTTTATTCAATTTTCAGGAGTTCTGAAGGCAACAAAGTTTGCTCAGAGATGTATGCAGAAGAGCATACTCCAGACCTCTAGTTTTGGAAGTGAAGATTGCCTCTACCTGAACATCTGGGTTCCTCATGGCAGACAGGGTAAAGTGTTTATTTTTCTATACATTACTACATTGATACTGATGATACTGCTTCTAATTTAAAGAAAAATCTATCTTCCTTTCTTTTCTCAGTGTCGTCAGATCTCCCAGTCATGATCTGGTTTTATGGAGGAGGCTTCATGGTCGGTGGCTCTATGGGTGCAAACTTCCTGAATAACTACCTGTACAGCGGTCAGGAGATTGCAGACAGAGGCGGTGTTATCGTTGTGTCTGTTGGATACCGTGTGGGAACTCTGGGCTTCCTCAGCTCAGGGGATTCTGGCTTACCTGGTAAGAAGAGTTTTAAGGACTTGTTGGCTGTGGTGACTTCCTGAACTCAAGATTTGTTTCCATGACAGGAAATTATGGTTTGTGGGACCAGCATGCTGCCATCGCCTGGGTTCACAGGAATATCCGCTCATTTGGAGGAGACCCTGAAAACATCACTCTCTTTGGAGAGTCAGCAGGTGGAGCTAGTACCAGTTTCCAGGTGAGAAACCTACTATTACATGAGCACAATACTCATTATTCTGACTTTTTGCTTTTGGAATAATTAGGAAATTTAGTACCTGAAAGAGGCCAAATCTCTTTACTTTTAGGCAAAGGAGTCAGGAAAACTGCAGTCCTGACTTTACCCACCATGTATCTCTTCACAGAGTCTCTCTCCCCATAACAAAGGGCTGGTCAAAAGAGTCATCTCCCAGAGCGGTGTTGCCCTTTGTCCATGGGCTATGAGCAAGAACCCTCGCAAGGTTGCAGAGCAGGTATGTTCTTGTGTTTCAGACCCCAGTCCTTGGAAGTGGATGTCTGAGGCATGTTGGAATATTTGATAAAAAGCTCAATGTGAATATTCTAAGGTTAGAAACTGAGAGGCCTCAGATCCCCCCACAGAGTATGGGCCTGCAGATTTTATTTCCTCTTTAGCAGCTTGTTTCAACATCGCATTTGTTGCATACTCAGATTTCATTATCTCCTAATAGAAATTCTTTGGGTTATTGCAGCACAATTGCCCCAATTCCCACACTGCATTCAACTGTTTTATTATCGTGGGCACAGATTGCTGAGGAGGTTGGCTGTCCTACTGATGACACAATGGTGGCCTGTCTGAAATCAACAAGTGCTGAGACTCTCACCATGGCTGCTCCCCTCATCGAACAAGGCTCCCCAGATTGTGAGATTTCATATTCATAACAACTCTCTCCAGATGTAACAGCCAGTCAAAGCAACATTGAGATGCCAACATGTCCATGGTTTAAAACACTACCTGACCAAATCTGTGTGACTTTACCCCAGATCCAGGTGTGCTGAATCTGCTTCTGTCTCCTGTTGTTGATGGTGACTTCATACCTGATCAGCCAACCAACTTGTTCCACAATGCAGCTGACATTGACTACCTCGTGGGTGTTAACAGCCATGATGGTAATCTTTTCACCTCACAGGACATCCCATCCTTGGGTAGCAAGACAAAGGAAACGCCAGTGTAAGGAAAAATATATCGAAGTTTAACAAAAGGAGAGGAAATCTAGTGACCTAAAGCGGCTGAACTGCAGAGTCCTTCTACTGATAAACTTTATTTTAACTGCAGTGAAGATTTGAAGAGGCTCCTCGCTGCTTACTCCAAAGAGTTTGGGCAAGATGGTGTGGATGTTGCTTTTGCTGAGTACTCATCCACCTGGGACTCACCTCCCAGCCAGGAGAACATCAAGAGGACTGGTGTGGATATTGGAACAGACTACATCTTTGTGGTTCCTGCACAGGTTGCCATCTACCTGCACGCTGACAACGCCAGGTGAGACAAACTGTCTTTTGACTTGAAAAGTCCAGAAAGCAAAACTACAATCATGTAGGAGGAAGGAGACTCATTCAGGGAGTGGGAGCGGTTTTGCATACATGTTTATGCAATTCACTCCAATCACGTCACCAGAGGAGCAAATTCAAATCACCCTGTAGCAGCTAAGTTTTCCCAGGTTTGCCACAGAAACAATACTGAGGCTTCACTTCCACATTCTCAGGGCTAAGAAATGGTCAACTTATAAATGTGTAGAAAACGAATCATATGTTTTTCAGTGTTGTGCCTTTGGGAAGGCATATTTATAACTTGAAAATGGACCAATAAAATTCACAACTTTATAAGGATAGCTTCCGGCTTCTTGTGGAGCTGCTAAAGTACCAAAGAACCAGCTTTTTTACGCATTCACACAAATGAAATCAGATATAAAGGTTATTACTGTAGATTGCAGAAGCTCATAGTAAGGAGATAACTCTGGGGCCACAAAGTAACTCAATGTGATTATCATATAAAGATTTATTCCAAACACTGGCAAAATAAACCAATGAGTTTCCTTATGTGCTTTTTATAACAGGTTAGAGTTGATTCAGATTGCTGACAAATGTTACTGGACTCATAGACATGCACTAGAGGGGGCATAGATGTATATATGAAGAATTAAAAGTTTTGCTGTGTTGCTGTAATGTTGTACTGTCTGTATAAACAAACTTGTGATAAAGTCTGTGTTTATCAGGTCTGGCCGTACCTTCTCCTACCTGCTGTCTGAGCCCAGTATGATGGCTGGACCTGGCAAACCTTATCATGACTGGGTGGGATCAGATCATGCTGATGACCTGCAGTTTGTGTTTGGCAAGCCTTTCACCACGCCAAAGGCTTATGCAGACAGACACAGAGACCTGTCCAGCTATATGATCGCTTACTGGACCAACTTTGCCCACACTGGGTAAAACAAACACTGCTTGCACATCAAACATTGAAGAATTGCATTATTTTACAAAACTTCTCTTAAAAACTAACTGAACACTTACTTGGTATTTAATCGTCTATTCGTTAAACAGCAACCCCAATAAAGGAAACCTGAAGGCGCCTGTATTCTGGCCTGAATTCACCAGCAGTGGACCGATGTACCTCGACCTCAACGGTAAGATGGACGACAACTCTGTTGGACAGGAAATGAGGCTCCGTTTTGTTCGTCTTTGGACCAGCGTCCTTCCCAGCCTTCCACCATCAAACATCACCACAGATGATGAGTGATGCATCATGGGTCTAAAGACAAGATTGCAACAATCAGAAAAAATAAACCGTGTGAAGAAAAAGATTCTGTGGTTTAACTTGACTTCCTCTCCTGCAGTGATATTACACATTGATCTTTCATGATGTCAACTTAGAGTGTCCATTTGACGTATTTCTGATAAGACCTCTTCAACAGGATTTTCAGTTTTCTATTGGTGTTTTATAGTATTTTCGCCCTCTTTAAGTGAGACCTGCCTCCCATTGGCTTGGCAGAAGTTTGGTATGGCTCATCCCTGAAACCCACAGAATGCATGTGGGACATTACGTACCGTCAGCGCCACACTATTTAGAGCTGATATGTACCTGTTCTGGTCAATCAATGCTCCTGTCTCCACTGCATTACACCTCAAACACACTTCCAGTGGGCCGGGGTACGCCTCCTCAGATAGAGCTAGACCAGAATACTGCAGATATGCATCATGTGGGATAAGAGGTTACACTACTACTGGCCTAATAGTAGGTAGTGTCAGTGGTACACTTATAAATGGGGACGAAGAGTGTCTACTAATGGTGAAACTGTCCAAACATGTCATGCTGAAATGGATTAATCCAACACATTTAATTGTCTTATGTTAAAAGTATGGGAGATTTATTTATGGCTCCCCCACAAAACCAGTACACTGATTGTGCTAAATTAGTCTGTAGCTATTTTATTTTTATTTGTGCTCATTATTTGTGTCACAAAAATACTAATTTGTCTAAATGCTTGTCATTTAGAACTAAATATCACTTCTGTAGCCTGTTTTATCTTTGTCAAAAGTTACAAAGGAAAGGCTTGCTAGGAAATGCTGGTTTGGACATCTTTTGACTTCACGTCTTAACTTATGCTGTATTAATTTTTCTATCAAGCTGGTATGAAAATGCAACATGAAGAAAATAATCAGACAACCAGTTATCTGCACAATGTTTAGCATGACGGCAAAGGGGAAAGACAACAAGATAAGTACTTAGCGTCAACTGATAAAAAAAAAAAAAAACAAATTGGAGGAACAGCATATAACAAGATACATTCAACGAATGCTAACATTGTTCTAACCTGAGAACAATTACGGGTAATCACCTCGCTGAGCTTGTTCTGGCTTATGCCTCCTTTTCTGTTTCTCTTTCCCATTAGCCAGAATTATGACCTCTTGCCATTTTGTGTAGAGCACCATCTACTGGACAAAATCTTAAATGGGGCTTCTCACAAACTCTCTTACACAAAGTTAAAGTTATTACTTTTGAACTGAAAATAAAATAAATTTTCTAGAGCTGTGCATGTTTACTTCTGTTTGGGGTAAAGGCGACCCAAAATACATTAGCATTGGGGCCCATAGAAGAGTATTTACACTATAGTACACCACCACTTTCTAACACTACTAAACCCCTGTTTCCAAAGAAGAGGATAAGAGGAAAATCTACACCTTTCCAACTGGATTCTCTGGTCCTGTGGAAATGAGCCAGTTCTTGGGGCAGCTGTGGCTCAGTGGTAGGGTTGTCATCAGTCGCAGGGTTGGCGGTTCGTTCCAAGCTCTCACAGTCATGTGTCAGAAACTTGGCTATAACATCAACAAACACTTTTTGAGTCACTGTGAGATTAGAGTCTGGTTTTCATGAAGTTGACCTTGTTTACGGTCAAAATGTGTGAAAACTGAACACTCACACCACTTGTCAGAGTCTACACCAGGCTGTGTCCTATCAGCGTTTCGTAGGTCATGGTCAGTGAGGACACAGGGAAACTGGCATTGGTTTACTATACAGGTTACACAACGGAGATGAATGGTTATATTTAACAGGGTTGGTGTATATAAGCACCTGGAGAGATATTTGCAGGCTTTGGACTACAACCATGGACAAGCTGACGATTCTGTTTGCTGTTGTTTTGTTCCTGAGGACGGCCTCAGCAGCCACCGTAAGTCTGTTTTCAACTAACCGTGTATTTATAATTATCTAAATCCAGCAAAAATGAGTAACATGGATAATGATTTTTTGATTCTTTGAGCAAATCTTATTTCAAACAATCATCAACAGTGACACCATTATTTGTTCATATGGTACAACAGCTGTGTCTTTCTTCTTATGTTGATGTTCTCTTCACTACCTGGCTTCTGAGCAATACATTTAAGCTTTTCATTGGGTCGCAGTGTGGTGATCAAACTGAGGAGCATATGTAGAATGCTTTGGCCAGTTTCAGTCATAAAAGAGAAAATCAATTTGAAGTCCAGTTATGGTCCGACTACGTCAAGATACTGGTTATTGAACAACATGTAAACATACTGATTGACATATGTTCGTATGTGCTGTGACTGATCCCTATATCTCTGGTGTCTTTGCTGCTGCTCTCCCTGTCTTGACTTTTAATGTAAGAATATAAAAGAGAGGGCAGATGCAAATGAAATTCGTTTTTCCATCTTTTCATTTATGATGTACACCTTTATCACAACTACATGTGTTAGAATGATACGGCTAACAGCATTTTCTAGTTTTTGTTTTACTTAAACTACGGCTGCTTTTTACTGTCATTGAACTCCAAAACCATTGTTTGATTGTGTCTCTAGCTTGGTGTGGTACAAACAGAAGGCGGTCGAGTTCAGGGACAAAACATCCCCCTTGGTCCGTACCGCTCTATGGATGTTTTCAAAGGAATCCCCTTTGCAGCTAAACCTGAACTCCTGGAGAAACCCAAACCTCACCCAGGCTGGGATGGTATGTAAATGCTGGTAATAAGTAAAAGATTCCTTCCTCTTTCACTGATAGTAAATCCTCAGTGCTTTGATTTATTTACAGGGGTTCTTGAGGCCACGCAGTTCGCTGATAAATGTCTGCAGATAGACCCGTCCCACACTTTTAGCATTGGCACTGAAGATTGCCTCTACCTGAACATTTGGGTTCCTCATGGCAAACAGTGTAACGTACTTTGCTTTTCTCTACATAAATTAATAATTTATACTGATAAGCTTGCTTGTAATGTAAGCACAAATCTTCCCTTGTTTCCCCCAGTGTCATCAGATCTCCCAGTTATGATCTGGCTTTATGGGGGAGGCTTCATCACTGGTTCTACAACAGACCTGATGTTTGATGACTACCTGTACAGCGGTCAGGAGATTGCAGACAGAGGCGGTGTTATTATTGTGTCTGTGGGATACCGTGTGGGAACGCTGGGCTTCCTCAGCTCCGGGGATTCTGGTTTACCTGGTGAGAACTATTTTAGGGAATTTTAATGTTTTTATGCAATGAGAGTGCTCAAGGTTGTGACTGTGACAGGAAACTATGGTTTGTGGGACCAGCATGCTGCCATCGCCTGGGTTCACAGGAATATTCGTTCATTTGGAGGAGACCCTGAAAACATCACTCTCTTTGGAGAGTCAGCAGGTGGAGCTAGTGTCAGCTTCCAGGTGAGATGCTGTAGAAGACACAATGCCACCTCTTTTTAAACCAAATCATTTAATGGTTACAGGAGAAAAATTCTGAAATAATAACCATACAGAGCATCTCTGCAGACAAGCATAATACCCACTACTCTCTTTGTTTTTGGTATAATTGGTTTAATTTTTATTTAAGACCTGAAAGAGAACAGTTTTTGTTTTTTATTTTTTTCACAGTGACTCCAGGAAAATGGACATTTCAACACAACTTAAAGCTCTAATTTCCTGATTCATATATTTATCTCCTCACAGAGTCTCTCTCCGTACAACAAAGGCCTGGTTAGAAGAGCCATCTCCCAGAGCGGTGTGGCCCTTAGCCCGTGGGCTATGAGCAAGAACCCACGCAAAGTTGCAGAGCAGGTACACCTTTACCTTTACAACCTTATTTTGGTGTTGTTTGAGGAGTTCTTAATTTTTAAGTCATTGACTGAGGTCTTGTGTCATTTTTGGCAAGAAATATAGAAAAATACTTCAACTTTGTTTTAGGGTGATGAAAAAATGAAGGCTAAAATTATTCTTTCTGGGTAGACTGTGGAGGAACAGCGTCATAAAATAGTTTTGTAACCTAAACAAGCATGAGACCTAATAATAAAGGCCTATGTACACACAGCAGGCGCAGAAGATACTTCTAAAACACTCACCATGTTTGTTTTAGTGTTTTTCCACCTCTGCATTTTCCCAGCACCAGTCTGTACGACTTAGACATCCTACAAACTGCAAATGCTTCAAACAAAAGTAACAATAGAAATGTGCTACAAAAAAAAAAGAAGAAAAAGAAAAACCTCAAGATATATATAAAAAGCATGCAAAACAATACCTCTGCAAATTCAGCAATCATGATGAAAGTGTCCCAGGCCTGTAGATGCATTTGTGGACCAGCCATTTAAGCTATTTGTTCATATGTCGTTTGTCCCTATTGTTGCATTTGTTTAAGATGAAAAGCTTTTGCATATGTTTTTGAATTTGCATCATTTTTGAATTTGCAGCACAGATCTCCAAGGAGCCTATGTCAGTTGCTCTTGTTGTTAAGTGTACTTTAAGGAAGTAAAAAGTCACAACAGATAAAACATCCTGTTAGCCTCAGTACAACGCCTGGATACCATAACACTCTACTTCAAATCAGTTTCATTGTCATGGGCTCAGGTTGCTGAAAAGGTTGGCTGCCCCACGGATGAAATGATGGTGGCCTGTCTGAAATCAACAGATGCAGAGATTCTCACCATTGCTGCTCCCCAGATCCAATATGGCTCCCCGGATTGTAAGCATCTCAGTCTCAATCATGTACAGCAAATGATCAAATGTCACCGTGTCAATATGTTGACGATCCTCAGCACTTTGTAACTAATTCTGTTTGAATGCTTCTCAGCTCCTGGTATATTGAGCCTGCTACTGTTGCCTGTCGTTGATGGTGACTTCCTACCTGATCAGCCAACCAACCTGTTCCATAACACTGCTGACATGGACCACCTTGTAGGGGTTAATAACATGGATGGACATATCTTCACTTTCCAGGATATTCCTTCCATAGGTAACAAGAATCAAGAAACTCCTGAGTAAGGCTCATTTGTCTTTGGGAAGAAATTATTTCAAAACTTAAAAAGTTGCAGAACTTTTTCACCAACAACACACTTTATTCTACAGAGAAGATGTTAAAAGGCTCTTGGCTGCTTACACCAAAGAGTTTGGGCAAGCTGGTTTCAATGTGGCTTTTGCTGAGTACTCATCCACCTGGGAATCACCACCCAGCCAGGAGAACATCGAGAGGACTGCTGTGGACATTGCAACTGACTCTAGCTTCCTGGTTCCTGCACAAACTGCCATCTACCTGCACGCTGACAACGCAGGGTGAGACAAGCTGTCGACTTCTTTTGGATGGAATTGATATTTCAGAAACTGCAGATGTTTGTTTTGCCTTGAGAGGTTTACCTTACACAGTGATACTTTCACAGACAAGGAGGGGAAAGACTGTACTGTTTACTTTACAAATAAAACTGCAGACTTTTGTTTAACAACTCCTGAAAAGCTGTTTCTACTGTAATAATGTGAGGGTTATGGAAAGTCCAGGTTGCTGACAAAAGTAACTGGACACAATCAGAATACACACATATATAGAGAAAGCATAAAAGCATGTGAAAATCTACTTTTACCAGGTCTGGACGTACCTTTTCTTACTTGATGACGGAGCCCAGTGGGTTGGGTGGACCGGGCAGACCTTTTAATTACTGGTTAGGATCAGATCACACCGATGACCTGCAGTATGTGTTTGGCAAACCCTTCGCCGTACCAACGCTGTATGGAGACAGACAGAGAGACCTGTCCAGCTACATGATCGCTTACTGGACTAACTTTGCCAGAACTGGGTAAAACAAACACTACTGTTGCAGCATTTCTCAAAACATTATCATTTTATAAAACTTAACAACAAAACTAACTTATACTTATACTTTATAATTATACAGGAACCCTAACAAAGGAGGCCTGAAGGTGCCTGTAGTCTGGCCTGAATTCACGACTAGTGGACATCTGTTCCTGGACATCAACGCAGAGATGACTGACGGCTCCATTGGACAGGACATGAGGTCTCGTTTTGTTCATCTTTGGTCCAGCATCCTTCCTAGCCTTCCATCAGACATGAACAAGGCTGTCTAGTGAAGCTTTGTCAGTCGAGAAAGACGTCCCCTACCGACTAAAATAAACCTTGTGTAAAAGACAGTTTGTCAGGAGCCCTTTTCTGTGTTTCGACATTACTCCCTCTCCTGAAGTGTTATTACATGCTGCTGGTTTTGAAACATTTTAGGAAGAAGTGCCCATTAGCTGCAATCTTTTAAAACTAATTGTTAGACTGCAGAAACTTTCCCCTGCTGCTACTCTGAATGAATAATACTACTGTGCTTTTGAATGACACATATTACATAAAAAAAAAACAAAAGAACTTCTAGATGGCTCAGTTGACAAACGTGATATGAAATCATGACTATCAAACAAATTCTAGAATATCTCTTAAGTTTGAGCTGCCACTTATGAACCAAGCATACAGGTGCAGCTAACCAGAATGATAGCACCTGCATCACAAAAGCAAAGCACCAAACATGTGATCATTCCTAACCAACGTGGGAAACTATAGTTTTACTCATACAGGACCTGTACAGGAATGAGAAAACACCCAGACTGGACTCACTAATAGTGTAAATTATTGTGGCATTAACCAGGAATTATTGGACATCAGTGACTAATCAAAACTATCCCAGAATCACTGCACACTATATCAGTAATTGGACATTTTGCACATGCACTCATGCATATTTGTTGAATACGTTACTGTATTTTACTTTGAAAAAATAAGTAACTTGGTATATCACAGAATAAACACCATGAAGATCCCGTCTTCCTTTTACTCCGATCACTCTGACATAGAACTACAACAATTTTACTTTAATTTGAAAATACTTCATGTGATATTCGATTCCCTATTCCTGGAGGTAACATCACCCCTCAGGGCTCAGCTGTAAATGTTTACCATGTCTGGCTCCAACCCCCATCTAACACATTCCACGAAAAAAGCGGCTTTTCCAGTCATTTCCAGGAGTTTGTTTAATGAGAGGCCCGAGGACTGTTCTCTTACTACTATATATCTACTGTCGTGGAAGCAGTCTTTCAATTCACACATATACAAATGCCAAAAATCAGGGTTGAAAAAACCAAAGGTGATTTAAGTGCAGTCCTCTATTGCCCTAAAGGTCAACTGCTTCACCCATAGTAATATGTCTGTTTAATCTATCCTCTGGTGATAACTGCTGCTCCAGTATGACTGGCTTTTTACTAACTGTCTGTGTTCATCTATGTCTAATTATTCAGAAACTACGCAGGAAATCTTTTTAAGTATGTATAATGAACCTCTGATGACCCCCTGCAGGAAACATAGCCAGAAAATTTCAAAAGGCAGTATAGTGAAAATATCAAATGCACAAAAATACATGTGCAACACTGCATGATAAAACTGCAAAAAAAAAAAAAAAAACTTTTTGTTAGCATTATGCAAAAAACAGTTGGTCATTCTGTGATTTATTTTCCATCTTGATGTTATGCAATAGTCTACAATTCAATTCATTTATGCAAAGCACTTTGAACTGCTTTTAAAAGATAAAGTGGAATAAAATTATTACTAAAACTATGATAATTATGATTTATTGTCAGCTCAAAAACAGCCTGTTTAAAGTGACATTACAATCAATCAGTCTGCTGTCTCTAAATTGTGCACATTGTCAAGTAAACTCGTGCACCGGCCGTGGGTGTGGCGCATCTTGTCTCCAGGACTCCCGAGTCAATAAGTAAAACTTCCGGACTAAACATGGTGGTATGCTCTCTTTAACTGAATCAACCTCCACACCCCAGTGATCAGCAGAGATCAAATGTAGAGAGAAGATGGACAGTCAGAGCATACGCACCGGGAAGGTGGCTGCTGTTATCGCTCTGGGAGCAGGTGCATCGCTTTTCTTCCGAGGAGGCAGAGATCCGCTAGACCGAGGAGGCGACGAGTCCCCGGGGAGCTGGAGGGAAACGGGCTTTCTGTCCAGGGCTCTGCTCTGCGTTATCACCGTAGTTTGCCTCCTCGTTATCTCCTGGCTGTATAAACTCTTCTTCAGGCCCCTGGAGCTGCTGAAAGCGCCTCATGATGTAGGATACATCGCCGAGGACGGTCGCTCCAAAGCCCGGGCTGCAAACGAGGTCCGCCGCAGGAGAAAGGTCGGAGAGCTGCCGCCGGTTTATCCAAACGGCTGGTTCCGAGTGCTGGACTCACACATGCTGGAGAGGGGGGAGGTCAGAAACGTCTCTGTTGTAGGTATGATAAGTTTTATATGGCAAAACCAAAACGAATCAGTAGATGGGAAATGATAAAACTTTGGGTTTTCATTTCAAGAACAATAAAATATCGTCTCTTCATGTAAATCGTATTTGTCTGTCCCTCCAAGAGAAAACAGTCTCCAAATACTTAATGTGTAAACTGAGAACAGGTTCGTTTAGATGCTGACACTGCAGCCCTGTTTACCTGAGTGTGGTCCTCAGGTGAGGGTCTCAGAGCAATACAATTACCCAGAATCCCTTCTCCTTTTCTGTACCTGACCATGGGAGCCTAAAGCTGGCAAAATACCAAAATGCTACTTTTTGTGTTTACTGTCTGGGCTCTGGAGGGAAATGAACAGACAACCATCTGAGATGCCAAAATGTGCAATTCTTATGAACTGCAGAGAGGCTACTGTAATTTTTTTAAAAACACCTATTCTTGACCTTAGTATGAGGTGAGCAATATAGCCTTTTATCATGGCTGTGATTTTAAAAAATACTGGTAAAAACACAGTCAAAGGTGACATTTTGCAAGCTGCGGTAGTTTACCTTAAACTGGTTAGTTTTACAACGCTGAAAGTAGAATCTGACTTGCAGCTTCCAACCGCTTCAGATCAGGTCTTGCTCCACAACCACCATACCTGGACTTACCAGGTCTAAATGATCATTTCAGAGAAGCTACACTCTTTTTCAAGTTCATGTAACCATTATTCTTTTTGAGACAGAGAAAATGCAAAACGCTTTTTAAAAAAAAGTAGACCAAAAAGGACGAGAATATTTTTACTGCTTTTTAAACCCCCACACCTTGTTGGTTGACAACTGCATAATAAAGACCTGTCTGACTTGGATTAGCTTGTGCCAAGCAGTCTGCAATTTGTTCCGGACTAAAACTAAAAACCTGGAAGTTCCATTTCTTTTCTAACACTTCTGCAAATGTGACAAAGACTACACAAACCTCAAACTGTGTTATAAAGATTCTGGTGCCTCTCTAGTGTTTGGTGGTGGTCATAGAGGCCTTTGGCGCGGATTGGCATTCACATTTCCGTCAGTCTACTCAAGGGCAGCTGTGACCCATAAGGTAGTTTACCACCACCAGGGTGTGACTGTGTGAGCGAATAAATGATGCATCCAATGTAAAGTCCTTTGAGGGTCACTGATAAAGCACTATGTGAAATCTGATGCATTATTATTTTTATAATCTAATCCAGATCTGACAAGTCTAGACGTAGTATCTCTGGATAGAAAACTGTGATTTTTTCTTCATATGTTTATGAATAAGCAAAGAGGTCTGTAGCCATTATTTACTGCTTCAAGCTTGTAACTTGTAACTTGAAATTCGAAACGAGTAAGCATTTTCTTCCACCATCTTGGTATTTTCCACTCCTCCTGGTCTCTCTTGTCTTGGTGGTTGTGTTAGGCTTGGTTGCTAAGATAAGATACACAATCTCACATGACAAAGTTTTGATTTAGTATCGGTCATTGTGTGAGGATTAGGATGCTTGGTAACCCCTTTGTGAATAAAGCGTCATTGTTTCAGGTCAGTCGGGCTTCAAAATGCTCTTTTAATGAAGCGGTTATATAACAGCAGCAGCCACAAAGTATCATTTATATCAATCTGCTGATGATCAATCTTTTAACGGAGGGTAGATGTCATCTCCCGTGGCCTCTTTCTGGTTTTTAACCTTCACTGATTCATGTTAAAAGCTTCATTATTGACTCAAACTGAGTATTATTACATCGAGCGAGAAATCCTCTGCTGAGGGAGCAGCTGTATGCTCTTTGTTTAGTCGGATAAGAGAAAACTGTCTTTCAAACTGTCATGGCTCATACAGGAGGTTAAGTCCTTAAACAGATACTTGTATGAGCATCTGATAAAAATCAAATCAGTTGAGTGAATAACAAGATCTCTTACATCAGTTTGTAATCACAGGCCTGATCTGACCTCTTCGACTCGGAGATTATAGGGATTTGACAGCCAATGTGTTCCTCAAATGATCAGTGATAAAAAGCCGTCATTTACCGCCTTCAAGCTTTTGATACTCCACATTTGTGTCTCTGCTCTGCTTGCAAAGTTTGAATTTGTTTCACCCTGATATCTGATTTATTTTGGCATGTTTTCATCAGGGCATGCAATTTAATGAGACTTCACATTTTCAGGTTTGTTGTTCTGGTGTGGATTTGAAGCGGTGTGTTTGATCACTTCACAGAGTTTCTTTGGGTTTGAGTTCAAAAAGGTTTCAAAGCATGTGCTGCGCTTTCATGTTTCTGTCACATCACCTGCCAGAAATAAACAAACAGAATAGGAAAGGTGTTATTTCTAATAAATTATCTTCACGAAAAAAAAACCCCAGATATTTCTACCTGCAGAGGGATTCAGCAAACAAGACGACTGAATCATTTATTATTGAGTCAGAGGTCAAATATTTATGTAAAACTAAATGATTAGCCTTTTAAAAATATGGCGTGATGTACAGTATGTTATGTAAGAGATAATACTAAAAAAAAAAAAAATTTTGAGGTCTTAGATTTGCACAAGTAAAGTAATTAAATTATGAGATTTAAGTCTGAAATTTATGATATTAAGGTTTGAATTTTTAAAGACTTGAGTTGTAATTATATGTTAACTTAGTCATAGTTACAAGTGAAGGTTAATCCATACAGGCAAAAGCCACATGAGGAATAAAACAGGAAGAAAACACACGACTTCTGAAAATTCTAAAATCTGATGTTGTTGTCATTACTCCTCCGACTTTAGCTCTGGCATCATCTGCCCTCCAGCCTGGGTATCATATCTGATGTCGTATGTAAAGGGGCCTGTAGCCTGGGAGTCACTTTGGACTCTGATCTGTCCTTTAACACCCAGATGACCAGTGAAGTGGTCCTATAGACTGGACTGTTGTAATGCATTTTATTTTGCAATATGCCCGACATCCTAACCTGATACCTGAGTCGATTCCTGTCAGTCTATGTTAGCCCCACCCCCACATGACTCTGTATGTGTGGTTATGAGGGGGTGGGGGCACTTAGCAAAACTCCTGTGGTTTAATGAATATATGTAAAATTATTGAAGACAATAATGTCAAATAATGTCAGCACAAATAGAGGATACTGTCACTACAGGCCTTGACTTTTTCTAATCGACTTTTAGGATCTCCTCCTGCACCTGACATCCAATCGTCCTAATTCTCTTGGACCAAATTTAAGTTTGACTTCTTATCAGGATGTGTCATGCTGTAAATGCTTGCTCATCTTGGCCTCGGCTTTCTCTGCACTCATCCATCTGAAATCAAATATTAAATTCTGCCCACCGTGTCTTTTCCCTTGTGCTGCTCTCACACTCGGTGCTGTGGCTCAGCTCTGCCCCACAACAGTCTCAGGTCAGCAGCACAGTGCTGTGTCAACCCTCATTAAGATGAGCCTTATTTTTGGACTTCCCAGAATTTTATCACCGAGCACCCTGGTTAGACATGACTAGAGCTGGCTCTGTGATTACTCCTGGCCACTATGACCCAGTTAGTGCTAATCTGGGAGCAATCTGAGTAGAGGGTCAGCCAAAAGTCAATCCTGATACAGTGTATACAGTAGTTAGAGGTCTAAATGTGTGGTGCCCAAATGGGGGCATATTCAGTCTAGACAGGCACCAAATGGCCTATTTGGGAAAAGCCAGCTGGTGTAGGTGAAGGAAATTTACAATTTAACGCCCCCCAGTGGTAGCACTAAGAAAAGACAGGATGGCAGAGAGCAATGGAAACTGGACCAGAGGAGCGTTTTTATGTCTTTTCAAACATTTCAGGGTAAATCTTTCAGGTGTATTGTTGAGTTGTTGTAGTGCCAAATTTTATCTCATAAGCCTAAAATCTGAACCTCATACTGTCAATGGAACTAAAAGCAATCCTGATTTACTCTTGGCTTTTAAACTATTTTAATATTTTCAGCCTCTTTTAAATTTGAAAATGGGATTTTATTTTTTAAACCAAAGAAAAAAAATATTTTTAATATGCTAAAAGGAAAACTCTTTTTGGCATATTACCAGGGCTGAAATGAGTATTGAAAAGTTTGGAATCAATTAAGGTACACTTATTGAATGACATTTTATACAAGTAGAAGTAACCGTTGAGAGTCTGTCAGTCTGCAAAAGTAAAAACAAACATTTGAAATCATTTCAAGACAAAAGACTGTACCAGATAAAAATAAAAAAAATCATCGTCTCATCTTAATCTTTTGGCCAAACTTTTAGCATGATTTTAAATGTATAAAAATCACATTTGCATTAGTGGCTAACCCAAGTTTGTCATCTCTTTCATAAAACTTTTTCCTTGCATTTGATAGTTGGGATACTGTATGAGGCACATACTTGTTTTGCTGGTAATCACTGTGTGTAAATTGCATCCGTAAGTGGTGACCTATTTCTTTTTTGGTGTCCCAGGTGAACAGGTAGCAGTGTTCCGGGGCGAGGACGGCAAGGCCTACGTGGTGGACGCCTACTGCCCTCATCTGGGTGCCAACCTGGCTGTGGGAGGACGAGTGGTAGGGAGCTGCATCGAGTGCCCGTTTCATGGATGGCAGTTCGAGGGGAACAACGGCAAGTGTGTGAAGATCCCCTACGCTGAAAAAGGTACAGAGTGGAGATCGTTCTCCTCTGCAAAACACAAGTAGCTACATTACTGATAGACTGATTTCATAAAGATTCTCTCAGTGCGGTGGTACTGAGATAGGAAGAGAGGAAAATGCTAAACCTGAAAAAGCTCATTATGAGATCCTGTCAGTCTCATTGCTGTTGGTCTAATAAATAATAAATAAATAAATGTCTCATAAATAACCTGAAGCTATTTGCTTAGAGAAGTTCAATTACTCATTTTATTCAACCTTAAGGCCTTTTAACTGAGAAATAAAAAAAAAACCATCTGGATATTGATGTTGCACATGAAGGCATCAATAAACTGCACAATTAATTCAGAGGATGGTAAATAATCGTGTTTTAAGTGATTGTGCATCTTGTTGGAGAGATTGGGAAAAAAAAAACTCAAATCAGGGAAAACAGATGTACGGGTGTTTTTGACACAGGTGTGTAAAAATTTGCATGTATTTTGTGTCAAACATATCTTTGTGTATAACTTTTGTCCAGAAGGTGGCACCACAGTCTGATCTTGTTTGGTTAATAAACAGACTTAAGATTCTACACTTTAAAAAACATCCCACAGAATCTACTCAGTCAGATTGGCTTACAGCACTCTGTAAGTTCATAACATAACAATATAACACTTATAATATGCTACAAGATACTGTAATATGAAATATAAAATGAATAATGTTAAGTCAGCTTCATATTTTTTAGTAGATTAAACAAAAAAATAACTCATCACTTATTATTTTACCATTCTGCTAAAAGGGGGATTTTCGTTCACTAAATAATTATTCAAACGTATCAATAAATATGACTGGTTAGCCTTTAGCCTTTTCCTAAAGACTATGAACAGACAAAGAAGACAATAGTCTTTATTTCAGTTGTTTTTACAAGCCACATTTTTGACAAAAAAAGGAATTAAAATCTTCAGATGTCGACCTTCTTGACACCAAATCAAAAAAGGTTAAAAAGAATATATTAAAAATTCCAAAATTAAAAAATAAAACCATCAAATAACATGCAAAAAATCTTCAGATAATTGATATATTTCAAAAAGTCTTTAGGTATTAGTATTGAGGCTGAAATATGGCAGAGATGTTGCAGCTTTACTCCAGGAAAGACTACATCATTTTAACAGCTATTGTATAGGTTCATATTGTTTTATTCGGTTTATTTTTATTTATTTATTTATCTAAATTTCAAATATCTTTCAGTGCCAGAGTTTGCCAAAGTGCGCAGCTGGCCCTGCTGTGAGGTCAACGGTCAGATCCTGGTTTGGTTTCACTGTGATGGAGTAGAACCTCAGTGGACCATCCCTGAGCTGCAGGAAATTACCAGGAGGGAGTGGGTCTATCGGGGCAGAACTGAGCATTTCATCAACGCTCACATACAGGTAGGTGTTTAGGTTGATTCAGCAACAAACTCCTGAGTCAGAGAAGAGGAAAATTTAACACACTCGTGGTCATGACTTCTGTTTCTTTAAGGAAATTCCTGAGAATGCAGCAGACATCGCTCACCTTGGTCACCTGCACACACCAGGTATGGTGAGTGGAGTGGATCTGCGTTTCACCAACAGCAAAACCTGGGAATTTCTACGTCATCATTGGAAGGTACACAGTTTTCTTAGCTTTGTTCAGGCACAAAATGAACTCCAGATGTTATCTTACAACATATTTTACAAGTTTGCAGAAAAATAGCTGATTTGTTTGCAGACATTTTGTGGTATCATCTCCAGAAATCTGCTTTGATTTTTTAAATGATTTTAAAGTGCTTGGATTGTAGATGGTGCAGGTCTGTTTAGACGGTTGATTTATTTTGGAATAGCTACAGAAACTATATTTCTTTGTGCTTTGTCTTTTTTTTATTCATCCATGAAAGGCCCAATGGGAGCCAGAGTCAGAGCCCAACAAGCATTGTTCGAGGATGCTGGTGAATCATGCGATCACTGTGTTTGGACGTCACTGGTCTCTGCTGGATATGGATGTTGTTGCCAGACAGGTACAGGGAAATTCAAAGTAGGAGATCAAATTACTATTAATCTATTAAGTAATGTATATAATAAATGTTCTGATTATGCACAGTGCTGGTTTTGACAGATTTAAATGATCAGGCTGACAATATCTTACATGTGTGAGTGTGTCTCAGGTGGGTCCAGGAGTGGTGTTTCTGCAGTTCGAGCACAGCTCTCTGGGTCGGGGGGTCATCCTGCACTGTGTGACTCCAGTGGAGCCTCTACTGCAGTGTGTCTCTCACATCATCTTCTACCAGTCCAGCATTCCACCTATAGTGCCCAAGTTCATCCTCCTGGCAGAGTGTATTCAGGTATGGTAAACACTCACCTTCTGCTCTTCCATAGTAAAGTCTTACATGGTCAGATCTGATTTAAAATTATAGTTATCTTCTTTGATGAACTTTGTGAATATCAGTTGAAGAGTCAGACTGTGAATCAACTGGGGATCCTGTAGCCAGAGTGACTCTAGTTTAGAATGAAGAACAAACTGAACCATGTGGTCCAGCTCCAAACTGGTTTACAGGCTCATGAAGGTTAATCTCTTTTCTAGAGTTGGTCTAACTTTGACAGATCATTACACGTGTTTGCCTTCCACTCAGCGTTTGGTTTGATTCTGCCTCGTCATTGCCACCAGATGTAACACCACAAAGTCACAGAGATGGTGCAAATAGTTCTCATTAAACCTGATAATTATCTGAGTGTTGAAGTGAAAAACACCCACACTGATTCAACAAAATAAAATGATCTCAAAATGTTTGTATATACTTACTATTATCGCTGCAAAGTCCTCACATATCAGACCAACACTTGTTGTTACACCCTTAAAGAAATAAGCACTTTCAGTTCATTTCATATAAGCCAGATTTTCAGATGTTTTATACTCTGAGATATCAGCTTCCCACATAAGCTTTACCTAATAAAACTGTTGAACTATGACAAAATAAGTCAGATAAAACTTGATTTGAAGCTGGTTCTCAACGCTAACCATCAATGTGTCAATCATCAATGCTGCAGACACATTCCTTTCAATGGCAGCGGCTCTGGTTTTGAGATGCCTTTCATTCATCGTCTTTCGTTTCCTTTAATCCATCTTATATCTGTTAAATTGTTTTGGCATTTTCTCTCCACATGTGGTATTTTCACAAAGACCTATCAGAGGAAACTGGGTTTTAAAGGTGAAGGTTGAGACTAAACTGAAATGCCAAATCTCAGCAGCTGATGGACTAACTGTGCGGTGACATTTAATCAGCAGCTCTTTACACAGAGATCCCTGATGATGAATTATAATAAGGTAATAACATCGCACAGTGTAAAGCACAGATTGTCCCTTCAGTTTTGATTGGATTCTCAGTCATTTTCTCATAAAACTCTGTTCCTTTTTTGCACGGCATGAAGATAGGCATAAAATAGGCCCATAAATAATGAAACATGTTTTATCATTTCGTACTAATCAGACTTATACAGTGTTGGTCCTGGTCAGAGCTGCTTTATATCACCATTTACCATCGATTGACCTTTCCTGATCTCTTTGTTTGTCCAGTTTGAGCGAGACGTGATGATCTGGAACAATAAGAAGTACATCTCTAAGCCTCTCCTGGTGAAGGAGGACTCAGCCATCCAGAAACACAGGCGCTGGTTCAGTCAGTTTTACAGCGAGAACAGCCCGCGGCTGAACTACCAGCGCGACACTCTGGACTTCTGACCTCACTGAAATGCTCCAGGAGGAGAGATCAGCAGAGAAGATGTCAGGTCAGGGCTGACATGAATCACAGTCTCGGTGGAGTCCATTCAGGATGGATTTTTATTGCTCACATGATTAATTCAAGGAAGACGGGACGTCTGATTAGTTATGTAATGGGGCTGGGTGCTCTTTTTCAAGCCTTACTTTAATTTTCTTATTCTTAGTCTAAGGGGTAACACGACTTTACAGCTTTATATGTACAAGTGTCTACAGTCGTCATGCTAGCAGGTTTTTGTTCTTACCACTTGAGATTTGGAGAAAACATTGCTCAAGCTGCAGTGTGGAAACCCCAATAAGACAATAGAGTTTAAAGCCATATAGCTCTGCCAAATGTTACCACATAGAGCACATACACTGTGATTCTTACATAACTAGTCTAGGTCTTGTCCTCGAGTGTCTGTCTGAGCTGGTCTAGTTTTCTGTCTCTCTGATTTGGGTTCATGTAAATCACCTGGCTGTAGTTTGAGTTCAGTTAAAGGGCTTCTCCCTCACTACCCTACAGTCAGGTGTCGAGCCTCTATTTCTTTTATATATTAGGAAATATAAATCTGATTTTTCACTAATTACATTTTTAGCATATTATTTGGATCAAATATATGACTCAGCAAGTCAAATAAAGCAGGGCAAACAAAATTAATCCTGTTTTGTTTTTTAATAGAATTACTTAAAGTATTTTAAATTGACTTTTTACGCTAGCATTTATTAGATTTGTTTTATTTTCTGCCCCAAACTGTCTGAATATTCTCGCTCAAATATTTTTCTATCCCATCAAAAAACATGTAAAAATGCGCCAACTAGACTCAACTTTATGGCTTATCATTGCTGAGGAGTTTATTTTTCTGAACTCAATTTTCTGTTAATAATATTTTGTACTCATGGCTGAAACTGGCAGGATTAGCCAAAAGATTTGTTTTTCTGTTAAAGTCTTGCCGTAGGCAGAGACCATACAACCATTGCTTTTCTAGCTGAAACAGCAAAATGGCAGTGATTTAATGTTTATGCTTGCGTTTGAATGCTTTTGCTGCTTTACAAGGACAAAAGAGTTAGTCTGTATACATGTAGTTTATTACATTTGTAAACTTGTATTTCTCTCTTTGCTTTAGATATAAAGGCACACTTTTTTATTCCATGCACACTGTCAGCTGTCATTGACTTAATCCCTGATGACTAAAATGTTTGGAGGCTTTATTGAATGCTTCTTTGCGTGCTTGGAAATGTGCCTGCATGATAATGTAACAAAAGCATAAAAGCGGTAATCTTCTGTCGCCTGTGGTAATGGGGCTTCTTCTGTGGGATTACTCGGTATTACATTGAATTTCATTGGATCATCAGATGGTCATAGAAGGGGAGAAACCATCAATGATACACAGCTCTTCTTATGGACATCAGATCAACTCCTCTCTTCTGTTTCTTTTCAATATTAAAATGTATTTTTATAGCTTCCGGATGTACAGATGTCATGTTCATTTGAAATATGCAGAATAAACGTGTCTCCTCGCCTGTAATGTGTCTGCTCATGCATCCTTGAACTGGCAAAAGCTTTGCACTGAGTGCGATAAGCTTGTTAAATTGAGCGTAACAGGAAAATGTTCGCTATACCACTTGGCCAGTGGCACTCCTCTGAGGCTCATATTATTGCTCCTTATCTGTTAATGTGTCTCTCTTATGTGTGGTAGGAGAGGACTGTGCTGCATTTATCACACTGAAGCTGTATGCTAACAGATTCGCCTAAAATAGATGTTAAAAGCAAATGTTCTTCTCATGAAGGACATCTGAAGCAGAAAATGTTGAAACCAAGGGGGGAAATGTTCTGGCACTCCAGCACCTGCCAAATTCAGACCAGACTCGTGTAGGAGTTTTCTGCACAAACAAAGAGAGAGAAGCATGAAGGCGTGTGAGTCTCAGTCATTCAGCCTCTGCTTCAGCTCAAACATCAGGACAGCCGTGATGGGACTCACAGAGCCGACACGCAAACAGCGACAGATGGGTCTGACCGAATGACATCTGTTCCACAAGAGCTGGAATTGGCTGGCACGGATCAGGACGGCTGCAGTGGAAGTGTCAGGAGCTTGTGCGGCTACAGCAGTCGACACGAGGGCCCCATCTGCAGAGAGCGGTTCCACTCTCATGGAGAGATCACCGTGTCACCTTGGTTTACGGCAACATCACACACACACTGCTGCCACTGCACGGCTGGGATCCTGAGGAGGGCCCTCAACATCAGGGGTCAGCTATTCAGAGAAATTTGATATGGTTTTGGCCATCCAACTGGATCGGAGCTTAGTAAGAAAAAAGGGTTTTCAAAAGAAGAACTCAATTTATATCCCTTCAAGTGATCGACTGGTATCAGTTTTTCAAAAGTTGATACCAATGCCAATGCAAACACAGTGGGTCAGGTGGTGGCCCACACAAAACGCCCATATAACGATGTTTCTTTTTTGCATTAATTTAACAAGAACATACAGCAGGACTTGTATCTACAGTATGCTTGTTGCAAATAAGTCAATGTCAATAAGTGACTAAATAAACACTGCGCCCCGCTACCAGTTCAGCCTGTTACATCTAATGTTGTATTTCGACTGATTAGTGGAAAAACCGTCACAGTTAGTGAATACACTAACATTTTAGTTTCTTCTAATCTCATTCCTGAATACAAAACATGCTGGTCAAGATTTATATTATCAATGGTGTGAGTTTAGCTCACCATTTTCTGTTTATTTTTTAATGAAACAAACACTCAGAAACAAACTATTATTGTCATGATTTTCATCGATAAAATGAAACTGTTGTGAGCACAAAATGATTTTTGTCTTGTGCTCACTAATTATTTCCTTGTGTGCACACAAAAAAACCTTTTTCCTTTGCACACATGATTTTCTTTTTCATGTCTTGCAACATAATGACTTTTGCCCATGAGATAAAACCCATGACCTTTGTAGGACTGGATAATGATGCCTTCGATTTAGAAAAAAGTGTTGTATGAGAATTTAAACGTTTGTTTCTAATCAAATCTTGTGTGATCTGTCAATTTCAGTTTTTGTAGGATTTGCTCCGATTTCAAGGTAAAAGGAACTTCTTGTTTAGACTACAACCATGCATTCATGCAACACTATTGTCTACTTTGCTTTGCAGAGACAGCTGGAGGTGCACGCACACACACACAGATGCACGTCCACCCCTCCTGTCTTGTCAGTGAGACTGATGAGACTAGACTCCCTCCGCGTCTCCATCACTGTCCTCCTCCTGCTGGGCTGCTTCCTCTTCACGATTGTTTCTGATATAATGTTGCTAATACTTCCCAACAGCAGCTTATCTTCAGGATCATGTGACTGATTTTGATGCGCTGACTCCTGCACATTTATATAGGAAGAATTTGCCTGAATGATGAACACCTGGCCAAAACAATCCACCACTTAAAGATAAAAAAAAAAAAAATACAGTATAAAACATAAAAATTCAGCAAGGAGAAGAATAAATCCAATTTTAATTAGATGATCGCAGACCCTAATGATATAGTTTTTATGTAATAAGAACATCTTTGATACTGATAAAATTGAGGAAAATATACACATTGCACACCAAAAGTTGCAGGAAAGTATTAAAAATCGTACATTTACATATGTGAAAAATATATAATGCAAACTATGAGTGGAAAAAGTCAATTTTGGAATTTGCAAGTTGGGGATTTGAGGGTGCACTGCACACTGAGTACCAGTTGTCAGACTTTTAGTAAAGAAGTGATGATTCACCGCAGGATTGATATAACATCTCAAGGATCCAGCCTCTTATCTATCACTCAACTCTGACTTTAGTTATCTTTCAGCGTTGCAGCTTTGGAGTCATATAACGGATGTTTGACTCTGGATAAAAACTTGTCGTGTCTTTCTTCGCCTCATATTGACCTACTTCTCATCTTAACAGCTCAGACGCTCTCTGACGTTACTGCTGAGTATTCTTAGTAACAAAAACCCGGCTTGATCTCCTTTCACAGAGCACTTAAGGACTTGGCCCTACAATTTAATCCTTTATATTCACGTTTTCATTCAAAAGGAGGAGAAAGACAACAATGAAAGCTGGAAGTGGAGCCCTATGTCTTTCTTCCTTTTTGTTTTGTTGTTGAGACACTTGTATCTTTGGAGTTGTTATAAAAGATGTCTACACACATAGATGCATACAATTAACATTTCTGGTAAACTAAGTTAGGTTATGAGCAAAAACTGTCACAGACTTTATAATTAATACAGCAAGAAAGATCAACCGTTCAGCTCATGAGTGTCAAGCCCCCACCTCAAAATATTTTGATTGATTATCAGATCATAAATGTCAAAGACAAATGCAAAAAGTCAAGTTATATGGATATTTTTGCACATCCTCCTACTCTGCAGAGCATTACAGATTTTTCGACCATGTTTAAAGAAGGTGACAGTAGCATTGTCTTGTTAAAATCTCAGATTCATGTAATGGTCACAGTGCATTATGCTCCCTGAGTGTACAAGACGCAGTTAGTGTCATACTGTAAGACTCTTGTATTCTTATTTGGTTATTCTAGCTCTCAGTTTCTGGTTTATTTTGTTTGTACTTCTCAGTGTTTCATGTCTTATTTTTTTTTCTCATTTTGTTGATAATTTTTGCTGTATTGTTCTTTTAGTTAGAGTTTCCAGTGTTGTTTTGTTAGTCTTAAAGTTTCTATGTGTACTTTTAAAGTTTTTTGCCATTAGCCATGTGTCTCTGTTCTCATGTGCTTAGTAGGAGAAGTTCTTGCTCCTTGTGTGTCTGGTTTAGTTATACTTCCTGGTTAACCACAGTGGTTTCACTTCTGTCTTGTTTCATGTCTCTGCTTAATTATCCCTATCCCGCTTTAGTCCTTGGGTTTCATACCTTGTTTGCTCTTTGGCTTTATTTAATGTTTCCCATCTTGGACTGTTTAGTGTTTGAGCATTTTCAATCTCAGGCCTTTTAATTTCCGTATTTTTTTTTTTTTAAGCTTCTCAAGTCTGCATTCTGGGCCCTCTACTCTTGTTTTTGTTACACATATATTAGTTAACTGGAAGCTGACAAACCAGAGATTTCTCTGAAGAATTATCAGTGAACTTCAAGATGGAGCAGAAGTGCTTTATGTTTTCCAAATGTGTCAACTGACCTTTGGTTCTGCCCTTATTTTCAATGGAAGGGGCCTTTTGGATTACAGAGTCATTACATCTTTATTCTGGTTGACAGGTCTCTGTTGTGGCAACCATGGGGGGTTTAATATAAGAAGGACACAGAAAGTATCAGAGCACAATGACAATGATATTCTGTGATGCAAACATCTCAAGCTTTTCACAAAGATGTCACAACATCCCAAATCACATTTTATCCACATAAAAAGAAATCGACAATAAGAGCACGACAAAGCCAAGTACAGCTGTCGCATGGACTACTCATCTAGTTGACAACTGTCCACACCACCAACTCGTAGGTAGTTGACGAGTCCATTTCCTGGTGAGACCCTTCCTGATAATTTGTTACCCCCCAATAGCCCATCCCAAAGTTCATTTTACTTAAATATTGTGTTAACCAGTGGCGGCTGGTATATAGGGGGCGCTAGAGCAGCTCCACCACTCTTGACATGGAAAACAGTGGACTATTTTTAAATAGGCTACTATTTTTTAAATAGTAGTCAGACGTTTATATTAAAAAACTTGGTCAGTATTTTTACTAACTGAGCAAAATGAATAAGCTTAAGTTAAAATTTAGATTAAAAAACTCCAATGTGTCTAAATTTACTGATGGATCCCACGTTTCCGGACCAGGCCCTGTTATATCGTTGCACATGCGCATTCCCTCCTCTTAAAGCGGGGACCGGAAGAGCGTTACCGATCAGCTGTTCGGTGGCTACATGTTGGCCGCTGTTTGCAGTAACAAGTACTCGAACCAGTAACTTTATAAAAAAATGATAAAACGATTTCCACTACCGAAATTTAGAGGACTAGTTTAGCTCAAATAGCTGTCAACTACACCAGATTACGCTGCAAAGCAGTATTTTACTGCTGTTTACTCTCTGTGGACTCAGTAGCTACGGGAAATATGTCAAAAGGAAGCAACAGGTTACAGAAAGAGAGTCTGCCTTCTCTTTGTGGATCTACATGGACCAACCAGGGACACGTTTGATCCAGGAGCCTACTGTTCTTCAGATCCAGGATAAAAACAAGACAGAAGATAAAAGAATGTGAGTCCACCAAGGTCAGAGAAAAACCTTCTGATTTCAAGTCCATGATTGTTTAACTAAGCTGATGCCCCTGCGGTGCTGAAGCGGAGACGCACGGGTTGGTTTGTGTGAAGCGCGATTGTGCAGAGTGCAGTGCGTGTTTATTGCTGGGTTTGCAGCATCAGTGTCAATATTAGCCTTGATTATGTGTGTGTGCATGTGAAGTGTGTACGTGCAGTACTATAATCGGGTAGACTTCAGTATTAGGCTACACTCAGGCAGTATTTTGCATATGCCTCCCCATACGCTGTTAAAGAC